ATAAGCCATAATTTCAATATTCACTACAGTATATTCTTTTGGGAGATATGATTGGATGGCCTAAGGGCCTGTTTACCCACAAGAGCTACTTCTGCCAGTGAACACATTGAACATGGCCAGACAGTGAACTAGTTGCAGAAAAATGGCAGAGAGGGGGTAGTTTGTTACCATAAGAGATGGCAACAATGCATTGCATCCCTTCCCCCTGTGCTTTCTTATGGACTCATCCTTTAATTGTCGGGATGTGCACATTTTGGTGGAGTGGCTTTGATATTTTTACTGCTTGAATGTCTTCAAGATTGTGCTTACTCTTGCTTATATCTTCAAAGCTGCTGAAGCCAGCATTAGGCTCAGGATCAGGCTGTGGAAGCAGAGAGAAGTAATGTTTTTTTTATTTTTTATTTTCTGGGTTATGTGTGTGTTTATGAGCAAGTGAGCTCGTTTATCTCTCTCATTCTCTCTCTCTCAGTCCTCCCACTCACTAGACTCAGTGTGGGTGTGGATCCTGCAGGCTGCCTGTCTCTTTGCGCCTGTTATTGCTCACATATCCTGCACATAATACTTTCTCAAATCACAATGGCTACACACACACACACACACACACACACACACACACACACACACACACACACACACACACACACACGCTGATGTGTTTCCTTTTAGTGATGGAAAAATAGCCATGGTGTCTGCCCACCAGTCTTTAATGATTCATTTTTACCCTCTACATTACATTTTTGCTCTTGCTCTTTAAACACTTCCTTTCTTTAACAATATGTCACCTCTTATCCTTCTGTTTGCTGTTTTCCTCTCCTCTCCTCTCCTCTCCTCTCCTCTCCTCTCCTCTCCTCTCCTCTCCTCTCCTCTCTTCTCCTCCCCTCTCCTCTCCTCTCCTCTCCTCTCCTCTCTCCTTGGTCTTGTGTTTTCTGTCTGTCAGGTTGTACTGTTGTGGCTGCTCTTGTCTCCCATCATGTTTTAAAAAGGCAAAACGAAACATTTTTGTCTCCTCCACCAACCCACCCTTCCCTATCTAGCATCTCTATCTGCATCACTCTCCTTGTCCTCCACCGCTCTCTTTGTCTTTGATTTCACCCTTCATCTTTCTCATCTTTAAATTTGCCATATTCATCTCGTGTGGAACCTGCATGTCATTCTTTTCACCTAGCATTATTCTTCTCCCTCACCCCCCCTCTTCATTTCCCACTTTCTTCTATTTCTGCATATCCTCGTGATCCACTCATCTCCACCTCTCCTTTCACCCCTTTCACCCCCTCACTGTCCCTCCTTTTTCTGTTTTGTCTCTACAGTCACTGTATCCATCAGATTCTAGAAAGTGTCCATCACATTCACCAACATGATATAGTGCACAGGGACCTGAAGGTTAGTATGTGTAGGAGCATTTGCATCCCTCACCCACCCCTTCCCCACCACCTTTGCATGCTTCCTCTCCTTCCGCCTTCCCTTTCCTCCCTATATTTCGTCCTCCGTCTCGTCTATTCGTGTCGCCCATGTCAGATGCTGGTCTAATGTCCGCCCTGTCAGATTTGTCTTTTGATATGCTCTGGTGTTTTCGTTTTCTTTTCATTTTTTAAATATTTTTTATATTTTGAGGACCCGAGCCTGCCTCACCCACTGCCCTCCCCCTATTTACCCTGCAACGCAATCTCCTATCAATCATTCTACATAACACTACAAAACAAAAGCTCCTGTTGCACTGACTGTCAGCATGATCGACCAATGAATAAGCCTTGCACACGGACATGAGAAATCACCAAAAGGTGTAATAAATATCCAACGTTTACACATGCCCATACAACCATCCATTTCTCCCACCAGAGTAGATAAAAACAAGCCAAAGAAAAATGTAATGCCATCTGTATTGATTTTTTTTCTTCCCACCTCCTCACTTTTCTTTGGCTTGGAGTTGATTGTATTGATCCCTGTATCGTTAAGACTGACTCATTCAACATCAAGTATGTCTTTATAAGAAAAGAACAACAACAATAGGACAGCAGGGTTTTTGAAAGAGATGTGTTTTTTTAAAAAGGCGTCTCCTGACATGAGCTGTTGGTTTTGTTATTTAAATTAGATGCTTTTTCTTCGATACTGAATCATAGCTCTGACTAGTCCCACTCAGTCCCTTACAATGGTTTCACAGGATGCTGTTGTATTTATATTTCTCTATATGGACCACTTACACCTTAAACTGTTGGATTAATGCTGACATATACTGCCCTCCTATTCATCAGCGATATACAGTATTGGTTCAGGGGTTGCAGCAGGTTAAAGTTTCTTCCATTGTAAGAAATGAGACAGAAATGTACATGTACGCATGCACTTTCGCTTTTTTATCGTAAGGTTGAGTTCTTCGATGTTAGTGTTTATAAACTGATAAAACTTTACAGTATTAGTGTTGCAAGGGAACAAAAGGACAAATTATATTTTGAAATGAAAAAAAAAAAAAGTATTTTTCTGTTATTGTTTATTTATAAACAGATGTAAACCATTACCATATCACATATTACCAGGAGTACTTGGAGTGAGGACTTTTACGGGATCACAGTGACATTTTTTGTTTTGGCTCCTAGCACACAAAGGTGGGCACTAACCAAAAATTAACATCCCTCCTCCTCCTCCCCTGCCTCCCTGATCGACATGTTATTTAAAGGTCCTGTAAAAGAAAAGTTTCTTTTTCATCAATTTTCCTTCTTTTTTCATGTATTCCTTAACCCAAATGCAACAATCATTTAAATGTCTTTCTTTTGGAAAGAATGTTTTGCAGTCCATAATTTCCAAAACTTAAAAAAGAAATTCTTAACATGATGTCAACACAAAACAACTTTTTTTTGATTTGGTCATTGGCTACTGGACTGGGCAGTTCAGTTCAGAAACAAACACACACGCAGAAGATTCACACCCTGCAGGTTAACATGCTCAACAGCTGACAAAGTGGGGGAGGAAGAACATGGACACAAGCACTGTGTGCAGACACTCAAAAGTGCATGCATACCTACTCACACAAGTCAATATTTATGCGTGAATGAGGGTGCAAGAAGCTCTCAGCATTGTGGCTATAAATGTGACCTGTTCAGTATTTATTCATTGAGAGACCTTTAGAAATAAGACCAATGATTCTAATTTAAAGCCCTGATCTCTAAAACCATTCTAGTCCATTTTTATCTTGCACGTTTTCTTTGTTGTTTCTCTAATGCTGTTTTTGATATTTCAACAGTGTGTCTTTATGAGCTACACAGCTTATCACCAGAGGGGCTCAAAGTACAGACATTTAAGCAGATTTGACTCGATTTGTCCTTCCAGGCACTATTGGAAGAACCTTGTTTAGGCCGTCAAAGTGTGCAGATGTTTAGCTTTGATTACCTGGTCATCTGAAGGTTTTACAGATCCAGGCTCAGACTTATAAAGATATCGGAATTTCTTGATATTTAGATTTAGATATACTGTACCTGATAAAGTTTGCATGGGCAGAACTACAATGAGAGAAGGAAGAAGGCAGAGACATTAGTGGGGTTCTAAACATATTATGGGAAACATATTAGCTCCTGATGCGAGCATAACATAACTAGCTATACTGTAGAGGATAATTATATGCAATTGACAAAAAAACTACACATACAATATGTTAAGATTTAAGGCCAAATGCAAATAATTATCTATTGAAGACCCTTTACCCTGGATGCCAAACCAGATTTGTATTGTATTCTGTGTTTGTGTTTTTAAAATATGTATTAAAAAAAAGGATTCTATTTTATAGGTCTTAAAATGTGTCTACATTACATGGATCTCATTTTGAATGTCAGATTCAGTGATTAAAATAATTATTACTAGTTTTTCATTTTCAGATATTTTTCCACATCCATAACAGCACAACTCCAATGAGTGAAAAACTAAGTCCATACCAAGAACTTGCAATACTTGATATCGTACTCGCAGAAGTATTGTGGGGGAAAAAAAAGAAAACTTCAATAAAAGTTGACATCAGTGCACAGGACGCACACATGCATGGTGCAGCTTTTTGTCCACATACAGTCCCAACTGGATCCAGGAAATACTGTACATAGCCCCTAGGCACAGATGTCAGATGTTTATGTTCTACACAACCCCCCCCCCCCCCGACTAGAAACACCCATCTTGTCACTGTTTTTTTAGTTTGCGGTTCAGCTAACTGACATCAGATTGACGTCTCTTGTCAGCAGAGGTCAGCTAGGCCTGCAGCAGACATGGCATTGATCCCAGACACATCTTCTAAATGTTATAAATTGCACATTGACTCACTCCTTCCCTCACCTCCTTCATCAACTCCCTCTGTGTCTCCAATTGCCAGCCACATTCTCACACCCTCTCTCGTCACTCAAGGCCTGCTGGCTAAAAACATGGAGAGTGGTGGGGTACTAGTGTTCACCTGCAGCCAACTGAACAGTACAAATGTCTCACAGGAGTATGTCTATGCATTATTAAGAGTACTTTTTATAAAGACAAAGAATATCATATATTATATGGTTTGGTTTAACACAGCATTGACTAAAAGGACAACTCACTTAAAAAGTACTGATGGAAGATCTTGATTATATATCCAGTACTGAAGTGCATTTAATCAAGGAATCATATACATCCTTTTATACATTTAAAATGAGAAGCCCTTAAGAAAATGTTCATCTATTAAGTGTTAGAGCCCTACAATTTAGCCACAAGTGTTAGCTAACCTACCGAGCCATTGTTGCTTCATTTGCATAATCTTGGCTCTAAACTGGGGTTTGACAAAGCCAATAAAAGATGTGACGATAAAGTAATATTTCTTCTTGCAACTGAAGATTCCTTTCAACGCCCTGCTGAACCCCAATCCTCCCCCACTCCTTACCATACCTCCCCCTACCTTCCCTTCCCTCTCCTCCCCACATCTCTGGCCTGTGCACGGGATTGAAGTGCTGCTCAAACTAACATGCGCTCCCCCCCCCTCCTCCTCCCTTGGTGTTTGCATGCAGTCATTGCATCCAGCAGATCCTGGAGGCGGTGCTTCACTGCCATCAAATGGGTGTGGTGCACCGGGACCTAAAGGTGAGTGATGGGAATCACCTTGCTTTGCATTTGAGTCTCCTCTACTGTTGTGTGATGGGGTTCCTGAGTGTGTTATTTGTGTAGTCTGTGTATAGAGAAACTGTTTGTAATGTTTGTGGACATAATTTCACTTGCAAAACCTTTGGACTTAAAGGAACACGTGATCTGCTGTGGGAACACGATATAATATGGACTTGCCTTTCTCACTTCCTTCACATTAGGGTATTGCTCTGTTGGGTCACGGCTTTACTCCTAGATATAGTTCATTTGGCTTTGGTTAGGGTCAGGAGGGGGCACCTTGGTGCTTTCTGTAGCAGGTGTAATCCAATATGGTGCCTGTTCCCATGTTAATATCGCTACAGTACATATTGTAGAAGGATATTCTGCTCTGTCTGTTGTGGTGAATGGACAAACTTGGTGTAGAGTTTTTACCAGGGGGCTGGCAGGAGAAATGTGTATAAAGTTGAGATAAACTGATTATCACATTTTTGTTCTTACACGCAGCCTACTCAAGTGAAGTCAGTACATTTTCAGGACTGCAGAGTAATGTTTGAAACATGCTCCCTCAGAGCCACCCCTGACCTTCCTCTGGCTCTGCCCTGATGTACACAGCCTCTAGCTATGTCACCTTCTCCTCCTGTTGTGTTAACACCACAACCCCCCAGTATGTGGAGATTTAAAGCATGCAGTGCTGGTCATGCAGGCTGAGCATTGCTGCCGCTCTGTAACCTTTTTGGAAGAGGATCTTGTCATTGCACAGCTGGCAACATGGCTTGGAAGACCCTTAATCTGACCATTGGTTCATTTCCTAGTCTGAAAAAGATGTTACGTATTGATAATGACACAGCATGTGTGGTTGAGTGTGCCTTTATAGATTACTTAATGACCCCCAGAATTTGAAATATCGTAGCTCATTTTCTTTCCCTGCTGTGTGATGCTGTGACATTTGTTTGAAAGGCGACTGGCTGGTTGCACTGTCTGTTTGGGGGGTCGGAAACCGAAAGCCGATTAATAAACTTGGAACGGTTAAAGGTCTCTTCGACCTGCTGGATTGCTGAATCGATGTATTTTGTAAAGTTAGTCATTTTAAGTTTCAAGGATTTTGCGGAGCTTCAAATTTAAGTAAATCTGTACAGAAAGTAGCAGCCATGTTTAATTTGATTACTGACTTTGAACTTCAAACTTATGTGAAGTTTTGCTTTGTTTAAATTTGGCTTATAACTGTGCCTTTGGCATGGTTTCTTCGGACAAAGCAGCACCTCAGATACAACGAGCTGTGTGTGAATCACAGTGTTAACAGATTTAAGTTTCCAGTCCTCTTACTGTCATGTCTTGTTCCCGGTTGTGTTTTTGTCTGTGCATGCTTGAATATCGCATCTTGTTTGGCATGTTGCACTTTTGTCGAGCAAACTCCTCTTATGTGCAAATGTCTGTCCCAGTGTTCCAGCAAGCGACAAGCAGTGGTGTTGTGTTTATGAATACTGTTGTGGCTATTTCTTTATTTAGATGACATGCCTATCTGGTTTCACACCCAAGCATTGGAGAGCATTTCATGCAATAGGTCACAGTGTGATGACTGAGGACAGCCTGGCTGACAAGATCCCTTAAATTGGCAAATGAGATGACAACACAGCAAACAAATTTAAAGGATGTCAGATAAAGGTGACACCAATTGCCCTATATTTCCTGGACAGCAGTGCAAATACTGTATAGTTTCTCTGCTGTCTGACCAACTTTAGGGGCAGAGCCTTTCAGATTATACTTCAAACTGAAAGGCAGTCCTGAAAGTCTGTCACATGTAATGGATGAAATGAAAGGTGTCAAATCCTTTACTGAAACAACTTTAATCTCATCATTCAAATATATATCTTCAAAGTATAGTTAATGAGTCAGGACCAGTGTCTTTTGAATCTGAGGTTCAAATCTTTATTACGCTCTCTGGAGGAAACAGGATTGCTGCAGCAGCTTGAGATATTCTACAAACAGAGCAATGAAAGGGAAGCAAGAAAGAAAGAAGGGAGTCATTCCTTTTGATTCACCCACTCATGAACTGCTCTCAAATGCACATGTACCCTCCCTCTCTCTCATTTCATACCAGTTTCTAGTCAGCTGTGTGTGCATTTTTTAATTGTCTGTATGTTTATGCTAAAGAGATGGAGACTGAACAAGTACTGATGTTAAAAAGATTTCTGCAGCTATGCAATTCACATGGCCTGGATGATTCGCATTGCATTTATGCACCTTTTTGATGGAAGCACATGCTTCATCCAAATTTCCACCCACATCCTTTTTTTTCACGGATTATCTTACTGCCGCTGCAGTGTTGGCAAGTTCTATGTCCCTCGTTTACAAAAGAGGAAAGACTAACCAAATGGTAGAGCTGGGAGAATGTGATGACACGAAGTAGGCACAGCGCCTCAGGATTACTGGTGCCCTCACTCACTGTCTCTCCCGCTTGCTCATTTCCTTTCTCTTTTACTTATGAGCTCAACCACTCTAAAAAGCAAGCTTTTAACTGTCTACACTTTAAATACGCAGTATTCCGTTGCCTCCTAACAAATTAGCTGAGGAGAGAAATCAGAGAAAATAAGGCAGAGGGTGCAAAGACACCCTGCTGCAGTGTAAGGGAGGGGAGGCGGTGTCAGAAATGCAGCCTAAATATAATGTCCTCATTCTCTCCATGCTGTAAGAGAGCACTTGTGTTGCTGTTTACAGTAGTAAAAAATACACAGGCTTACTGCAAGAGAGGTGAGATGTGCATTAGTGATTTAAAAAGGGCTGACTGTAATAAGGGAAAAGCCTTTTTCTGAGTAACTATACTGTTAAATTATTAGAGGACTCACACATCAGTACAACACTATGAAAGATGTCCTCTCCTCGTATTGAGACATCCTGTCACTTTTATTATTCACTAGTAAAACTTTACCAAAATGATATTTACATTTCGGATTATTGTTACGTCAACATTTTTGCTCCTATAAGCCTTACTACTGGAACACCTGAAATTACTGCTAGACTTCTTGCAGATTTTCAAATAATTTTCACTTTTGGCAAGAAAAAATTCTCAATTGAAAATCACAACATGACACTGGAAAAATATTTAATATGAAATAGTACTGCAATACTTTTACATTTTGATTGGTGGAATAATATCCAAAAGCAAATTCTTCTCAGGTAGGAGTCTTATGTCAATGGTGAAGGCCCATTGTTAATTATTCTAGCCACGGGTTTGATTTTCCCTAAGCCTATGGTGGCCTTTTTTTAACCTGTTTTTTACCAATCAACTGCAAATTTGTCTTGGTTTATTTACCATCACTACTTGGTTAGGTTCAAAACAGGATTAAAGTTTTAGCTGAATGATATGTCCCTCAGATTAGAGTGAACAAGCTTCTCTTCATAGGTTCTGACCTGAAGGCAACACTTTATGTCAGAGGCTCTCACAGAGTTTGCCAAAGCATGCTCTGCTGTGTTCTTACAAAACAACACGCATTTTAGTCAAATTGAAAATATTTTCAGGGAGCCCCACCTCCTGAGAAATCACATTCTTCCCAGGCTAATATGTATTGTTTTATTTAAACGCGTGGAGTGTAGGTTAGCTTGCTAGCCAGACTGGTGACATCAACAAATGAAAGAGTTGCATTGTTCTATATTTTATATTAATACTTCTCTCAAGAGTGCCAGTACCTCTTACGGAGGGAATGATTAAGTAAGATGGAGAGAGACAAAGTGAGAAGGAGCAAGGGTCCAGTGAGCATTCCATTATTAAAGCCGTCATCTGACAGAGAATAATGAGATGGACTGCATCATCTAAGCCACAGAAACGGAGCCTATAGACGTGAACACACCACATGAAGCGAGGACAAAAAAAGCACTGAAAACTGACTGCACCGGATGGAAATTTAAAGCCATACAAGAAAGTCATAAGTGTGAAGTTTCAAGGGTCGATGTCTGTGTGTTTTATGTGTGTTTTTTGTGCTGAATACAGTCCTGATGAGTCTGTATTGTAGGAACCCCATTAAAAATGTATTGCATGCATAGTCATCTACTTCCAACTCTTCCTCTAATTTGAGAGTGTATATTTTTGTACCCCCATCAATCTTTTCAAAACGTTTCATAACCTTACTTTTCTCCTCGTCTTCCTCTTTAGCCAGAGAACCTGCTCCTTGCAAGCAAATGTAAGAATGCAGCAGTGAAGCTGGCCGACTTTGGCCTCGCCATCGAGGTGCAGGGGGATCAACAGGCCTGGTTTGGTACGTACTGCAGATAGGAGTCTATAATTCTTATTTAGTCATCTTAAACATTTAAGGGCCCACTATTTCTAGGTTAAGGCTCTGCTAGCAGTGAGGACTGACTTCATATAACCCTGACAAGTTTGCAGTGACTTAAGCTTAAAAATGTGAAAAAAAGTTTGTTAAACGAAGATCTAAAGATATGACAGTAACAATAATCAGATCATAGAAAATGCATCTTGGCCCACATTATGCTATATTTTAATCAGGATTATCAAACTCTTGACAAGATAGGGCCAAAGTGTTAAACTTTAAGTTTGGAAATACCTTCAAAAAAGGAAAGAAAAAAAAAGTATGTGCAGGTGAACATGTCAGTCTCAGGCTAGTATGGCACACTGGCCTGGATCTCCACTAGAAAAACATTTACCATCGTTGGTTTCTTGCCTGTATGAGAGATTAGCCTGTCCTTGACAATCAACTGTCCGTAAAGCCTCAGATGTGTTTTTTTTAAGATCTCAGTCTGCTGTGTGGAATGAATAGGTTTTAGTTTACAGAAGATTATCTTGCTTCTATACAGGCGGATCCATGGAGAGCAGATACCTTGGGCATGTCAATCAATTGTGTGTGTTCTTGTTGTTTCTGCAGGATTTGCTGGCACACCGGGGTACCTGTCCCCTGAGGTATTAAGGAAGGAGGCATATGGCAAACCTGTGGACATCTGGGCTTGCGGTGAGAGGAAAAAAGAGACTAGTCACACCCCCTTAACTGGAATTTCCTAGAGTGTACACAAAAACACACACATACTGAAGCACATTTTATGACAACATTCCCTTGTGTGTGTTTGTGTTTGTGCATGTGTCATCATGTGTTTTTTTTTTCTGTGTGTCTCAGGGGTGATCCTCTACATCCTGCTGGTGGGTTACCCTCCTTTCTGGGATGAGGACCAGCACAAGCTGTACCAGCAGATCAAAGCCGGGGCTTACGATGTGAGTCTGCTCTCTCCTCTCCTCTCCTCTCCTCTCCTCTCCTCTCTTCTCCTCTCCTCTCCTCTCCTTACACTCTTCTCCTCTTCACTCCTTACACTCTCACCTTCCTCCCTCTGCCCTAATTCCTTTTTGGCAGCAGAGTTACGTAACTCAGTCACCTCATTCATATTTCAGGGGGTGCAAGAGAGGGAGCCTCACCTTAGATCACTTTTTCACTCATGCCAAATAGCAGAAGGAGAGAGAGGGGGAGAGGCTGACTGACTCTTTGGGCAGGGATTTTGGGCTTTGTTTGATGCTGATTGTTTTTTGCGATGTCTTTGGATTTCAATAGTGTTTTTCTTAGTTAAGGAGCATATCATAGAAGTAGGCCACAACACACAGTTACACAGGGCTTCAAAAGATTTTTGATAGACCAGTTAAGAAGCTATTTGAATTTTAAGGTCCAATGAAGATATTTAACTTTTGAGTTTGAACTAGTGATTTCTTTGTTTTCTTATCTTTCTGGCCTATCAAAGTTTATGTTTTGGTTCATTGACAATTTGCAATGATCATAATGTTAATATTTGAAAGAAACACAAGCAAAAACACCATTAACTCACCTTCATATTTCTAATTGCCAGTTTTATCCTGAAAACAGTCCAAAACTCAAACATATTCCATTTAAAATGATACAACAGATTATTGTAAATTCACCAGGCAAGCAGCTGAATCCTCTTTGCTTGAAAAATGTGTGAAACAAGAAATGGATCTTAATAACTGCTGATTAAATATCTTCTGGTTAAAAAAAACATTTTAATGATTTGAAGTTTATCGGCTTAATGTGTAAGCTCAACTCTGAATGTAAAATCTTGTGGTTCTGCTTGTCCTTTTAGTTCCCTTCCCCTGAGTGGGACACAGTCACCCCAGAGGCCAAGAACCTGATCAACCAGATGCTGACTATAAACCCAGCCAAGAGGATCACTGCTCAGGAGGCCCTTAAGCACCCATGGGTCTGCGTAAGTGTCCGCTTGTTGAGTTATTAATGCATGGAAATGAAAAAGTGGTTCACAGAAAAACACAAAAGACTGAATTAAATGATTTCTTCTGTTATCCTCCTCCTCCTTGTCTTCTTTCTTTCCTCAGCAACGGTCCACAGTGGCCTCTATGATGCACAGACAGGAGACTGTGGAGTGCCTGAAGAAATTCAATGCCAGGAGGAAACTCAAGGTCTGTTTGCATGCTCTCTCTCTCTCCCTCCCACGTCTTCCTCTGCTGCTCTTATAAGCTTTTGTGCAGGTTGCAAAAATCCTTTACTCATCGTTGCTCTTTAATTCCCTTTATATCAACATATTGCCATGCATAGTATTTCAATTCCCTACTTATTTCCTTCAGTATTTGTGATCTCTATAGAGTTTTAAATTAATCCCAAGTAAATATAAAAGAAAGTTAAAAAAAAAAAATCTGCAGATTGCTTTGATTTTAATAATTATAACATGTGGCTGTAAATACTCTAACTCCTGAGTGTTATTGATAAACACTGCTAGTTGTAGCTCTGCTAAATCTCAGGTAACTACATCATAAACACATTTTATTTCAACAAATTATTCAAAAGACAAGTGCCCAATTAATATTTTGTTGAAAGGCATTCATTATGAAACAACAATATCAGGATTTAAGATGTTTTCAGCTGTAGAAATGTATTGGAAATGAAGAAGCAGAACGACTCTTCAAGCAACATGTAGCATGAGAACATACACAATCACAAAATTAAACACACTTTTAAGCAGCAACCTCTATGGTTGTGATGACTCTCTTCTTATAAGCTCCCATAATCTAAAACAAGTCAATAAAAAACGCTGTCGTCTGTGGCGCTCATTTTGGACAGGAGGATTATGATCCTGGCAACATGAGGACCATATGAGACTGATGCGCTGTTCCTTCAGTACACACAGCACCAGGTTTAGTTACTACGATTAATTATTTGTTAAAGCCTTTGATATGAGATACACTTTGCAATCTTGTTACATAAACACTTTGTTAGATATCTCTTTTCTCGTCACACCAAAACTTTATTTCACTCCTGTGGCTGTTATTTCACCTAATCCTGACCTGTTCCTGTTCTCTGTGACACCTAGCAGGCCTATAATTATAAGTCTGTTGTCCGCCATGTGCATATGAATAATTACTTTCCTTTACTTTCCCCCCTATGTTAAATCACATTAGTTAAAAATAGGATTTCTAATTTATTTTCCTACAAATTTATTTACTAGGGTCTCCAACATGCAAGTTGCTTTGTTGTTGTTTTTATACTACACAACTTATTTGCCCGTCAACAGCAATTTAAAAACACAGACATGACGTGACATGACGAGAATTCAACACATAACTACACGTAGATTGTCACAAATCAGGATTCTGTAATAATATGCAATATATATATATATATATATATATATATATATAAGTGATTTTATTGCAAATAATTTAGTTTGTCATGTACTATGTAAACATCATATTCAAATTCAGATCAAAACCAAGTTGCCAACAAGCGCATGACTTAACTTATTTAAGAAAAAGGCTGCACAGTTCATCCTCAACCCAGCTCATAAATATCACGGCCTATTTGATATTCAGTGCCATTTTTAAAGCTCTATAAAGAGTTTGCAGCTCCTGTTATAAATGATGTCTCCAGAGAAAACCAGGATCAGCTGCTATGTCTCGCTCACTCTTTTCTCTCTCCCTCTTCTTGTTCACTCTCTCTATGTGTGTCTGTTTTATTGATTTTATTAGTGGTTTCACCTTTAATGCCCAGCTGTGATGACTTTTGACAGGTTCTTTGTCAGAATGTAGTCTACACTACTTTTTATGGAGATTATCTGTCCATCACACAGTATTGTTTGGTGCTATTTCGTTTACTTTTTCTGTCATTTTCTGTTTATAAACAGTAGTCTGAATTTGCCTAATAATTTTTCAGTAAAGACCTGTCTTTGTCTAGTAAGTACAGAAAATGTGAAAGCTTCTGTCGGCTGGATATTTGTTCAATCATTACTTCTACTTTGCATCAGTAAATGACAAAGGGAGGCAATATGTCGTCCCATTTATATAAATGTGATTAAATGATTATGTTATTTGTGTAAATGTTTGAAAATGAATTGTTATCTTTTCAGGGGGCCATTCTTACTACCATGCTGGTTTCTCGAAACTTCTCTGGCAAGTATCCCACATTACTAAATATGTTAATGTTCACATGGTTAATGCACAGATCTCATTGACAGAACATTTTGTCTCCCTTGACTATAGAGACATATGTTGATGTAAAGTTTACAGAGCATGTTGTCAGAAGCAGGATCTTATTTTTAAGTCATCTCTTTTGCAACTTCAGTGTTTCCCCTTCTCTCTGTCCATGTTTTTTATTCAGAAGGAAACATTGCGCTAAGATTTGCATTGTTAACTTACTTTCAATGCAGTCATCTTGTTTCTCTCCTACTCTCTTTATCTGATATTTTTGAACTAAAGAGAGAAAGATTGACACAGACAGTAATTCCATCTCACTTTTACAACCAATGTCCAACTAAATGTCCTCTGTTGTGTTCAAGTCAAGGCAAAGGAAAGATTTTGCATTGCTCAATGACAAGCAAATGAAGTCAGTCGAAGATAGATGCATTTTAGCACCAGGAAACTAGAATGATCTTGCAAAGCAACACATTCACTCTTATCAGATTGGTCAATGAGATATGAGATGCTGTGCTGCAAAAGCTCGTCAAAGTTGCGTTCTTTTGACATCCTGACGTTACATCAGATATGTCCGAGCAATAATTTTGCAGAGGCATAAGTCTGTGTACTTTGTCTTTATAAGCACACAAAGACACTTTTACGAGATAGGGTGGAGTGCCACATATTGAAGACAGGAGGACAGGCAATAAGTAATCCAAATGGAATTCTGCAAGTTAGTGTGCATATGAAAAATCTGAACAGGTGATTTAACTAGGCAGATGTGATCTTAAAGTAGGAAGAAGTAGAAGTTACAGTTACTCAGATTGTTCCTTGAAAATGCAATGAAATCCCTGAAGCTGTGAACACCTTGAAAAACAAAGACTGATTTCTGACTGTGCTTTTCTGATGTTTTTTTTATCACATCCTGCTTTTCCAAATTTATTAAAGGTCCCATATTATGCTTTTTCTGGTTTTATATGCCCTTTAGTGTGTTTTCCAAGGGTCCTGTGCATGTTTAGGCACATCTATGTGCAAAAATTCAAAGTCTGCGGAAACGCGGCTTCTCCTACGTCCTCCTGTTAGCTGTAGCATTAGCTGCATGTAACGCTCGGTTCTAGCCCCACTCTAAAAAATGTGTCAGTCCGACGTCATTGTCAGTGTGAGATCACTGATCTAAGCCCGTTGGCTCGTTGTGGATAGCTCAGCAGCTCATGTTGAAATTTCCGAGACGTGTGCTGAGCAACTGACCAATAAGGACAGAGCGGATCGGCAGACCAATCAGAGCAGACTTGGCCCACGTGGGGTCTAACAGTGTGGGCTCAACAGAGTGTAGCTGACAGACTCAGAGCGTAGAGGGAGCAAGGAGGAGCAGTACATGAAAACAGACACTTTTTTCAGACTTTAGCTATTGTGAACATACAAAAGTAGGTACATAGATTAAATATACGAACCCCAAAAAGGGCACAATATGGGCTCTTTAAGCAAAGTTAGAAAATTCACACATGGATTCACCTTTAAAGCTAACACATTCTCTCTTTCCTGAAGAAGTGTCAAATCATATCTTAGCCATGGGTCGCTTTGTATCAAACAATGCTCTAAAATGAATGGGGAAGCACTGAATTTGGTCAGCAAGCTCTGCATGTATTCTTGTCTGTGTTCTCATCTTTGAATTTTTGAATATCTCTGTGATAGAGGACACATTCCTGAAGGTTTGACATAGATATGTTTGCTATAGTACATACAACTTGTTAAAGCCTTCCACGTCTTGAAGCTACCTTAGAGATGCCAAGAACTTTCTGCAGTCGCAAATTGCCCCTCTTCTTTTATTATAAAGACAATAGGACACAAAATTTAAGTATTACTCAACATCAGTGTCATTGCTACCTTTCCAGCACTGTTGTGGTCAGTAAAAATAAGATCTAATTTCTTATTAAGGATTCTTCAATTGAGCAGAAATAAAGGACTCAGAAATGACGCGAGAGAACTTGGATTGTTGGAAGAATTCAAAGCAGTTCCTTCATAATTGTTGAATGTCAGCGCTTTAATGAAATCACAACCAATGATTCCATGTTCTTGAACAGTGTGTGTGTGTGTGTGTGTGTGTGTGTGTGTGTGTGTGTGTGTGTGTGTGTGTGTGTGTGTGTGTGTGTGTGTGTGTGTGTGTGTGTGTGTGTGTGTGTGTGTGAGAATGTGTGTGTGTATGTGTGTTTTTGCATTTATTAATGTGATGTCGGTATGTGTGTGTGCCTGCATGCTACTTCAGTAAACATGACTCAGTGCGGCCGCTCTGATAAAGAAAGCTTTGCAATGTGAAAGAGTCTTAAGATCAACAAAACACTCACTCAGCTTTTTAACTCACACACACACACACACACACACAAACACACACACACACACACACACACACACACACACACACACACACACACACACACACACACACACACACACACACACACACACAAACTGACCAAGGTGTGTGGGTCCTGGCTGCCTCACTGCTTTTAGATGTCATTTTCTCACATGCTTTCACCTTTTTTTCTTCCGGTGAGTGAGTCAGAGTGACTTTAGAAGTAAAAAAAGAAAAACATAAAAGGTAGCCACGGCATAGTTAATCATCATATGAGATCAGTGCTTTATGTAACTGGGAACTATATTACCATAATTTATTATAAATCATGCATTGTACAGATCAGTGTCTTTGTGCTGAAATGGATGCTGTTCTTTTTCCCTTCACATCTCAATTTAATCTCTTCTAGTTGTTAAACCATATCAGATGAAGTTCCAGCCAACACTCTGTTACCCTCAAATTAGTTCAGTCAGTCTTCTTGCACATGCAATGTAAGATGGTAGGATGGATAAGGTAATGGGGAGAATTAGCTAAAATGTGATTGACCTTGAAGTGAAAGAAAACAGCCAATGAGCTGTGAGTAATTTCATTTGATTGAGGATAGACATAATCACAAACACAGGTGCTGTGTTATTCCCGCAGAGCAGCAGAAAGCCAAACACAGGTGCTGTGTTTATTCCCACAGAGCAGCAGAAAGCCAAACACAGGTGCTGTGTTATTCCCACAGAGCAGCAGAAAGCCAAACACAGGTGCTGTGTTATTCCCACAGAGCAGCAGAAAGCCAAACACAGGTGCTGTGTTATTCCCACAGAGCAGCAGAAAGCCATACAAACTCTAAGATTTAGCCAATATGCTTTCTTAAATATATATTTACTTATTACACTACTTATTGTCATCCCAATATCAAACAGTGTTAATGCACTTTACAGATTTTCTTCATATCCATAAGGGCTATAGTTTCAATCGAAGCATTGCTGTCATATATATCCCTTCAGAACAGGTCATACCCCTGTGAACATTCTTGCTTTGATTACAATGAAACTAATTCCTGTAGCAAGAGAGGAGTACACAGGCAATGCAATTTTCATTTCCCAGCAGTTACAATTAAACATAAAGCATTTTACTCACAGTCATGAAGGTTGTTGGGCACTGCAAATCTAACATTTACTAACCCTGACTTTAATCTGTGCCATCATCATCATCATCATCATCACAACAACTATTGCTATTTTCAGGAACTTTAAAAAGACTAAATGCATCAGGGGTTCTCAGGTGAAGGTTAAGATTTGTTTTTCACCTTGTTTTTTTTCTACTGATCCTTCTGTCAGAATTTCTGTACAAGTGAAATAATGTCAACGGTTTGTGTTTAAAATGTAACTCCCTTTCTCCAAACTAATGAGGACTGTTTGTCTCTGCCATTTTGTGTCTCACCGTTTCTTTCTTTTGTCTCCCTACCTGCTGTGCTTTTTTTATTTCAAAATATCCCTCCACCCTTTTCTCCATTTCTACCCCACTTTCATCCTCCTCTACCTATTTTCTTACGTTTTTCGTGCCCGTAACTCTCTTTCTTCACGTGTTCTTGGGTGTTGGACTCTTTAACAGTCGGCAGCAGGCAGACCACCGCTCCAGCCTCTGTCACTGCAGCCGCGGCAGCAGTGGCTGCAGCCGCCGGCACCACAGCAGGGCTGGTGGAACAAGGTAGTTTGGAGGTTCATCCATGGCACACCACCCCTCTCCCTTATCCCCCTCCTACTGCTGTGTCTTGTCTATTACCCTTAATTCTTGTTCTTCCTGTGTTCCCCCTTTTTCTCTACTCCCCACTACCTCTTTGCTAAGCATGGGAGCTCAGAGCATGATGGCCGACAACACCGCTAACCACATTTACTCACTTAAAGCACTAGCTATGTTTCCATCCAACTATTTAGCAGGTTTATGAAAATTGTTGCATAATCACAAAAAATACAATGAACCTCTTCTTCCATTGAGAGTTTTGAGATTTTTTTTTTTTAATGTTGAAAACATCGTTAAGGAAAGCCAAAAATATTATAATGTAAGTTATCAAGTTTTTGGGAGGACTCTGGTATTCAACTGCCGTTGGCCAAATTGTATACCTTTACATGAACAGTATTTAATAATACTGAGGTCAAAACACAGATGCCATGACTGTGACAGTTGTTGTAGCTCTTTACAGAAGTTGTTCTAAAAAGACATTTTACAAACAAGTTGAAGACATAATTTTAAGCCTGCTTCATATTCATATGTACCTACGTATTTTAGTTTTGTTCTTTGCTAAATGCTCTTATTAAGCTCACCTTCCTCTCACAGATTGTTATTTCTGGAGAAGTTTTGTGAATATTTCAGTTTCCATTTCCCCCCTTTTTATCCTTTATTTTGAGTAGATGACCTGGTTGGAAGCCCAGGTACTGCTGTCAGTCTCCATCCCAGCACATCCGTCACCTCCTGTGTGAGATCTGATTGGTTGGCTGTAAAGCCCATCACTGCTCTGTCATCTCCACTTACCCGTATTCATCGCATCATGTTAATTTATAAACACAGGCATAGTGCATGACCTCTGCCCCCTAAACGCTGCTGTCCTGTCGCTCTCTTTTCTCTTTTTCACTTCTCACTTATCCTTGTAAATCATCCGTCACATCAACATTTAATTTTTTAGCCAATTCTCTATCCTATTGTCTGCCCAATTCTACCTCACAGGTCACCTTCTACAAATTCACCGGTATCACTCCCACTTTTCCTCTTTTTCCATCATCATGTTATATCTTCATAACGTCACCCCCTCTCTCCTCTTTCCCTCTCTCTTCTTTTCTCTGTCTGACAATGACACTGGAAAGTTTGCCCCTGATACTTTAAGGATGGAACTGCCCAACGGCTGTCGGTGAATGCTGCATGGGGCACAGGACTGGTGCATGTGCTGCAACATGGGGGGGGTTGGGGGGACGGGTTTGGTGCATTGTGAACACCAGTGTGAAAGATGCAAGGATGGGCTAGTTTTTTGGAAGTGAAAGATTTACTGATTTTAAATTGTAGGCTGCATTTTGTAGTTTAGAATGTATACATTTAGTATACTGCCCCAGGATGAAGGTGATTGTATAAACATCTACTGAACTTTGAAATTTAGACACCATGGCCAAGTTATAAATGTTTGTTAAAAAGAAAACAAACCACGTTTAAAGGATTGTGCAATTTCATGCAAAATGGAAACATTTGATTTGCCACAGTAAGCCTGGGGAGATACGAAGAAGCATCTGTCCAATTGGAAGTAAGTTTAAACTAGATTTTTAAAAAGTCATAAATAACCTCCAGCTAGGAGTCGGCTTCATAAACATACAGAGACTGGATGAAAAGGAGACAGACTGGAGGGTAATGAGTGAACATGAGTCTTGAGTTAAATTCCAAGCTGAGCTAAACTCAATCTCAATCTCATGTTAAGTCTTTTGCTAACTTTAAGCCATCGTCTACACAACTGGTGCATTGGCTTTTTGGGGCTACCGAATGAGGATAACACAGAACATAGTGAACCAGTGCCAGTGCCACAACCCCTGGCTGTGTCCACAAAGCTTCTCTGAGACTTCTGGTGTTAAAGTGTTGCTTTCAAACATAAGCTTTCAAGCAGACTTTTAAACATTTCAAATGCAGGAGCAGTATATTTGATATATATTCAGACAACTGGTAGCATTAAAAAAAACAAAAAAAAAAACCTACAGTATGTGTTTTCTCCGATTGTGCAGAAATGAACCCAAGGAAAGAGGACAAAGGGCTTCACATGACAGGCTAGTGTTGAGTGAAGGAGACGGACGTAGTGGCTGTGTCCTTGTTTCTGTGGACCACTGGGACTCCTCAGCCTTCTCTGTGTTCCTCATGCCTCCACAGGGCTCCAATCAAATATTCATAGTGGGCTGTCTCCCCCAATCAGCTTCAGTCTGCCTCACTTGTTTTACCGGAAACCTTGCTCTATCTTGCATATTAATACACATTAATTCAATTATTATCTAGTAGATTTTACCCTTTCCACATGCAGAAGTATTACAAATGTATCCTGACATGTTACCCGGCCTTAAACATGTTATCAAAATAAGGTTCTTTAGGAGGTCTTGCGCCCAAGTTGTTCCCTCCAGTTGGTCTTTGCAACTCCTTTACCATAATTTTAGGTAGTTCTATAACCACTTCATATGAATCCTTGCCCATCGTTGCGTCACTCTCACTGTGGTGCATCTTGTGTGTCTTTGAGCTGGAATTCATAGCTGTTAATTTGTTTTTAATCTACTCCTCCTTTTTCTTCTTGCTTCATGTGTACTTTGTGGCAAGGTAAGGAGCGCCACTTGCTTCTCTGCCTCCGATTTAAATCAAACCACCTCTAATTTCTCAGGTTTCCACAGAGAGTTCCTCTTCGTTACTGAAAGTTAAACTTTCACTTTGGGTTTTGTAGAGGATGCAGTTTTCTGCTCTGACAGAGTAATGATGTCGGAGAAAAGCGCAGCGTAATAGCCTTATCACTGACATGCTTCCTCTTCCTACTCTTCATCTCTGCTCCCATTTCATGTCCTCTCCTCTTCTGCCAAGCCATTAGAGAATACGACAGAATGAACTTGACTTTATTCTGACCTCATTTCTTCTCCTCAGTAAAAAGCAGCTTTTGGAAAAAGCAGGAACAGCACAACAACAAACCATGCACATTCTCTCACTCTCAGTCACTCCAGATTATGTATTTGCATCACGTCACGTTGCTACTTTTTTGACTGATTAATATCCAAACCTCAATTTCATGTAGAGTTATATTAAAGAAAAAAAGGAGTAGTCAAGCACCCTGTTATCTTTTTATCCCTCTGTTAATTGCTGACTTGTTTTTCAGGTGAAACTTGTTAATTTCGATTGTCAGGGGGGGATTTTAGTTGAAAAAAACTTTGCCAGGACTTGAACTGGTCTTGTGTTTTTTTCCATAGACGTCTTCACCCAATGGAAATCTGCATGGAATTAAGGCTTCATTTGATATTTAAATTTTACTAGCTTGAAGCATTTTTGGAAAATAAAGTAATAACAAGTCAGACTGAAACTGTGTCTCATGTTTAGAGTGCAGAAACAAAAAGAGAAAGGAAGAAAAAAAAATCCCAGACGGCCAGAAATAGTGTTTTATGTAACGTCGCTGGATGCTGATGTGATTGCATCTGATTGGACTTGAAATTGCACTCAGCCCTTTAAAAGGCATGGATGACGTCTAGGGAAATGAAACAGAGGAGGGGTCTGGGACTTAAACTGGCAGGTTAGAATTTCAAAGTGAGTTCTTCCTGTACAGTAAATGATTTAGAATATGGGTATTTACAAAAGTGAAATGGCAGACTCTTCACATTACAATGATGATTTTAAAACATCCAGGAGGAACACAGGTTGTGTGATTTCTGTGATTTACAAGAAGTTTAGGATTTATCAGATTTCCTTTGGTGAAATGTCCTTTAATGATGTTTTTTGTGCATTGATGAACACGATGAAATGCTTTCTTAAGTTTTTTCCTTGATATTATTTTTGCAATATATGTGTCTGATATGGTTTACCAGTATGTCAGGACGTTTTAAAGAATGGTGTACTGTCAGCCTGTTTGGTTAGGCATATTATTCAGGCATGATGGAATAAAATCAAATCAATCTTTATTTGTTTAACTGTAAAACAGGAAGATTATGCTAATAAGAGAGAGAGGTACACACAATTGATCTTGAATGTTCATATTTTGACAGTTCATTCATATTGCCTTGCTGACAAATATCACTTTTCAATATTAAGACTTGATTCCAACATCACTCATGTTCAAAATGCTTAAAAATCAAGTGAATTCCAAAGGTAATTACCACCCATCCATCTGATGCTATGGGATTTAATTTCTTCAAAGTTCTTGAACATTGATCTCACCTGTGGGTTTTTTGCAGTCACTGAGACTGCACTGCAGAAAAATTCAAACACAGTTTTACCTGTTAAACAAATGAAATAGCCTAATATTTAATCATCCAAAAAAAAGAATTATAAGTATCAACTCCTGCTTACCAGATCACATTTTGTGTGTGCGAGTGTGTGTGTGATCTGGGTAAGACTGCGAACAGTACTTAAATCTCCCAGACAGTTTTGGTATGCACTATCAAGTAAAAATCCACTTTTACTCGTCTAATCTCATCAAAATGTTGTTTTTTTTGTTAGTGTAAATCCTCCTTTTACACCTGCCAAGACACACCCACATGCTCCACCTACTTAACATCGTGTTGCGTCCCCTCTGGGTGAACGTGAATCAATTTGATGTAATCGGACCACCTTGCTGTCTGTGCATCCACGGTGAATGCCCCACGGCACCATCGCCCATTGTCTGCACACTCCTTCCACTATTGTAAAGGATTATGCGTATTATGCTCAGCAGAAAGTCGTGTCTACAGTATCATTCTTCCTCTCCTACCCTCCTCCCTCATTACCTTGATTAGACACAAGACAGAAACTAATCCTCTTTAAGGCCCCCCGTTGAGTTCTTAAAGGCAGCGATATTGTTGGCATGTACCAGGAAGCCATCTTTGTTTCCTTTTCTCAATGCCATGTTAGGAACTTTGCATGAGGTAGCAGAGAACCAACAAATCATAGTCCATATTTACTTCTCTGACATTAATGTATTGATGAAACATAAAGCATTGTGTGTTGACCCTATAGTTATTGGACTATGTTGCTAAATTTTGAAGTTGGTGCCTTCTTGGCCGAGAAAAGGCAGAAAGTGTTTTTTTGGCTCATGTGGATGAAAGACAGCAAATCCCAGAATGCACAGCACCGCAGGCCACTCCAACTAAGGTCAGGTTTACAGACATATTTACTTCAGGACACAAGACCGGCCTGTCGGTAGCAGCCTTCTCTCCACTGTATTTATATTTTTTCGCCATTATCAGCTTTCTCCACAGAGCCTGTTAGCATAGCTTCCAAGCAACGTTAAGGCGAACGCTAAGTTTCGATTCTGGGAGTGAGTTCCCACCCACTGATCTGTGATTGGTCTGTAGCTTCAGTGGTCAAAAATATGAGGAACTAGCGTTGTAGTTTCACCCCGCTAACTTCCAATGACGCAAAATGACGATTTTTGCGTCATCGGAAGCTCCTTTTCAGACTTAAAAATACAAAGATTTCCCATCTCAGTTGAAAATGAGAGCGGGATGCACGACTATTCAAAAATACTACCAGGTTTCTAATGATCCAAAGCTTAATGCAAATGGGTGAAGTATCCCTTTAAATGCTGCATTGTGGAGGAAAAACAGGTCAAGTTGGTTAAAAGTGTTGGAGAATAAGATAAATAAGTAATTTTTACACATTTCTAACATGACGTGAATTTTTGGGTGTCAGGGTTGTCTAAAGCTGAAAGTCACAGTACTGCATTGGTGACACAGTAAAAGCATTTCATTAGAAAGATGCTGAGGTGTCCTTGCTCTTCCAGCCCAAGGCTACTGTACTTCCCTAAGGTATTGCATTTTAAAAAGATATTTCACCACCAAGGTCAACAAAGAACTTCACTTTACAAAGTCAAATAGATGTTTTGTCTTGATTATTTGTGAATGTCATTTTTCGCTTTCTCTGACTGCCCCCCCCCCCCTGTGTTTGTCATTGCAGCAGCTAAGACCTTGCTCAACAAAAAGGCAGATGTCAAGGTAAGGGTCATCCTCACATCTCTGCCTACTGTCTTCGTAACGTGCTAACTTTCCAAAGATAGAAACTCTACCTCTCCTTCCTCTTTTCTGTTCTTTCTGTGCTCCACTATTTTGCTTCTGTTCCAATCTGGCTTGCCTCACTTTTCTCCTCTGTTGCACTCTTTTCTCGAGTGTTGAATGTGTTTGTTTTTCTCTCATTTTGTCTCACGTTGTGATTGTCATATCGTCATTGGATGTGTTATGTCTTGTGATGCATACGGAGGATGGGGTTTTGTCTTAAGTTGTGTGTGTGTGTGTGTGCGTGTGTGTGTGTGTGTGGCACATCCTTCTGCTAGCACCCTTTATTTGTTCAGCTCATTGCTTCCTCACCATCTCCGTTATAATTAAACGTAACCATCTGTAAGCACTTGCCTTTTTTTCTCCATCACTTCCTACGTCGCACATTTCCTCCATTTCTGTGTCTTCCTCCTCTTTCAGCGCTTCCTCTTCCTGCTCACCCCATCTGGTCTTTAACCCCACATTCCTGTTCATTCTTTTTAATGAAGAGCTCTCACCCTCCCACTCTTGCGCATACACACCCAGCGGTAACACATCCCACGCAAGCGTCCATGAATTCATCAGCGTGAATGCATGATTTTGTGCGACAAAGCTTGGAACATATTTGCACGCACAAATAAATGTGTTTGCTTCCAAGCATTATACGTTACGTTTGGAAGAGCTTTGTGCACATTCACGTGGACATGCAAGTGTGTGTATAGTAAGTGCGACTGTGTGTGTGTGTGTGTGTGTGAATACGTCACATTTTTTTGTTACCCTTAAAACGGAGAATGAAGGTGCGAATGAGTGGTGTTAAGAATTCCTGCACATTGAGCGTGTATATGCGTGGGTGTCTGCGTGTGTGCTTTGCTTATGTGCATGTGCAGTTGTGTGTGTCTGAGAGTGTGTGCATACATAGCCCCCCCCCCCTCCTATCTCTCCTTGCTCAGTCGGTTCAGCAGGGAATCTGACTCCGGCTCCAGGAATAGCTGCCAGTCTGGACCCTGGAAACTCAGACGACAGAAATAGACGCTTACTTCCACTGTGGTGCACTCATTGCCTAGCAACAGGCTCCCCACACACTCGCCCCAAACCATTTTTAACGGCGTCTTCTTCGTTTGCGGTTGTCCTTGATTTCCTCCTCCCCTCCCTTATCTCTTTCTTTCTCCTATGCTTCTTTCCTCTACAAGTCTTTTTTGTCCTTTTGGCGACTCTGACCTCAGCTTCTCCTCTTCTCCTTCCTCTTGTTCATTTTGGCATTTGATGCTTTTCATCTTGAGCATCTGCTCAGTGCAGCCGGCTTTCTACCTACATGCCACAATCACCCTTCTGTGCTGCCAACTTATTCCTACAAAAGCCAGTCCATTCAGCATTTCTTACAGAGCAGTTGTATCAATGAAACACAATGCTTGCTTTCTGATAGTTTCTTAAAGTTACTTGTTGGACTCACATCAACGTTCTAATTGGATAAAACTAATAAACTGCTACAAAACATTTAACGATGGATGGTAAACTAGCTAGACAAGGTTTTTTCTAACTTGTTAGGTCTGCTTCTAAAAGTGAATGATTTGAATCATCAGTTGAGAAAATTCCCGAGTGGACTCGAACTTTGTTAGAAGAATCTCTCAACTTTCTGTTTTCAATATACTTCAAGAACAACAGTGTACCAGACTATAAACGTAAACAAAGGCTCAAACTGAGCCAAATTATCCACAGAGGTCTTGTGCACTCCAAAACAAACAGACCATCAACCAGTGCTTTTAGAAAACCTATTCAGAAACCGTCAACTATCATCTGAGGACGTTATAACTTATTTAGGTAACAGCAGCTAGAAATGTGCTGCTCTTGATGACTTCACCTGCCACGGCTCCTCGCTTGCATCTTCCTACTTTTCCAAATATCACTTGAAACTCTCATTTCTGTCGGAAGCGACTCGAACGAACTCTGCATTGGCTCACGCTTTCTGGAAAGTCTGATCCTGCTCTTATTCAGGATAGAAAGCTGAATTGCCATGGGTGTGTGCAATGTTTTGGTTTCTCTGACAAGTTCTCTCTTGTAAAAGTGCATTCACTTTTTGTCATTGGTTACTTTATATTCCCCCCCCCCCCACTTCTTCTACCATTCATCCATCCGCCAACAATTCCATCCATCAATCAATCGCCTGTGGACAGAAACGCAAGTCCAGCTCTACTGTCCAGTACATGGTGAGCATGCTATTTATACATATGCCTGTTCAATTTTGTTTTGCTCCCTCTCTCTTCTCCTGGATTTCTTTTTTCCGCCTTTCCATCCCCACTTTTGCTTAATTTTGCAAGACGGGTCAAGCCCCCCACTCTACACTGAATTATTGATTTAGTGGTGCCGCATTCATCAAACTTTATTTTTTCCAAAGCGCACAGATGAACAGAAAATAAAAGCTACCCCAAAATACAACAGGAGCACCTACAAATAAGAGCATTTGTTGAAATGCTGATTTTCAATCAAAGACAAACCTGAAACCAACTTAGGCCCTTCTCAACTTTTCAGAGGACCAATGTATGAGTTCATTAGTTTACTTTTGAGCTCTTAAGACAGCACTTGACTTTTCTTAAAAGTGTATCAAGACTTAGGATGAAAACCCATACCTAAACTAATTCTTCTAAAATCAAGTTAGTTAAGTGAAGGGGAATTAGACTCAGTACTTGTTTCCCTCTTCCTTCCATGAGTTGCCTTCTCTTCCTTCTGACCTGACAGGTCATTTTTCCCACACACCCATCATCTCTCCTGAACCTTTCCCTTCTTTTTCTCCCGGTGCACTGCCTCCTTTGTCCACCTGAGGAACCTTCTGTGGAGAATTTGACCCTCTTTCTCCATCCTGACTCTGGCCTTGATCTTTGAATGGTATTTATTGTGAAGATTAGTTATACAGTATCTTCTGGTCTGTGCTGCTGACATCAAGTCAGTTTTTAAACTGCCATCAAGGGATATGAAGGGTGTTCTCCCCATCATGAATCAAATGCTAAGACATGCATTGTTACTGCAAACATGCTTTGAGTCTTACCCCGCTAATCAATACTTTCCGAAGCAAACGTTTCCTATTGCTCCACAGAGGCAGCAGAGTGATGGCTGAAGACAGCTTTGGTTGGTGTGTGATTGTGTGTGTGAGTATGTTTGTATGGGAATGGGTGTGTTTGAGTTCATGCTACGTTTGTGTGTAAAATGTAAGCTTAAACCAGCTTTTATTTTCATGGCTATTTTGTATGCCTTGTTTGGTGTGTTTGCAATCTTTGCAGCTGTATGTCGCTCTCCTCTCCTCTCCTCTCCTCTCCTCTCTTCTCCTCTCCTCTCCTCTCCTCTCCTCTCCTCTCCTCTCCTCTCCTCTCCTCTCCTCTCCTCTCCTCACCTCTCCTCTCCTCTCCTCTCTTCTCCTCGCCTCGCCTCTCCTCTCCTCTCCTCTCCTCTCCTCTGTTATTTTCTCTTGAGTAAGCCCAGCCCTTACAATTTCAAATCATATTAAACATACCCATTCAGATACACGCACACTTCTTTTCTTTGTTTGTAAGTGCTTCATATTGATTAACTTCAGGTGAAATCAGGTGATGCCATCACCGATGATACAGTAACCTGACTCTCATGCCTGATACCAGCTGATAATTTGACATATTTGTACTTTAAAATGAACTTCCCAAAAACAGAAATAGATGCAATGAATAGAAATAGATGATATGATACATGTATGTACAATTGAGGAACCTTTAATGTTAAGAAAAGCTAAGGTTAAGTGACCAAAGCCTTATGGTTTGATATTTCATAGCTTGAAAATAATCCACATTGGTGATCAAATTATTTCATAGGTCAAAACTATTGTGAAAACAAAAATGTTTTTACTGCTCTATTTGATATTTATTCAAGCATTTTTGTTTTTCATATTTTTGCATGTCTTCTTTCGTTTCTTCCCACAAGTCTGTGTTTCAGCAATTTCAAAAATCCCATCACAAACTAGGGTTGCATCATACTTTTTTTTTAAATCTGTACATTTGAAAAGTGATTGTGTTAATGACAGAATGAACCCCAAAAAGTAATCCTAACTTATAGGAATGTCTAGCCATGTTGATAATTGAAAAAAATAGATTCAGAGTGAAATAGTTTTATATAACAATACAGATAACTGTTTCCTGGACAGTTCCTGGACTTTTTCAGGATTAACAAAACTCTATTAACCTCTTTTTTCAAAATAAGCGAGGGGTTTTACAAAAACCAAGGTGAAACACAGTTATAAGGACAGCTGCATCAGGGACACAAACGCACTTATTAGTACACACATCCTTGTGCATGCACACACACTCACAGTCCCTCTTGCTGTTGTTAACACTCTTGTTGTGTCTCCTCCCTTTTCCTCTCCTCTTCTGCACAGCCCCAGACAAACAGCACCAAAAACAGCATAGTCACCAGCCCCAAAGGAAACATCCCTTCACCTGCTCTGGTATTTACCTTCTAACCCCCCCTTCACCCTTGTGTTCGTGTGAGTCTCTCCCATTAGCCTCCTTTCCTCTGAGAACCCACCCCCACTGCCCCCTCTCCTTCACCTTTGTGTGTTTTTTTTTCCAGTCTGTTTGTCGTGTCGGCTGTGGTTGATCTTTGCCACGGCTGTCTGAAAGGTCTCAAATCAGCAGGTGGTGCCAGGAAACATCTCCTCATCGAAGGTGGCAATGCTATGTGACTTGTACTCTGGTTGATATTGTGCAGCCATGTCAGTTTCTCTGTCTTTGCGAGTTTGCAGACGGGGAACAGACAGTTAAGGCCTGCTGGGGCTGTCAGTGTAATTTACCTCCTCCCCTTTATGTATGCCTCTGCAGAGAGGAGGCTCCCCACCGGGTTAGCTTTCCAAAGTCTGCAGATTATCCTTGCAGCCAAAATGCAGACCAGTTTATGCCACACAGATTCATAATTCCTCCTCTTCTGTTGATGGCGTAAACATTTGTTGGATTGGCTTGAGTGTTATCCTGCGTGCTCTTGGGCCTAAGCTCCGCGATCACTTTTATGTTTTTACTCTAGAGATGATATCCAAATTATTACTGCTCATTGAGTGCTTCTTGAAAGAAATTCATGTATGCAGCAAGTTCCAGATTGTATAATTTTCTACTATTGAGAGCTATGGTTGTGGGGTATCTGATTTCCTAATAACACACCTGGTTTTGGAAAGATAAGCCCCCCAAAAATGTGTGTTGTGTGAGTGAATGTACATTTTTACAGGCAATGCAGGTGACCTTTTAAAAGCATGTTGTGATTTTATTTATTGGTCAGAAAGCTCTTTGTGTAAGTCCATGTCACTGCTGTTTAAAAATCAATCATCCAGTCAGGTCACTTGTTTGGTTTTGAAAATGTACTTTGAAATTGCAAACATCTAAATCGTATCCATATATGTACTTATAGTACGATAAATGAGGCTATTACACATATTTTTTGTGTTGGCTACAACCCCATTTCCTTCAATAAATAGATTTTCACGTAAATATATTTTAAGCAGCTCAAACACACTGCAGGTATAATTCCCATCAACTTCATTTATCGGTTGTAGACTGGTAAACTTTCTTCACCTCTGAATATACTACAAATGACTCCATTCTTCGTTTGTCATGGCAGTAGGGGTTTGCAAAAGCAAAAAGCCCATCAGCTAACAATGAAGATGGGATTTATAATTTTACTGTCATTTGAAATTACTCTTATTAACATGTACCAGGCCCTCTGTAATTTTATTGTGGGGACACCAATCGCAGAGCTCGTAGTATGGCGTTTTCTGCCTAGCAACAGCAGAGATGGAAAATTTTGACTGGGGACACGTTACCTCTTTCATTTAACCCTTTATATGCCATTACAAACCATAAAAGGGTTTTTCTCTGAAACACGATGGTTAGACACTGATTGTCAAATGTTGAATTGATAAAATAAAATTAGAACAAATTACTTGTAAATTATAGACTTTGCCAAGCGGGCCCTGGCAGGTCCCCTCTGGTGTTTTGTGAATACTCAATCAGGGGGAAATACTGGCCAAAATGCTCATCTTTTATCTGTCGTCTAAATACTTGTTGAAGAAAAACATTTTACATCACTTTTCAACCAGTGAAAGATTACTCACCAATGATCTAAAGTTAAACATCGGACACTGCACCTCAGAACTTCTGCAGACAGGATACGCTGAAGCTTTGTCCCCCTGGCTATCTAAAGTTCTGTGTGAAAATCTTTGTATCATATATCACAGTATACTGTGAGTGGTATGCTCTTGTTGTAGACTTTACTGCTTTGATATTCAATGCATTGACTTCCTTCAGAGCTGCCATGACAGGTTAGAATCACTTGCAGGACTTTGATTTTCTCACCTGAAAGCACTTATCTGACTCACAGTAAGTAAAGTGTTAGGACTCTGATCAATATACAAGACTTTTCTCAAGAGCTCCTGGATAAAATTATTAAACTTTGTTGCAGTACTAGATCCTCCATATAAGAGCAGAAGGGTTGATATAAGGTTAATGTCATTGTGTAAATGATAAAATCCTTTCCCATTTAATGCTGTGACGCCCTCAGCAGCCGCCCCCTTTTTTTGATCTGCAGACCCCAGGTACTTTGTTCTTGCTCATCAATATCATCATCATCATCTCCCAAGTTACCACCAGTGCTTGTTGCCGTTGGTGATGGTTGCTAAGACAACACTACCATCATCAGCAACCAGGGGGAAAAAAAGCTGATGATTGGCCATCACCGAGTTGTCACTTCCTAGGGGGAGAAGAGAGATTTCAGAGAAGACTGAACATTAAATGATGTTTTTTTAGAAAACTGTTGAGAGAAGATATATCTGTCTTAATTTTACATCAGTAGCATTAACAGCAGGCTTTATATACGGTGAAGCTGTAAGACGAAACTGTCTAGTGCTTGCGTCTAAAAGTTTGAACCTTAATTTCAATCAAAAATGTAAAAGTCATTGCAGAGAAGCTAAAAAACTAAATCCTCTCTTTCTGTTACTTTTTAAAAATGACAGTTTAAGCCCTTCCTGAAACCAGCAGGAGGGGTATAAGTGGGTTTGGTAGCAGAAGTAATGACATTGTGAAAAGTTGTCCTGTATTGCTAATGTTCTGAAGTGACTAAATTTCCATTGGAGAGGGTTCCCTGAAACAATGACAGTCTCTGCCCGGCAGTCTGTTCTGCTGAGAGGAGTTGTGAAGGAACAGAATGACCTGTTTTAATTGTGTGGGGCCTTTTCCTCTTTTCCTTTAGGTGTGCAAGAGCCCTGTTTGATGTTATAGTGTTTTATGTATGTTAAGACATATTGGGTTTGCATATATTACTCACTGGTTTTCACTCATTTGTGTTTGCTATCATGTTTCACGGCATACTTGCATCGTGTGAAAGATTGATGGAAATGGAAACTATACATGCTAAAAAAAGAGATTGCAAAATGTTTGACAAGATCCAGGTACAAGTAATGACAGTTCGGACAAGCTATATGCTGTCCCGATGCTTTGTGTCAATTGCTTCTGTATGTGTGTGCATAAGAGGGAGAAGTCGAGAGGACTGTGACTCCTCATGTGCTCATGGCAGACACTTCACCCTGGGTTTTGGTACTCTCTCTGTTCTTGGTGTGTGTGTGTGTGTGTGTGTGTGTGTGTGTGTGTGTGTGTGTGTGTGTGTGTGTGTGTGTGTGTGTGTGTGTGTGTGTGTGTGTGTGTGTGTGTGTGTGTGTGCGCAAATTACGGTTTTCAGCTCATCCACCCACTCACTTGGCTTTGGAGGACTCTTCCCTCCCTCCTTTGTCAACCTTTCTCTTCATCTAACATTCACATGCCTGTCTCTTTTTCCCTCTCTTTACATTTTTTCCCTTTTCTCTACCAACTTCTTTTTCAAGATCTGCTTTCTGTCTTCACATTTTTCCTTCCTTTACTCTCGCTTCCCTATTTTGCTCTTTAATTTCATGTTCCTCCATCTCTACTTCTCGCCCTCTTGTTCCAGGAACCTCAAACAACTGTCATCCATAATCCAGTGGACGGGACGAAGGTATACATTATCCTCCGGTCCTGACCTATTCTTTCTACTCTTTGTCATTCTCCTCTTCCTCATCTTCTCCTTTCCTTTGATCTCTCTTTTCATCTTGCATCCAGGTTAGACCACCACAGCATTGAATTACTAATGAGTATGTGTGTGTGTGTGTGTGTGTGTGTGTGTGTGTGTGTTTGCAGCTGTAGATTAAACTCAGATAAATGACAATATTATATAGTTGGACAATAATTATCACTAGGAATATAATTAATAAATAAACAATTAAAGCTTCCTGAAGTACTTCTAAGGATATCCTGTTTGAATATTACACTGCCCAGTTTTATCCAGTCACATCCAGTCACTCCCTTTTCATCTTTCTTTTGTCCTGCATTCAATATCAAACGAGGCAGTATGTGGAATCATGCTGTTGGTTTTCTGTAAAAAAAAATAAAAAAAAATCTTTAAAGCAATGTAATTATGTCATTTAAAAATATCAGGATTTTTTTTTATCAGTTAGTATTATCATGTTATTAATGTTTGGTGGGAGGTTTATAGCCAATCCAAACTTCCTGTTGCTACACTAAGTGTTTATGTGTGTGCATCCCCACAGTTAGAGGTAGTGCATGAACCTGCATGACTTTGCAGTAAGATCTGTAGTTTGCCCATGTGAGTTTTTTTTGCTGAGTTTCACAACATTGAGTCCTTTGCATTAAATTCTGGGTCAGACTTCAGATAAAGGTGTATGTAAACAACATCAGTCTTTCAGATCGTCCAAAGAGACCACGAAGTAGAACAATTCTGTTTCACTGCAGTTTTGATTCATACAGTAGTAGGCAGGTTTATGTAGCTTACTTGATATCTTGAACAGCTGATCACTTGGTTTTGTCCATGTGGGCATCTGAAAAGTATGCATTTTGACCTTTGCCATTTTATTGGAAGAAAATGACTCAAGACATTAGACGGTATGAGGGAACAAATGTGAACATAAGTTAATGCTCTGTGACTGAAATCAGGGCAACTAAGGGTCAAAGTGTAAAAAGCAAAATAACAACAACTTGCTCTAATATCTGCAGCACACTTACGCACATCATGTTTTTACAAGCCCAACAGCTCACCTGTTATTTGTCAGGATGATAACAAATGAAAAGGATAAAGAAGTAACAAGAAAAACTTCTCTATGATTCAGTCTAAAGAAAACAAAGTGTAGGTGTGATCACACTTTTAGTGATATTTCTTATATCCGATGTTTGCCCTTCTCTCTCTCTCTCTCTCTCTCTCTCTCTCTCTCTCTCTCTCTCTCTCTCTCTCTCTCTCTCTCTCTTTCTTTCTCTCACTCACACACACACAAACACACACTTTTCCTCTACACTTGTCCCTCCTCTCCTCAGGTCACCAGATGTTCTTTACAGGGCTATGAAACCACTTTTGTGCTTTGTGCTCGTGATGGTGCTCTCGCACGTGTCTTCTTCTAATGAGGTCGCCCAGTCCACACTCCCCTCTAGATGCAGGGGAATTTAGGCCCATTTAATCTTCTAATTGGAAGTAAGAAGCTAACTCCTCCTCGGGTAAAAGCTTAAAAGGAGAAGAAAAGCAGAGCAGAAGGAAAGGTGGATGAATAGATTTAAGCCCTAGGAGGAAAACTAACTGCCCTTTGAGAACGCATTCTGCCTGTTACTGATGTTCTAATAGTTGGTCCGAGCACATCCCATTGAGTTTCTGTCAGATCCAGCAAGAGGAAAGAGCACCCTGTGGTGGAAAGACGTCACTGGTCTGCATGGTGTGAAAAACACACACACACACACATTCACACAAACATTGATATGGAGCTTGTCTCGCTAGGGTCAAGAGTTGAAAATGATCAATAGCTATAAACTCTGTTTCATGATTTGTATTGAAACTATGTTAAATTGTATCGCACCTTTGTAGAGATAAATTCAGTTCAAACAGTGGGAGCTTCCTAGAGTAGAAGAAAAGAAAAGAAGTTAAATATATAAAGTATGTCAACCATAACTATGGTGTTGGTTCACTGGCACAGTCTGCCTGTCTTTTTGCAAAGGTCGGCGGGTTGTTGCACATTAACAGCATTGAAGCAATATTGTGGTTTTGCCCTTGTCCGGTATAATTTTGTGAATTAAACCAACATTAATTAATGTATTTGGTACTTCGAGATTTCTCTCAGGGATATTCTCCCTTATGGCCTGTGTTCTGAACATAGACTGTGTAACAGAAGTGGACTCTTGGTGTCAGAAGTGAAGCCCTCCAGGTTTTGGGTGCTTGGACCGGGAGGGTGCAAGGCCTTCGGTTGCAAAAGGGGTTCTACCAGAAAATACCCTACAGTACCTGTCACCATCAGGAACCTTAAACATTTTCCAAACAGATATGGTTTCAAATATTTTCAATACAGCATGTTATTTATTTTAGAAGTTATGGTCCCATTTAAAGTCTAAGATATGAAGAAGCAGGTTATCTTTATGGATTTGGCTAAGTCTTTATCAAAGCAAACTGTCCACCATGGGTCTATCCTTTTGGCTCCAAAAGTGAAAGAATGCGAAAAATGCTATACCCAAGTTTTAAAAAACAGTGGCCCTTAAAGCAGTGAGTGACATCAGGTTGTCCACTTCCTATACAGTCTACGGTTCTCACCGCGCATATCAAGTCTTTATATAACTCTGTCTGTGTGTCATATGTTTCCAGCACAAGTATGTGTACTGCTGCCTTTGTTCCCACACTGACTGTTTACCTCTGATCTCCAGGAATCATCGGACAGCAGCAACACCACTGTGGAGGACGAGGATGTGAAAGGTAAGAAGACTGCAGTGATACAGAAAGAATGACAAATCCCTGAGCTGAAAAAAAAAAAGTAAATTACTGAACTGTTTGCTGCACTTGAGGGTGGATTACTCAGTGGAACTTGAAACTTTTTGGATCATCACTTGACATTTTTACTTTGTGATAGTATTGTTTTTGTTTAAGTTACTTTGCTGCGGCTAGTCAGGAAACAACCTGTATAAAACGTGGTCATCACATAATGCGGACAAGTCATTTTTGAAATCACAATAGCTTAAAACAAGTGAAGGAAGATAGTCCACTTAACCAGAACTGAGAGATATAGGGTTGAAGGTTGTGGTTTAACATTTTACGTTTTGTTTTGGTTGATTGTTAAGAGCTCTGTTATTGTTACCTTTGATTCATTTTTATTTAAGTTACTCTATTTGTTTTTGACAGAGGGATTATACCGGAATGGATTTGTAATGATACATTTTTGCACCGTTACTCTAATCTTTTAAAGTTTAGAAATTACAGTCTAATTTTTTAGCAGGCCTAAAAAAAGGGAAATGAAACTTGCTGCCTCGCTTTGCATGATCTTTTTTATTAGATGGCAACATCACAAGCCTCAGGGTGAGAATACCTTTTGATGCAAGCTGTTGAAAAAGTCTTTGTTTGGACTGCCTTCATCTGTTTTATCTCTGGCTAATTAGAGAGTCCTTGTTTTCTCTGAAATACGTTCTAATTTTTTGTAAGATCTGACATTTCTACAAGCTTACAGAAATAATTTAGTTGCTGTGTATGCTCTGGGAAAAGAAGATATTATCTATCAGTGCAGTACATGCTTAATATACTGGGGTTATTATTTTTACAAAAAAAGAAAGGCAATATGTCAACTTTAAAAGTTGTAGAGTGTGAAAATATAATTTACATGTGGTCAAATGGCATTCACTTGCTGATGCCTGACCTCTTACTGACCCCCAATGGCGACCGGCTGTATTGCTTCCTCCTGCTGTTTTTTTGTTTTAGACTTAAAGAGTATACGTGTGTGTGTGTGTGTGTGTGTGTGTGTGTGTGTGTGTGTGTGTGTGTGTGTGTGTGTGTGTGTGTGTGTGTGTGTGTGTGTGTGTGTGTGTGTGTGTGTGTGTGTTCCTATTAAGTGAGAGGGGGGGCTAAAATAGGCCTTGTAATGCTGTGGTGGTTTGGCTTTCTCAAAATGTTGAGCTGTAATCTGAATACCGAGACACACAAACCCTTCTAAAATACCAACATGCCTGTGTGGAGTGTCAACTTGCAGAGTTGTGTTCATGTGTTGTGAGTGTTTGTATTTGTTGCCACTGGCTACATTTGTATGTACATCACACATATGAGCTACTGTAATACCTTCACAAAATACTTTTTATGTATAGACTTTTTTTTCTGCTGTATGTGTGTCTGAATCGTCTGAATCTATGTTTGATTGTGTGATTGAGTGTGTGAATGTATGGGTTGCGGCTGTGCTTATCTATGCCAGCACACTCAAACACCCCTGTTCTCCTTCATCCAGGCTCAGTACAATGCGTCTAAATCGGGTCATGAATGTATCATTTCAGTAGCAGGCATACAGAACAGAATGTGCGCCTCTATCTCCTGGTCCTCCTCCCTACAGAGGCAACGCTGCTGTGTCACAAATTCCCTTGCAACTATTGCAGAGCCGTCATGTAAGAAACAATAACTTTTGTTGAAAATAGTTTCAAGGAGTACTTCCTTAAGCAAGAGGGTAACTCCTTTTAAAAGGGTTCAGAGTAAAAGAAGCTGAAGCCCTATACACCTAAACCTTAGCACCAGGATCAAACTGTGTATTTAGTTCTGAGCGCAATTTTGGGATAACTAAAGACAAATTACTCCTCCATAGACTGAATTGAAATTAAAACAATTTTCAATAAGTCAAAGTATATATTATATTAACAAATGTTAATAGAGTTATTGAGTTATTTTTTGAGAAGTAACATTGCTAACAGAGTGTTTTTTTTACGGTGTTTAAAATTCTTCACCATAAGTAAGTTCATCTTTTTCCAGCATGACGTAATTGGTCCCTTACTTTAGAGTAGCCTCCCCTACACTACCAACAACACAGCAACAATATTCTCAAGTATTTCTCTTGAGTAATATTTAATGCTGTTCCACAACCCGCACATCCATGTTTTCAATGATTTTCTTTCAGAAATGTCGAATTTATTTCTTGCTCATATGAAAATAACTTATTGTAAGAAAATTGAAGTAAGGCATCCCATAGAAGGATTACAACAAATCACTCTACTGTACCATACTGTACTTGGATATCTTCCGCAATTAATTTCCTGCCCTTCCAAGGTCCCAGTCAGAGTTTAATACCTCTATCTCCCCACTCCGCTGGCAGGAGTAAAGAGGGCAAGGGCAAGGGCACCTTGGGAGGGGGGTTTGGGGCTGAATGGGGAGGTGTCTAAATATAGTGCTGGTGGCAGGAAATGGAGACAGAGTGCCCAGAGAGGTGTTGAAAACACACCGCTCTGCTAGCGCCACCCTTGGATAGCATTAGTCTCACACAGCAGTTTACAGACACTTACGATATGAACAGACACATACTGTAGCACAGTTAGCGCCAGGCTGAACTACAAGAACCAGGTGAGTGCAGGAGTGAGTTGAGTTGTGTTAGGTTGGAAGAGTTTCTGTCATGGTGGCCTGTTTGGGAACTTGTCAGGTCAGTGAGCGCTAGACAGCTGGTTTGCAACCCAACACCTGTGCTGGCGTTTGGAGAATCTGGACACATAACTGTTCTGTTACCCTCCGTGCTTTTATAGGAGTGAAGATGTTACAGGCACTGTTTTCTGAGGGCTGATTTTTAAGAGTTGTCAAGCTATAGATTTATATTATACGTGTGACTTTATTTTAATGTACTGTATGAGTTAAGATTACATTTTGTTTAACTGCAAATGCTAAAGTTCTTTACTGTGGAATTTAAGAGCTAATTGCTTGGATGTTTCTGCACGGCACTTCTGGTAAGTGATCACCTGTCAGTCAAACATAGGGGGCTGAACTATGACATCTTTTTTCTTTGGATTTCCTGTTGAGTTTACGCCTTAGGCCAGGAGAAAATTGGCATTCACTGATGGAAATGTTTCTGTTTTTTGCGTTGGTCCGCGAGTAAGATGTATTATTTGTTTGAAAGGATGCAGTTAAACCTCTTAAACCTCGAGGTACAGTGGTGGTTTGTGATTGGATCCACCTCCTTTCTTTCCTGACAGTGTCTCGTTCCACATGATTTTTCTGCAGGGGCGCTTTTTCTCCCTCTGTTTGTCAATGAGTGTTCTTGTGTTGCATTTCCCCCCGTGCCAGCTGATTAAACAGACAAGCGGTAATGAGTAATATCCAAATTGACTCTCATTATCATGGCCATCACCATTGTCATCATCCATTCTCTGCTCACTGGAAAGGCATCCATTAAAGCCTCAATAAAAACTCACATGCAGCAGCAGCTACAGCTTTAAATCCTGCAGTAATGAAGTCATTAGTTGTAAGCTATTTCAAATTAGATCTGATGACAGAGGATTGTAATTTATCAGTGTTTAAGTCACAGACTTAAAAAGAAGTGGACATAAAGTAGCTACCGTGATGTCACCCATTGGTGTGGACTAATATTTTGGAGCTTGGATTTGGCTCTTGGGCTATCGCCATCTTGGAGTTTTGGAGGCAGAAATGACCATATTTGGAAAAGAGGTTGGAGCTGTGAGAGAAGCTTGGACATGAAACATTAAGTCGTCAGCTCAGAGAAGTGCTAGTTTGATTTACAAGGTGCAATAAGCAATTCAAATAAAATGTTTTATTACTGGAATGCTAATTTTGGCAAAGACAGAAAATGTGCTGGCAGCATAAAACAAACAGCTGACCCATTTAAGTGTTTTTACTACAACGTTTAGCTGAACAAGATGCCTGTCATGACTTCATGGCCCTGGCTTGTCAATCATATGGAAGTTACTCCCAAAAGCATACTCTACAATGTCATTATTACACACTGTGTTATTATCATGAGACTATATTTTACAAACTGAACACCATGCTGCTTACAAGCAGACAAAGTAAATGTTTGAGAGAATAAACTTCAGGAAAATGTTCAACCAGTTCATAAACCCTTTCAGAAGTCGAGTCTATATCTCAAATAATTGATCTGCTGTCACCACATCATCTCTTACTTGCTCTGCTCCTTTCCATTATTCCTCACTGTCACATTTCTGTTGTATTTTTTGTTTTTTGTTTTATTTATGTGTATGTTTGGTCTCACTCTGTGTGTGCATGTTATCAGGGAAGAGCTTAGACAGCAGCTCGCTTAAGGCGCAGTCCAGCACAAGCTCCCAGCCTGATAGCTCTCAGGGCTCCTCAGCTGCTGTGCATTGTAAGTCAGCATGGCCCGCCAACTACACGCGCACACACACAACCACGTGCACACACACACACTCACAGCACAAGGGCAGATGGCTATACATACATATAGTCTGGTTTTGCCCAAGGTTTCTGCCTCTTCAAAGGAAGTTTTTTCTTTCCACTGTAACTTTGCTAAATGTTGCTTTGTGCTCATGATGGATTAATGTTGGGTCTTTGAGTAAGGTCTTTTACCTGCTTTTTGTAAAGTGTCATTTGATATGAATCGGCGCTACACAAATCAAGATTGATTGATTGACACACATTCACACATGCTCCAATAAAAATTCACCTTGACTTCATTTTTCCATGTTTTTATTCCATTCAGCGTCCATGCATGTATTAAAAACAAACCTCTGCTGTCATTTAGCAACAATAACACCCTGCCTTACCCTTTACTTCATTCCGTCATATGACTTTTATAGCATCACTCCTTCATCTTCCAATCAAACTGATTTAAACATCTAATAACTATATAAATAGTAAACAAACCAAGCCACTATGAGGGAGATGTTGTGTAGTATCTTTATTCCTCTCCTATCCTGTCCTCCTCCCTGTAGCGCCCACTCCAGATGTATTTAGATAACTCTTTGTCTCTGCCTGCTGGACAAATGGGGAAAAGCAACACAACAAAAACGTGTTTCAGACGTTTCAAAGCATGAATTTTCCTCTTTGTCTTTCATTTTGCCCTTCTCTGTCTTTATGTCAGACTTTGTCTTGGAGAGCTCTTATATATACAGTGTCACAATGTCAGACTCAATGAGACTTCATTTTTTGTATGAATATATGTATTTATCAAATAAATGTTTGATAAATCTCACCTTTTCATATCAGAGGCTGTGGCTCAGAGGAAGAGTGTGTCGTCTCTCATTTATTTGCTGGTTACATCCCCGGCTCCTGCAGTCTACATATCTCAGTTTTTTTTTAACAAGACATTGAACCAGATTTGCCCCAGAAAGTATAACCTGGGGGCCGGGAATGTGTATGAATGATTAGATCAGTACTTATGGGTAAATTAGCACTTCTCATAACAGCCTCTGCCAATTGTGTGTGAATGTGTGTATAAAAGGGACAATTTGATATAAATTGTCAAATAACTTTGAGTAGCGGGAAGACTGGAAAAGCACAATTAAAGTGCAGTCCGCTTAACATTTACCTTTTAAGAACTCTGGTCTTAGTGCTCTCCAGGACAAGGTTTGTTCATCTGAATGGCCACAGTTCTTTTGTCAATCTTTCATCAAAGTGCATTGTCTCCCATGTTCCTCCCTTCCTCCCGCCTGAACTCAGCGGCCACAAAGTTTGCTGACTTGCTGGGCTCAGTGCGTAGGGGCTCAGGGCCCACATCTGACTGTGAGGGTAGATCCAGCACTCCACCTCCCGCTGTCCGCTCCGCCCCCTCCCCTCCTCACACCCCTGCTGTCCCAATGCAGAGTGAGTAGAAAACAAGCACAGGAAGGTGAACCCTAGATAAAGCAAAAGCTACCATGAGACTTTATGAAACCTTAATAGGAAAAAAATAACAGATAAAGACTACGTTCTACATTTTTTGCCACTACACTGTTTACAGTACCCTTGCTAGAGTAACGCTTGCTAAACCTAGCAGGGTTAAGCTAATACAGGAACTTGCAGAGACTTAGTAAAAAGGAAGCTATATTCTTATTTCACTTTAATCAGTAATGAAGGTGAAAGCCACTGACAGGTTAGAAAAGATGGAGAGTATCATGGGACAAACGTTTTTGGAAAGTGTAGTTATTGGAAATACTGCAGTGACAGACAGGTTAACAAAGTCAGAAAAGGATTTCCTCATTCGTAATCTCAAGACGGTGGCTGTCTTCCTCTTATGTCACACTCTGGATAGGAAGTTCAAAAACAGTTCAAATGTAATGCTGCTGTGTTACAGGTTTGCAAATTGTACACATAGAGCTGCTTACAAATTGATATAATTGTGTATCAATTATAATTGGGCAGTATTTCAAGTTAGAATATCCTATTTGATAACTTGTTAACATTACCATTTGATGGAGTCATAAAATACATTAGAAAGCTAACTGTTATGTACAGCAAGCACACAATAATGCTAGCATGCCAAAGGGTTACATTAGCTATTCATTCAGTAATATTAGCTAGTAATTTCTAGAATGCTAACACTATACCCTGCACTACACCACTGGCTTCAGGGCTACAACATTAAAACTGTTTTTTAGCTTCCCAACCTGAGCATTAGAGGAAGACGGCTGTTGTGTGAATGTGTTCTTCAACTTCATTATTCCATTATTCTTATTTTGTTTCCCCCCTCCTCACTGTTTCTAATCTGGTCTTTTGCATTCCTCCAACTACCAACCCACCCTTTTATCATCCCTCTATCCATTGCCTGGAAAATCCACTCAGTGTCACGGCTCACAGACCTGGTAAGCAGCGTTCGCAGGGCGCCGGCAGCCCCTGCACCCGAGGTTGATGCGGCACCGGCGCCGGTACCTTGTGCCAGACCCACCCAACCACCCACACACACCACCTCCCCTCCTCCCCCTCACTCCCACTCCAGCCCATCCCTGTCTCCCTCGCAGAGTGAGTACAGAGCATTACCCACCCTGACGCCCTGCATGGCGGCCAGTCACCTGGCTGTGTGTGATTAACAGTTTTTGTGCATCAAGTATTATGTGCTGAACTGTTCTTCTGTCAGCCTATTTAACTATCTGGTTGTGTCCTTTTTGCCTCCGACCTTTTTTAAACTGTTCTTCAGTCTGCTATGGAGACCACAGCTAACAGCAGGTGGATCTGTGTATCACTCGGTTTTTCAAACAGTTGATGTTGCTTGTGTTGGTTATAAGGACATGCCTTGTGTGCGCTCATAAATGCAACGTGTTTGATAGTTTCGGCCGTTTGGCTTCATAACACAACTTCTTGTGTCTTACTCACAATTTAATCAAAAAGAGATGTCGAAACAGATCTGAAACAGTATTTTCAGTAAGTCTGAAAGTTCATTTTTGTTCTAACTGCCCATGCCTGAACAAATGTGTTGCTGCGTCAAAAAATGTAAAATGTATTAAATAAGCGATTTTTCATCCTGCTTCCAAATGTTGCAGTTATTTTTTAATTAACTCCTAATTATGTTTCTCTGCAGCACGCAAACAAGAAATCATCAAGATCACCGAGCAGCTGATTGAGGCAATCAACAATGGAGACTTTGAGGCTTATGCGTAAGTCTGGACTTTTTTTTTGTGGTCTTTGTAAAGCTTGTGATGAAACCAAAAGCATAAAATTCATGTTCGGCTTCACTAACCTTTCCTGTGCTTTCCTGTGCAGTAAGATCTGTGACCCTGGCCTCACTTCGTTTGAGCCGGAGGCGCTTGGTAACCTGGTAGAGGGGATGGACTTCCACAGATTCTACTTTGAGAACCGTAAGATTGAAAGATGGGTTGCTTTTTGTTGTCAGTTTCTTCTTTTAAATCTTATAATTTGATCCTGATTTCTTATCATTATATCTGCCATTTGAGTTTTAAACTACACAAACACATGTCAATAATATGATTCTCAAAATGGACCTTAGAAAGAGAAACATGGTGTCATCTGCAGCTCCCTCCATTAATGCCTTTGCTGCATTTCAAGTGTTTGAAAGAGATCACATTTGGGAATGTTTTCACGGGTAATGTCTGATAAGAAAAAAAACATTGTCAGAGAATTTAAACCAAAAAGCCATCCTGAAAAAGCAAGACTTGTAAATGATGGCTAAAGATCTTCCACAGTTTAAGTGTTACATTTACCCATCACTTTCCATCAGCAGCTCTACTTCCTTTAAAAAAGCCAGTGTTTTTCTTACAATACTAAAGAATGCCAATTTGTAACACAGGCTTTCAAATCTTGTACTTTTCTTTATTCAGTACATGCCATGGTTGTATTTTCCTTTACAAAAGTGAGCTAGAGAAGTAAATTTCGAAGAGTAGTTGTTATTTTGTATTTTTTGTTGCTGTGTTGTCTCTCTCATTCTTTCTTCTATCACTGTTCTTGATGTCTTTTCAGTTTTGGCAAAGAACAGCAAGCCCATCCACACCACCATCTTAAACCCCCACGTCCATCTCATTGGCGAGGACGCCGCCTGCATCGCTTACATCCGCCTGACTCAGTATGTTGACGGCCAGGGTCGGCCGCGGTCCAGCCAGTCAGAGGAAACTCGCGTTTGGCATCGCAGAGACAGCAAGTGGCAGAACATCCACTTCCACTGCTCAGGCGCACCAGCCGCACCATTACAGTGAGGTACAAATACAGCAGTGGGATTACTGGGAGAAAACTGGCAGAAATGTAGCGTACTTTTTTATTCAAATATCTACCTTTAAAAGAAGCTTTAGGGTTGAACCTGTATGCTGAATAATTAAACACTTTCCTGGCAGATAAAGACAACATGGTGGGGAAATGTATGGGGGAAAAGATAAATGAGAGAGAAGGGGAAAAAAATATTTTCGATGATTCTTGAATCATAAACGGAACATATCTTTAGTGAGAAATCAGCCACTGGCCTTTGCTTTTTTTTAATTCTCGGAAAAAGCATTATAAGTCTTGTTTATGCTGCAGTATGTCTACTAAGGAAATCATTCAAGTAACTTAAGCCGTTTTCACATATGCACACCGGATAATATCTAGATAATTACAGGAGGAACGCTCCGGAGATTCTCCAGACCTAGTCGTTCACATATGCTCCTCACAGCGGGGGACTTTCCCTGTCAGAGGGGAGGGGGGGGGTCGGGGGATTTCCTGACGTAAGACGTGACGTAAATAAACAATACAGAAGTAGCGGCCGTAGCAACAGAGTCCACTACACGATGTTATAATGAGAATATTTGCCTTTATATCAATGCTATGTGTAATCCAATGGAATGACAACATCCACAAAAGATTGGAGAACAACATACTGACCAACAGAAAACAAAATGCAGCCGTTTAATTACGTGCACGGAGATCATTAAGATCAGACACTTTAGCCGGTCACTATATATAAACGTCACTCTCTTTCTATTGGCTCGAGTTGAAATCTCCGGAGTATATGCTGCCGCGTTCAGACATCAGCTCACTCGGATTTTCTGCAGATAAAATACTAGGGGTCTGGCTGGAGAAACTCCGGGTAAAGTCCACGCGAAAAATGTGGCTGTTTGCGTTCACACATAGCCGAAAGAAAGTCCGGGTAGCCAAATCTCCGGAGTTTTTCCAGGAGATTTCTGTATGTGTGAAAAGGGTTTTACATGAATTTTGGCTCTTGGGTCCATATGTAAACAGCTCTTATATTTATTAGGTTCTAAAATAATCTAATGCTTAAGCTTTTCTGCTCGTTTCACAGCCAGTACAAGGTCCCACATTATTTTGAGTGTACGTGAGATCACTTTTTAGTTAACATTATGCATTGTTGACTGGTAACCAAATTGCAAACATTTAAAACAACACACCAGAAACATGTGGCCACACGTCCCTTCACTCCCTAATTATATCTCCAAATATTCTGCTGGGGCGTTCTAAAAGTGACATTATGGCCCAGTAAAGGAAAAAAAAAAAATCATTTAAGTCTCTCGTCAGGCTCACAAATAATGTAGTTACTTGCAATCAGACATTTATATCTTCACTCTTAATGTAAGTGTGCAGCTCATTCCATAATGTTTTTGCTAAATATTTTAGAGGGGAAAAAAGCTCCATGGGAATGATAATTTTTGCACCACATGTTTTCTAACTTCTTAAACAATTAGAGTCCTAATGTAATGTAATGTAGAGTCCTATGTTGTGGTCCAACATACGTCTTCAGATGTTTCCTAATGTCAGAAGGACAAAATGTATAGGCCAAGGCAGCTCGGCAGCATTACAGCTCTTTATATTAATGCTTGTTATCAGTTATTAAGTAATTGCAAATCTGGAATATTGACATTTCACTTGGCTGTCTTTATGTTGTTATTATATGTACAATTTTTTGTTTTCTTGCAAACTCACATGAGGATGTCACTCTTTTTACCTGTGAAGCTGGAGCCAGTAGACTGTTAGCTTAGCATTAATTATCTAAACAGAAGGTGTTGTCCGAAGTTCGAATCTATCCATCTATTTGTATTTATTTATAGAAAACTAGTATAAACCAGAGAGAGATCCCAATCATCTCATCTAAGTCTGCTTGAGTAAACATGTTTCCTGAAATGTTGAACTATTCCTTTAATTTAAAGGTGTAGGTACCCTGTTTTATTTATACTTTTGTTGTCAAACATTTAATCCTGGGACACTGTTTTTTTTTTTTCCTTTTCTTTAAGGGTTGAATGACAAAGTTTTTTCTGTGAAGAATGCTCTGCTGGAGAGAAAGGAAGAGGAAGAAGAGGAGGAAGGGTTGAAAGAACAAGTCTGTTGTTAGTTTGGAGACAGGGCCGCTCACCCTTCAACAACAAACCCTCCCTCACTAGAAGCCCTGACTTAAACCCCACGCGCGCATCTCTTCTTTTACGACTACTGCCCCCTGTCTGTCACCTGTCCTACAACATCTTCTGACAAACGTCAAACAACAGCAAGAGAACGTCCAACAGCAAGAAGACCTTCACCCTCCTCCTGCTTCTTCTGCTTGGCTGATTGGTGGGGGCGGGGCTGTTTTCAGCACTCAGTGTGATACCTTCTTCCTGTGGTCTGTCCCCCAAATTTTGTAAAGCCAACCCTCTTGTCCTCCTGTGAATTCACACTTGTGTGACAAAAACACTGCACTGGAAATACAGTCTGTAAAGTTTTAAGTCAAATCTACTACTATCATTACTATATTATTATCATTGTTATTACGATTATTATTATTACGACACATTTGCAAATGTATATGTAATTTGTATCATTGAAAATTCTTGATGCCAGTGGTTTTTAGAGTTGAAAATGTTTTTTTTCTCGATCTTTTTAAGGAAGCATGTTTTTTTCCTCATATTAACATTAGCTGTTTATTATTGTTGCTTTTAAGTAGGAAATGATATTGGCCGTTTTGTAATTTGCTTGGTTAGCTAAAATATTGTGCCCAAAAACATGGACAGTATTTTATTTTTTTTTGCTTGTTTTTTGGCTTATCTTTTAGTGTGTGTTTGTGTGAACTGTGGTTATGTCAGCCAGACAAAAAGTGTGTGCATATTTTCTCATTCTTACATGTAGACTGCATTGTTGGAAGATTTTTTATTTTTTTTGTTAATCATGGCAATGTGCAACACCAGGGGTGTGTTTAACTAAGCGCTGTGTCTTCCTGCATCAAACCTCCACAACCAATTGGAGTTTATATATATATATATACATATATACTGTCTATTTGGACACTAGAACATTAGCATAATATATATTTGCTTTACCACAAACCAAATACAACTTGTTCACAGCTTTTCTTTAGTATAAATATTGTATTATGATGAATTTTAACAGTGTTACACATACTTTTTTGAAATTATCTTGCATATGTATGCTAAGAAAAGTTTCTCAAACTTAGACTTGGCAAATCATTTCCTGCTCAGTAAAACTATTTATGGGAAAAAACATGAAAATCAAACATGTTTTTCTCATCACACCAGAATTACAACCTGAAGCATATCGATAGAGGCCTCTGTCATGAAATAGCTTGGTATAGCCTGATAAGTGAAGTGAAATTTGTCAGTGTGACATTGAACATATTGTTTTAATTACCATGTTATTTCATGACATAGTGGGTTTAATTGTACTTGCTAAACATCCACCTTTCTTCACACGCAGTAAGGTCCTTATCAGTATTGAAGAATCAAGCGTGTGTGCGTCGGGCTTCTGTTCTGTGCTGTTCGGGCAGTCCTTTGCTACAGGGTGCAATATTTGTGTGCAGTATGGGTGCAGTATGTGTGTGTCTGCTAGCATGTACAGTACATCCATTGATCTTTACTTTTTTTTTGGAGGTGTGTGTTGCGTGAGTAATGTAAAGGGAAGGATTTGTTTCAGAGGACATATCAGTCCCCTGCCTTCAGCGAAGGATTTTATTTTCCTTATGATTTGAGTGTGTCTCCCCTTTTTTTAAATGTATTATCAGCTTTTTATGATTCAAAGTGCTCGTGCCAGGGGTTAGCAATACTCTGCAGCACTGAAAACTGTTTTTTTTTTTGGGGGGGGGGAGGGTTGACTTGCAGTCCACTCCTCTGTCTTTTGCTCTCGCACCATTGGCTGCCTTCACATTTGTCTCTCCCCTATTGGTCAGACCAAGATATGAAGAGACCGGGCAGTCGGTTTGGTGAAAAGTCCTCAGGTTTTTATTTATTTTGAATATTTATTTATTTATTTTAGTTGATATTTTTGTTGTGCTTTGTTGTTGTTATATTGTACAGCTCATGCACTTGTGCAAATAGTCTCTGCTCTTTAAAAGGGACTCTGCTTCATGTAAACCATGTTTTTAAAGGGATAGTACGTCAAATTTGCATCCTGCATGTGTTTTCTGCAAAGACCAACATGGTGTGAATTTCTGTTTGCAGCTATCAGCCTTCTGCGTCTTTAGGTTAAAGTTGTTTTCTGATATTATTTGTTTTATTGTGTCCATTTTCTTTTTCACTTTGGGTTGTTGTGAGTGCCAGAGTTGAAGGTACATCATAGGGATTGTATTTTGTGTGAACTGTCCCTCTAAAAGCCTTTTTGGAACATATTTTTCAAGTTGAACCACTGACGTCGTTTTGTAACCCTTGTCCCATCAAGTACCAGTGTCGATGTCTAGTTGACCCCGTTTTATACTGAAATCAGTCAAAGGTTACATAAAGCTGTTAATCGTGCTAACCTGCCAAGACCCCCCACACCTCTGAAAATAAGAAGACATAGCAGCATGTACAGTATTGTAAGTGTAAGTACAGTAAGTGTTTACTAGCCTTGAAAGTCAATATAAGATTCACATACTTAAAACAAGGGAGTACACAATATTACACAACAACTAACTAGCAGCATAGCTGGCATTTTTTCTTTGCATGACCGTCAACAGGACATTTGTTTTTGGTGGTTTCCCTTTTATTTGGTTTCTCATTTTCTACTGAATGCCGTTTTACTCGACCTCTCTGTCTATTATCTCAACTTTTAAAGTGCATATAACTATTTTTGTCTCAAGAGGATATAATGAAGAGGATTATAGTGATAAGGATGAAGATATCATTGACAGTGGCGCTATGAGGATTGCAACATTGACAATGATAATGATGTGATGGTTATTTTGCATGCTCTTTGTTGTCTGTGCTGGTGCTGCACTCAGCCTTGCATGTCAGTTTGAGGAACAGCACCTGAGCCCCAGCAGGGGGCGCACTAACACAGGAACCCACAAACACACAGATGGATGTGGCCGCACAAAAAGATGACTTAAGTCTCAAATCTAAAATAAAATGTAGACAGAGACATCACTTGAAATATAAAGAATAACTCAAATGTTACATTGTTATTATTTGTAACAGCTGCACAATTATGAGAAAACTTAGCATCCTGATTACAGTTTGACTTGATCATTGTTTCATGAGTGTTCTCATTCAGTTTGGGATAGAAATTTATTTAAAATAATGCACCAACAAATCTGATAGATCAGGATTCTGTGTGACTGATTAAAGTGGAAATCATGGTTAAGATTATGTAGATGAATTTTGCAGCTCTTCTGTACTATTGCAGTGATTCTCTGCTGAATTCCTTTTGGCTATTTGGTCTGATGAAGTTTTACTGATATAATCTGTAGCTGCTTTGTCCACTCTGCCATCTCTCTGCAGACAGTGACTGAGCTGCACTGACAACACTGAGCTAGCTTCTCTTTGAAGGGTGTCTGTCACTCTCTCTCTCCTCTTTCTCTGTTTGCAACTTTATTCAATCATTTCTCTGCAGCTGCTCCTTTCTAATTTCCCCATGTATCTTTTTGTCACTATTCTTCTGTATAATGTTGATAATCCTCTAGTTCTCTGATTCTTCAGCTTATTGCTCCGTTCTCTTACGTGCTACACGTGTTTCTATAACTTCAAGAAAATGTGTTAAGGTGTTATCAATAAAAGGATCGTTTAAATAGAAAAGTGCATTTCAGTTTCTGTGGTAACGGCAGAACAGCTTTGAGTTTTATTGATAGAAGTCAAAAAACATAAATGAACTCATTCAGGTTTAGACAAGAATATTCTAAAAGCAGAAAAAAAAAATGTTGAAAACAAAAAAACTTGAATCCACAGTTTTCCAGTGTGAATCCTGAAGCTCATCAAACACAAACTCAGATGCAGATGATTGTTTCAAATCTCAATGACACTTAATATAAACTCAGCTTTAAATAATGAAAGGGTGCTTTTAAATCATAAAGATGCAGAGTATTGTTAGAGGTCAAGGTTAAAGTGACCACAGCTTGACACAAAGACACATTCCCATTTGAAGACAAGTTTAGAACAAGAAGAGAAATGAGACTCCTGACACTGAGGGTGGAAATTGTTCAATTAAACAAGCAGCTGAACTCACAAATAGTTCAGACAAAAGATCCATTAGTAATAGAAATCATATTTAGGGGTAGCTCCAATCCTCACATTCTCTGTTATAATTTGACATTTTTAGAAAATATCTTGCATGTTTTTTAAATTCTCTAATTTGGATCTTAAACATACGTACATATTCAACCATCATTAAACAATTTATGTACAACTGTATAGAGTTAAAGAAGCACAACTATGAAAGAAGTTTGAGTTTGTCTGCCTAAATCAACGTGAAATACTGAAATCAACATCAACATTCACTGTTTAGTATATTTTGAAAATTAAAGGTTTATAATAAAGAATTTTTTTTTTAAAAAGAACAATAAATTGTTTTAATAAATAACAATTCAGTTATTTCCTTAATAATTAATGAATAATGAAAATAAATAAGGTCGGATTGGACTTTTTTAATTATGATCTAAAACAAAAGGATATTTGAAATAAAAATCAGATCCATGCAGACTTGCTTATCTGAACACTTTTGGAAAGAAATGATTTCAAGGGATCTAAATTGTCCCAGTTCTTTCAGTATGATTAAGGCACATTTTGTCAGAACTGCTTCACACAATTAATAATAATGCCTATATTTGCTGGTTACAAAGTGGAAATTCTATTTTCAAAAATATGACATCTTATGTCGCTCCTATTCTTTGTGTTTTCTTTTTAAATCAAATGACTCAACTTTCCACAAATAACTGGGATTTTTTTCAACTGAAACCTTATGTGAATAGATCACTCAGACCTCCCCACCCTCCCTGATCATCACAGAGAAATCTCTGTGACAGATTTTGATTTCAGCAGTTTTAGCATTCAAAGCTGCTCCAGTTTCAATTAATGGAAAAAGTGTCCCTGTGAAAGCTTTTCTGTGAGTGTCAATATGAGTCATATCTTCAGAGTCATAGAAGGACAGCTCCCCCCTGTCATAGTCCAGCTGAACTCTGACCCTCTGAAGATTCTTTTTCATTCTGACAGTCTTGCCAAGACCATTTGTGTATTTTCCACTGTGATGCGATAAACACCAGATTCCAGATTCTGGTCTAGCATATCTCTCTCCCTTCCTGTCCACAGACTCTTTAGCCAAACCAACATTCCAGTAAGGATGGTCTCCTACCTCCACCTCCCAGCTGTGCTCCCCTGAGCTGAAGCCCTCAGAGCCCAGAACAGTGGTATACTTAATGTTTCTTTCAGGATTATCAGGAAGCTGCTTCTTAGTATCTTCCCATCTCACACTGGTCAGATCATGAGACAGATAGAGCCAGGGGTGTGCAGTGTTTGGGTCCAGAATGACAGGACTGAAGTGGACCCTGTCCCTCATCTTCTCCCAGACTTTGAAGGACAGGTTGCCTAGGTGTTTGGCCACATCGATCAGCGCTCCTGAGACCAGCTGTGGATCTGACACTGAGCACTGGACTCTGGCTCTGCTCTGAGTGGGTTTATAACTGCTGAGGAAAGACACGCTGTGTTTCTGCAGCTCTTCTTCAACAGCACAGATACTTTGTGACAGAGAGGAGATCTGCTCCTGAATCTTCTTCAACTCTCTGCTGATAGTCTTCCCCTTCTGCTCCTCTTCCTCCCTCAGAGCTGCCAGTCTGGACTCTTCTTCCTCTTTCAGGAACTGCTGGAGCTTTTTGAACTCTGCTTTGATCTGCCTCTCTGTGGACAACAGCTGCTTCTTGGAGTGTTGAATCACTTCATTGTATGTTTCCTCCACTTGTTTGTGTTTCTCCCTCTTGTCCTGTAGAGACTTTAAGTCTGATTTCAGCTGCTCCTTCAGGTCAGCGACTGCTTCTTCTACAGGAAGCAACTTGTGACCATGGTGGAGAGAAAACTCACAGACAGGACACACAGCTCGATCTTCATCTTCACAGAACCAATAAGGAACATCTGGGTGTTCATTGCACACAACCTCGTCCTTTTTCGGATCTTTTTCTCCCTCGGGTGAACCATTAGTCTTCCTCTCAGCAAATGAATCAGCCAATTCCTTCAATGTCAGGTTGACTTCTGAAACATCTATTAAAGATGTTCTTTTACAGATGGGACAGTTTTTGTTCTTGGCTTGTTCCCAGCATGTCTGCAGACAGCTTGAACAGAAGCTGTGGTTGCAGCTAAGAGACACAGGATCTTTGAAAGTCTCTAAACACACGTGGCAGTTCAGGAAACTTTCAACAAGCGCAATTTTCTCCGCCATCTGACGCGATGTTTGAATTATCCTTTCACGACAACACTCACCAAGTCTATGTCCGTGTGTATGACTGATTGCAGTCCTTCTGGGGGTTTTCCCCTACGTAGAGACCCTTCACTTTGGAATATTCCCCTCGGCTCCGTTCAGTGACCTCCAAGTCCGATTAAAGTTTCGCTTTCCTTTCTTTATATTTAACTACAGCTGACGTGTCATTTTATAACCAGCAGATGGTGCTGTGTGATTTTATAAAACTTAGAAATGACTACACATAAACTGTTACTGCTGACAAAATATTTATATTGAGTAGATCCACTGTAAACAAAGGTAAGTCTTAAATTAATAATCAGAAACATCATAATCTACAAAATGATTCCTCGTAAAATAGAAAACACAGTAATTGACATAATTTGTGAATTTATGCACCAAGGGGGAGGTTGGGGATTATCCGAAGAAAATGGATGAATAGATGGTTGGATGGGGTGAAAGGTGACTTCTAACTGGAAGACACGCCTGCAGTCCGCCATCTGGTGAAAGATCTGTGATGGAAGGTCAAATTACCATCAAATGTCTTTTCTCTGATATCCTTTATTGAAGTATTTTTTTGACAATTTACTGTAAATTCCTTTATATCAGAAACAAATCTGTTTACGACTTTCAGTTCATATAAGTCAACCTTACATATGGTGAACCTTCTATTCTTGTGTTTTTAACCAGAATCTCCTTCATGCAGTTTGAACAGAAGCTGAGGTTGCAGCTCAGAGACACAATATCCATAAAAGTCTCCGAACAGACACAGGAATAAAACCTTCCTTTAATAACCAACAGCTGACATGTTTACCAGCAGATGGTTGGGTTGGTCTTTTTAACTATTTTACACAAGCGATTACATTTAAAAAAAAATGTCTTTAAATTGTTTCTAGTAAAAAAAGGAGGACACATTTCACACACTTTGTGGAACATATTTTAGAAAATAGTCAATAGGTCAACTCATGTGGTAAAGACCCAAAGCCATTTAATTAAATAACCATATATTCTGCCAACACAGTGGAAAACAATGTAAAATAGTTTTTTTTTTTCTGTGGAAAAAAAATCTAAATTTACAGCCGTAACAAGAAGTTTTGTTGGAGAAAAAATACACAGGCACAAAAAGTACAAGAAATGTTTACATCTTCATTGCACATTAACAGAACTGTCATCGAAAGACATAAATATGTAAAAAAAAAAAAAAAAAAAAGTCAAGAAAAAAAAACAGATAACAAGTCTCCCCAGCATCTAAAATCAGGCCAGTTTGACCAGTCTCTCACTTGCCTCCCACAATTTTTTTGCAACACCTGAGTCTCTTGCAAAAGGACGCAGAGTAGCAGGTCTGCAGTCGCTGAAGTAACCACCGCTGTTTTTGGCAGCTTCATCTGATACGGCACAGTAGATGACAGTCTGGGCTCCGATCTCACACGGCACAAAAAACATCCACATGATCACCTGCATCAGCATCCGGAACAGGATGGAGAAGTGGCATGTCCAACCACTTTGAACAAAACCTGTCACAACATGTGTGAGAAGGAAATATTAGGACAAATACTGTGGAGGGTGTCACACTGTACGTATATGTGTGTCAGGAGAAATTTGACTATCATTTTCTGGCAAAGCTTAATTTCTGTGGTGAGCTGCGCCAAATTGAATATAAAAAACTATTTTATATGGAACACTCACTATGGATAAGTACCCCATACAATCCCACTTCATAAAATCAGAATTATCCTTTCACAATTTGATTTGTCTTTAAACTTCAGGATAGTGAACTGCATACACAAGAATACCCTAAAGCTAATGATAAAAATAACATTTACTAACAAGAAAAAAAACAAAATACACCCACTGTCCCTCTATCTGATCACTCAACTTCATGATTTTGAAAACTTTTTTTTAAAGTCCTACCAGGGTGCACAGCATATGACGTCACTCCTTTCCCCTCAGTGATCCGAGCCAGCTCCTGACTGAAGTAGACGTTGGCCAGCTTGCTGCGGCAGAAGGTGAAGAAGGGCAGCAGGTTATAGTTGAGGTCTTGAAAGTCGAGTTTTTGGTATTTGTAGCTGGAGCACGTGAGGGTAACCACCCGGCTGGGGGCACACTCCTTCAGGCGAGGCAGAAGCAGATTGGTTAGGAGGAAGTGGCCCAAGTGGTTGACACCAAAACACATGCTGAAGCCGTCGTCTGTCCAGTCGAGGACACTGGGCATGCCTGAAGAAATACAGAGGACAAAAACTATAAAGTTATTGAATCATACGAACGTGGATGCCCTGTGCACAGCACTGTCTGTCCTTTCATCAGAGCAGTGTTAGTACAGTTTGTTGAACTGACTCAAAACAAACTTTGAATGAAAAATGTCCTCACTTCTTTTTTTTTTATACAATCAGTGTTTCCCCTAGGTTTACAGCGTTGGGGAGGTGGGGGGGGGGGACACGCTGACACAAACACTTGAAGGAATCTTGGTGTTCATGAGTTACTTTTAATGACAGATGTCCTTTTCTATCTGACTCTATCCACTATCCTATCCCTACAAGAAAGGCACAAAAACAAATCTTAATTTACTTTACTTGACCGGGCCGCCCCCCTAATATAATGGTAGGGGAAACACTGACAATGACGTTTATTACATGAACGTGTAAAGAGAAATATGTGGGTTGACATCCTCACCTGCATTATTGATCAGGATGTCCAGCCTCTTCTCTCTCTGGAGGAAGTTCTTACAGAATTGCCTCACCGAGTTCAGGTTGGCCAGATCCAGCTCCATGTTTAGGACGTTAAGGCTGTGACTTTTGAACTTGATCTCCCTCACAGCCTTTTCTGCCTTTTCCACGTCTCTGCAAGCGATGATGACACGGGCACCTCTCATCGCCAAGGCAACAGCTGTCTCCTTGCCAATGCCAGAATTCCCACCTGCAAAGACATAAAACTGGTATTAGTTTCCATTTCAAGGTGATCACAATCTCACGTTAAATTGTAAATAAGAGGTAGATTAGAACACTTTTATAGGTCAATAACTGTCAATTAAAACCACAGTGAGCTTCTAAGTAAATTCCAATTCCAGACGAGTTTACCAAAAAGCTGCTATGAACTGCAGTAACACCTGCTCACATGCATGTTTACCTGTTATAAGAACAGTTTTGCCATCCAGTCTTTTGAGGTCGGTGCAGTACCTCCTCTTTTTCAACCATTTCAGAATAAAAAAAGACACTAAAGACGCAATAATCGTGTAGAGAAAATACATTTTCCTCTGATATCTTCTCACATAAATGTCTAATGATGTTGCTGCAGATGTCAGCCTGGAGCTAACGTTGGCTAGCTTGTTTGGGTTGTTATTGTAAAACGTCGTTCCTGTCTACTTTCACTCAAGTCTTGTTTCTGTCGTATTGAAAGCAACGTTACTTAGCAAAATACACAAACGACACAAACCACGACATATATATAATTTCATTCAACAACCCTCCTTCCATTCATTCTGAGTCAGCTACAGTCCCAGTTAGATGCAAGAACGTAGTTATGCGCATGCGTCTAACTGTGTTACCGCATTGTCTCGCGAGAGAATGTTAACAAAATAAATAAACCGGTGCTGTCTGTTGGGCTCTGAAATAAACATGCTTTACTATTTGTCCGTCTAACATCTAGGCTGAACGGTGTGGTTTTTGTATCAGTATGAACATTACACGTGTTTCAAAGTTACACCTGCAGAGAAAAAAAAAACATTTTATACCCACCTGCCTAAGGTCTGTTAATTCATAACTTCATAATTACCATCCAAACTGTGTCATGAATGACCTTTGATACACTCACAGTCACTTCACAATTTAGTGTCACATTCTCACAGTCTATGGTCAAAACAAACACTGTGTTGGAAAAGCAGTGTTTTTTTTATCTCCATGAAACATGATAGACAACTTTCAAGGCACTTTTTGTCTCTGTGTTTTTTTTGTTTTTGTCGCTTCTGAAACAGCTGGTAAGTCATTCTTCTAAAGTATTTTATATGCAAAGTTCAACATTTGATTTAGTACAACAAGCTAAATGACGAGTTTTAAGCAGTACATTTTTTTCAACTTTTATGGCTGGATACTGTTTTTAGAGAGTATTGAACTGTTTTTTTTTTTTTTTTACTAAGTAGTATACCTTAAGTTTTTTTTTCTTTTTTTTCTGTAGGGCAGTCATGCAGGGGAAAGTGTGGAGACATTATGGAGGATTGCTCCTGCCACACAACCTGTGTGTCTTTGCTTACCTGCTGCCCAGACTACAACCAGTCCTGTTTGCAGGTGACACCTTACTCTAGCTCCATGCTGGGTGGAAGAGCTCTAAGGATCCTCAATTTGGTCCTTCATCCTGGTGGGCAACTTCACTGCAGGTTTGTGTTTACGTGACACACACACACGCACACACACACACACACACACACACACACACACACACACACACACACACACACACACACACACACACAAAAGACATATTTTACAGTAGTTCTGTTTTTTTGCAGTGTACTATCCAATAACAAAGTTTGTTCATAATTTCTTGTTCACAGTCTATTTTGAAATAGCAATCCTAAGAAAAACATGCACATGAGTGAATTCATACACAATTTTGTAACACAGAAGCAAAAAAATCAATATGTTTGACTCAACTTATTGGAAAGAAAACTACTCAAGCAGAACGTTGTAACATTTTTTCCGAACATGCTGCCTGAACTAATACAGAAAATATGCAGCCTTTTTGATTAAATAATGTATTCTCTCATAATGAAGCATGAACATAATTTCTCTATTACAGATTAGCAATGATTTTATTTCACTTCTTCCAATCATTGACTCGTGTTTTAAGCAGTAAATTCCAATCTGAGATGAACTTTTTCTTTAAGATTGTTCTTAAATTTCATGTTGCACTTGAATCTTTTAATATGCTGAACTGCAGATTATCAGAGTCTTAACAAGGGACATTTGAACAAAGAAATGGTGTAAGCAAACTAAGAAATCAAGTTTGTCTGTTTCTCCTGCAGTTTCAAAGGCAAAATTGACCGAGAGGGCTTTATTGATGGTGAAGGCCGTGCCTACTGTATCACCCCTTTATTGTATGAGACGGGTTGGGTTCCATTTACTGTCTCAACAGATGGACTACATTTTGACAGATCTGGAGAGTACTTGTCAGGTATGTGGCTAAAAACAAAAAACTATTATCCATTTAGGTATTTGGAAAAACTTTTTTGACTTAAAATCCATTACACACTGCACTGATTTAGTATCCATCATGATTAATTATTAAAAATTCTGATGGAACGAGAACTTGTTAGGAAGTTGTAGATTTCCAGGTTAAAGTTCCTGTTGGGTACTTTTGGATTGTGTTGATTTTGGGGACCCCTGTGAACAAAGTAGTGCTTAATTGCTAAGCTTGTCCTGTGCATTTATTAGTAGTGCATGTGACCTCATCCCAAAAATATCACTAATCATGAATCTTTACCTTTGCAAATCATTGCTGTCTTTGTTGTTGTAGTTCTGTTTGTATGGGTCCATCTTTTTCTTGCATCTCCCTAAAGAAAGGCTGTTTTGTCAGGGAGCTGTTAAACGCCTCATCTGATACCCTAACTGGCAGCAGCATTTTCAGGGATTGAAAGAACAACATAGAAGTAATCAATCTTCTAACTGATTGTACTCCTTTTCGGATACTGTTACTTTTGTCTTTTTGTTGTTGTTTATTTTAATTTAATTTTGTTTCGAAATGAAAACATTCATTCATTCATTATCACGTTTACTTATGTAGGTCATATGGAGGCATCAGCATTAATTTCATTCTGTTTCATAACCAGCTAAAAACTCTAACAGGAGCTTTAAAATATGTTCGTACTAAAAAAAAGAAGAAATGATTTCATGAAGATAATGGTCGATAGATTAAAGACATAGACAAGACATTTTTTGAGGTACCTACTTCTGCTGACCAACATACAGCAGCTGTTTCATTAGAAGTTGTAATTTATCAAATTTCCTTTTTCTGCAGGTTTGTTTTTCGACTATCTTTTTTTTTTTTTTTTTAGCTCACACATTCTTCCTGTAGATCTGAGCTTTATGTGTAAAGTGGACTAAAACTCCTCATTCTAAAACCGAAACTGCTACAGAAGTGCTTTAAGCCTGCATTCTTTCTGCTGGTCAAAAGGGGGCAGCCTCTTCAAGTCTACTTCTCCACCCACCTGTTATTGACATTTGTTACCACAGCAACCTGTCAATGGGTACAGAGGGACGTATAAGGGGAAATTAGTATATGCCAAATTTTAGGCAAAACATGTTGTGCAAAAATGAATGTTGAAGTCACTGTGGCTACATCCACTTTTAATACACAGTCTATGCTTCGGATTAGCGAATCTCTAGCTGAATCAAAACAGTTTTTCCCTTTAATATTAACTGTTTACCGTCTTCAATGTATTAGTGCATCCCAGTAAAGCAGAACCTGCCTTTGAAGTCATCCTGGTGAATGCAACATATTGGCAGAACTACGACCCCCGAAGCAACACAGGACGGCTTGAGATGATGTGGAACAGCTCTTTGATTGCAGCAGAGAAGGTCAACATAGAGCTGTGGGGTTACAGGGAGTCCAGCAGGAACACAGAGGGAGGAACAGGCGGATCACCGTCTTTGCAGGCCGAGCTGAGCTATCTGTACTCTGTGGGCAGGAATCAGCCCAACACTGGGGCCTTCAGCTTCATCCCTGAGCCCTCACAGGACTACTCTGACTGGGAGCTGGGGAACATTCGCATCACTGCCATTTTGAAGTCAGAAGGTGCAAGGTAACCATATTACAAGTCAAGTCAATTTACGAGTGTCTTCTCTAAAGAAGACATTTTTCTGCTTATATGTAGCCAGTGCTTTGTGATCGCACATTCAAGTACAGTAAACTTGTCACCCTTTGCCCTGGAGAATAATCGGAAATGTCTGTATGTGTTTTTTTCTGATATTTTATTGACTAAACTGAATAATTCATTGTTGAAATAGATAATGACCTTTTTTTATCAGCCATAACTTTTAACATTGATTGTACCTTCTTTTTAAAAAATCTGAAGGGCCGCTGGTTCCCCGCGCACGCCCCATGTTTGGAGGCTATGGTCCTCCAAGTAAGCGGCCCAAGGTTCAAATCCAACCTGTGGGTCTTTTCCCGCATGTCATTCCCTACTCTCTCTCCCCGATTTACAACTCTATCCACTGTCCTATCTCTCCATTAAAAGCCCATAAAAAAAAAATCTGAAGAGTGTTTATATGCAGGGATGTGCAGGGTCTCTGGAGTAGAGGTCACGTGTTAGCCTGGCACCTGGAGCAGACTTTCAGAGATGACTCTGCAGCATGGGCCAGAAACAAGTGTCTGCAGTGGGACATGCTGGAGAAGAAGCTGCCTAACTTCCTAGATGAACTCATCGAATGTCCTTGCACCCTGGCTCAGGCCCAAGCAGACACCTGCAGGTTTCATGTGAGTGCACTTCAAAGAATTTTTCATTGTTTGATGATATTTTGGTATCATGTAGTTATGATGAACATAATTAAGCTGTAGCTGTAATAAAGTAGTATCATTGTAATCAGTTTTGATCAAATCAAATATTTTATATTATAAAAAATATATTTTTTCTCTCCAGTTCAATTGAATTCATTATGTTACTGTCTGAAATAGATACTGATTGATGCTTGTCGGTTTAAAGTAGAGTATCATCTATTTGATGCTTATTCAAGTGTTCATTTGTAACAGTTTGATTTAGTACTTTAAATTATAATCTTATGACTGTGGGGGAAACTGAGGGTGTGGTTAGCATGAAAGGGATTGCAGACAAGATGTTACACATGAATGTAATTTCAATTAAACCTTTGTTAGAGGAAACATGAAAGAAATGTAAAAGTGGTATTTATTAAAGTCAGAAAAAAGCTATGTTAGATCATGCTGATCATGCTCAGAGTCTCTGAACAGTGTTGTGATGGTTGTGTTAAAGTCAACTGAATTTAAGGCTGATCAATCAGTATTGTTTCTTAATATTATGTGTAAATAATACCAAATCGTGTTAAATCACATGTATGTTATTTCTTTATTTAGACTTGTTTGTATGCACTGTGTTATCTCAGACTGACTATAGCTGTGACATTGAGAGGGGTAGTGTCTGCACTTACCACCCAGGGAGTGTCCACTGTGTCAGAGCAATTCAGGCCAGGTAGGAGTGGCGAGAGGACCAATCAATTTTATCTATATTTAAAAGAACAAATGGGAATATTTTCCCCAAAATGATTTTTCTTTGCATAATTCCAGTCCAACACATGGCTCAGGGCAGCAATGCTGCTATGACAACACAGGAGCTCTAGTTCTGACAGGAGACTCGATCGGTGGCAGCACCCCGGACAGAGCTCACGACTGGGGATCGCCTCCGTACGGGGAGCCACCACGGGTGCCCGGGTACTCCCACTGGCTTTATGATGTTGTAACTTTCTATTACTGCTGCCTGTGGTCAGCCAACTGCCAGATTTACTTCAACCATCGACCTTCTAGCGGATGTCAAAACTACAAGCCGCCAAGAGCTGGTGAGACCTTTCACAAGTCAAATCAAGATTATATAAAAAACATTTTTTGATTAAGCAGACTGCCACAACATGCTTAATGGTGCTTAATTATGGTGCGTTCTAATTGATAACTCCTTTGTGCGAATGGGAGAGAGGGGTTGGAGGTATGCCGCTGGAGGAGAGAGGAGGCGTCGAATGGTTTCATTCTGTTGCTCAGGGGCAAAATTTACTGGATCAAAAAGCTGCACATTCTTCCTTTCAGACCTAATTAACCGTATTTTAAATCAGATTTTGAACCGTTTGTGTTCCATTAGTTGGTCACATCATATCCAACTTTGTTTTTCCTTTTTCCCTTGCAAAATGCATCATTTTGCTTTATACGTACATGCATTTTATAAAGAGGGATGTCTTGTTACATTGATGCACATGTTGGGAGACAGTTCAGTTTTCTAAGCAGAGGATTAATGAACAGTCAAATGGATTTTCTGTGTTTTTTAATAACAAGCAGGCAACGTTTTTGTAATTTTGTGTTGATTATCGGCATAATATTCTATGTCATCAAAACATTTTGACAAGAAAGTGATATTATTATTTTTTAATATATACATTATTATAAATCGAAACATATTGAGCATGTTACACACACACACACACACGCACACGCACACGCACACGCACACGCACACACACACACACACACAATGTACTTTGCAAATTGTAACTCCAGGAGCAGGTAACACCAGATCAGCTTGCAGGAGAAGTAAATATATTACAGCCTGCGACTGAGTGTTAAGATGTGGAAATATATTAGATCATGCAACTCACTACCTGCTCCCCAGAGACTTTAAACACAACTGCAGCCCACATACTGATATTATAAAAAAAAAAAACAATGTTTCGATGAATGAGATATCAACAGTACACCATAAAAGAACATGTTTTTGCCAAAATGACATTTGATGTAAACACATCCTCGCCGTGTTTCTCGACACCTTGCAGGTGTCGTCCTCGGGGATCCACATTTCATAACGTTCGATGGCCTCAGCTACACTTTCAATGGCAAAGGAGAGTATAACCTCGTGACATCACCACACAGAGAACTGAGTGTTCAAGCCAGAACAGAACGGGTGAAACTAAAGAATGGTGAGTCCACATTTGATGTGAAAGCCCTGTCCGTGTCCTCTCTTTGAACTCCATGATTCTGCTGCATCTCTCTGTTTCAGCTCAAAGCTTTCTCTGGATTAAACTTGTTGCAGGACTTCTTCAGAGAGAAATATTTTATTGTTTGATTATTCCTTTTTTATCAGCCACAAGATTGATTATCTGCCTTGAGTGTTTGTTGAAACATCTGAACATTGTTGTTCTCTTGTGAAATATTCTTAGTCTTTCTCTGCTTGCTCTCTGCAGTATCATTAAAGGTTCACTCTTATCTCTTTAAACACTCCTGATCTTGGCACTGTTAAATGAAATCCTATTTCCTTAGTTCTCTCTTGTTTTCACTCTGTATCTGTCCTGGGGTCAAATGTATTAAAGAAGAACAGATGTGAGCTTCATTGTTTAGAATTACCTCCAAACCATTACACAACAATCATGGTTCAAGTGACTGTAGATGGCCAGATGACATTAATATTGTTCTCATTAGATCAGCGGAGTCAAACATCTGGATTCATTTAATATTGCAGAGACTTAAGCCATGATCAAACCATTGACTTTAGGGTACTAACTACATAGTAAAACAGCCACTAAGATTTAACTTTGTGATGTTTATGTCCACTAACCAGGTACCTTGGCAAAAGCCACAGGGCTATCATCAGTGGCTGTGAAAGAGAAAGCCTCTGATATCATCGAAGTGCGTCTTGCAGAGGGCCAGCTTCAGGTGCTTAGGAACCAAAAAGTCCTTCTGTTCACCGAGCAAAGATCGATGACCCTGCACGGTGAGAAAATTCATCACACTTCTCCTGTTAACTTTGATAGCAAGAGGAAGCTTTTCCTTGCCATGAAATATTGTCATCTGAAGTCAGTAACCTTGACATCTAAGTTTTGCATTTGTATATCTTGGGAGGACAAAAGATACATTCCGGCACCAAGCTGCAACCTCGGGTGTTGAAAAATGCTGATGCGGAGGTGCAAAAACCTGCAGTTCCTTAAGTGTCCACATGAGGCTGGCTCCAAATGGCAAATAATCCCCATTAGGTCCCATAGTAAAATGCCCGTAGAGGTTAGCATTTCCAACATGTTGACTGCCATTGTTCAGTTTCAAAATGCCTCTTCAGAAACAAACGGTTGATGATACTGAGACCATGTCCATGTTTTATCTAGTCTTTTCCCGGAACTCACCCTTTATTAACTCGTGACTGACTTGACTTGGGTGGACATCCCAGGTATATTAGCAGACAAAAAAGTACATTTGTTGGCCTTATTAAGCATTTGACCTTTCTAAATTCTTTATCCATGATTTTTTTTTTTTTTTTGATAAATGTCCCCTTGATCTATACCTGTCAGGTAGGCCTACATGTTGAAAGACACCTCCTCTTGACTGGTCATCCTTTAAGTGCACTGATTTAGCAGCAACCTCTTCCTTTGTCTAATGTAGACAAACGGTACTTATGACCTTGGTTGAAAAGTTGTGGTGCAGATTTCATTCATAAACACTATTATACAATAAAGAATAAAGTACATTAAAACAGAAGTGTCAGCAAACAAGGGAACTCTTTTCAACAGATGAATTAACCCCCCGCCCCCATTCATACACACATATTAACACCTACACACATGCTTTTTTAAATTTTGCGTTTTTTTATTTCACAAGTGCCTTTTTTGCTTCCACTCTATATGCTGTTAAGGTACTAAAAATGCAAACTCTATCTCTCTTTTCCAGGAGTGTTTGTGTTCGCCCCCTGCCCACAGAATGTGATGGTAACCTTCCAGTCTGGTGCTGGTGTGGAGGTCTGTGTGCATGAAGGAACCATGGCAGCGTCTGTCCTGCTTCCAACAGAGTTTAGCAACCAAACGCAGGGTCTCCTCGGTCTGATGAACTCTGACCAATCAGATGACCTGTTAACTCAGGCTGGACAGGTCCTCTCTCCAGCACATGCCACGGCAGAGGAAATCTTTACCTTTGGAGCTGGCTGTGAGTATGAAAGATCAGTAACTTAATGTTTTCGAAACTCTAAAGCAGCAACACTTTTGAACTTCTCTTCTTGATTTGAGTACAGAGCCATGTTGCATGTTACAAAGGCCAAGAGCTTATATCATTTTGTCTTCATAAATTATATCTCTATTTGAGCCCCATTTGGCTTCAATTGTAACGCATGTCCCGAGAGTGCAAAGGAAGAAAACAAGCCATATGTTCACAGTTAGAACAACTGTGATGGATAACAGAGAGGTGTCGGGGGCTGTGACCATACTGTGCAAGTACAACCAGAGAGTATACCTAAATACTAATAATGTTCCAACAATAGTTGTACTACATACCCTTCGAAAACCACTGGATAGCTTTCCTTTCATTGGCTTAAACTTAAGTCATTTGTCGTAGTGTAAGTGCAGCGAACACCAACTTTAAGCTCGTTGGAAATGATAGATTGACATGTCAGCACCCTGTGTGTGTCCTGCCCTGATCCATCTGAGTGATGTTTCTTTTTCCAAATAATAACTTGCCTCATAGACCCATTTTCTTTCTGTCTTTGTTGAAGAGTATATTTTGAGCAAGCAGTAAGAGTAATTAGACGTATCTTCTGTGGCCTCCGTAGCAATAGTCCCCATTAGTGTTTGTAATTAGTTGCTATTAGATGAGTACGGATGACATTTTTACATAAGCATGGGTAACGGCTGACACTAAGTTCCCCTCAATGCTATTGCAGTTAAGATACAGACATTTAAGTTTTATTATTTTAAATCTGTAGCCTACACTAGTATTAACTGTGTTTGGATGCAATACTGGCATCCTTGTTTTAAATCTTGGCTCAGTACACTGAGTGTCCCCTTATCTCACAATTGTCTGAGTACTAAGTTGTAGTAACAAGCTGACCATAGCAGCATGTCTGGTTTTTGCATTGCTCGATGTGCTTTGTCCTCTGTAGAGTTTCGAAGAGACAACGTTTTTTTTAAGAGAAACAAATTTAATTTGGTTTATTTTTTACGTTTTAAGTTTTTTTTACCTGAACATAACATCCATCCAAAAATAAAATAGTCTTAAAACATGTCATCCCTAGCTTTGATTAAAGTTACACTGTACACAAGAAGTGTACTGTTCTTCTTTTGCACCAGAGGTTGCTTGAAGCATCAACAATAAAGATATTAATGCTGTATGTTCCTGTTATGGAGAAGAATGAACAAGTCCATTTTAGGAGCTGATAAATGATGCTATCGAATCAATGGCAAATAAGCTAATAACCAAAACAGCATGCATGGCATTTTCTGTGATATTTCTAAGACTGATGTCATTATTGAAGTAACTGTTGTTGCAATGACACCTTGTATCAGTCAGTATATTTCTATCTATTCTTATGCATATTTTAATGTCAACCTACATAAGCTTCTCTTGCAGTATATTCAGCTGAACCTTTTAAATACTGCATGTGTGTTTGAACAGCACAGCAATCAAAGATGTCCTCTTGTGTTATGATGTACTCTTCTGAGATCACAACTTAACTGACTTCCATTTACATAGTCTAGGAATATGTTTTTAAACATGTCATTTTCTAAGAATCTCTAAATCCTGTTGGTTTTACACCTGAACTGTTCTTTTCTTTAATTCACAGGGAACATCTCAAAGAATTCCTCTCTTTTCACTTATGACACAAAGTATCTTTTGGATAACTACTATTCCTCACCCAGCCATGATCCTGCTTTTGTTCCTGCCTTTTGTCTTCCTGAGAGCCCTGATGACCCGCTGGTGGCAGACATGTTGAAGATGTGCTCTGGAGAAGGAGCAGAGTTTTGTAAATATGATACCCTGATTTCCCAGAGCCTCACAATGGGAAACGCCACACTCAGGGCCTACCAGAATTACCAGGTCCTAATGGAAGCCCTGCAGCCAGGTATCCCAGGAAACAAGCTTAATCCCTGCTCATTCTTTGTTGTCATTAATACTCATGAACAAAAACATGGTGATCTGTTCTGTTTCTAGCAGTGCTAAAGATGAACTATATATTTTTCTGAGTGCAAATGTGCTTAGAATGACTTCCATTCAATAATTGCATGCTTGGAAATGAAGCATACAGGACATGTAACGGTAGAAAGCCTTAATGAAGGGGAAATAATTTGATTTTAAAGCAACTCGTGCTCATAAGCAAAGATTAACATTAATCAAAACAAGATTTTACTTTGAATTTGAATTTTTAATGTCTTTTTTTGCATTAGTGTTGTCTTGTGGCTGGCTTCCTACACCCAGGAATGGGAAGAAAAATGGGACCCATTACCTTGAGGGAAACACTCTGAGCTTCACCTGCAGAGAAGGCCATATACTGTATGGGTCATCAGAGCGTACCTGTCTGCATGATGGGGTCTGGACTGGAGAGCAAACTTACTGTGTAACAGGTCAGTTCTGATATCAAACCACCATGTTGAGTACATGGACTGTATCAAAGATGTAGACTCTTGTTTGAGAAGTGAGGCCAATGCAGAAGTTCCTCAAACCTGCATTATGTGTTATGGCCCACAGGGGGCAACACCACTGGTATAAAAATAAATCTGGTTTTATAAAACTAAAGAGAAAAAAGGTCCTAAGTTGGTTGATTTTTGTTTTATTTTTTACTTCAGCTTACATGTTGTGTTTGATTTATGGTGTCAAGCTCTAGTTTTACGTCTTCTTTAAAACAGCTTGAATTGACAGCTTGTATTGTCTTATTAAATGTGAAATCAATAATACAGCAGGGTATTCTTTAGGGCTTGGCTATCTATGATCATGTAATCCATGGCAGCTGTTCACCCTGTCATCCAAATAAGGTCACCTCTGGTTGTGAAAAAAACAAAAAGGCTCAAATGTCCAACTTGAGGCTTTACAAGAGGGGTTCAAAAACAAATATATAAAATATATTGTGAGAGGAAAGCTCCAATAATATCAGAACGGTTTTAATGTTAGTGCACAAACTGATTTTTTTGACAGAGTACAAGAAATAAAGAAATGTGAAGTCTATTTTGATAGAAAATGAATGGATTTAAAAAGATTACTTCTAGCAATTGCATTAGCATATGACAACAACATAAAAAATACAAATACATGTTTTATCACCGTGATTTGCTATCTGCTGTCTGCACGTTGAATTTCATATACAATGATGATATATATATAGTTTACAAAATAAAAACAATAAATAATTATCCATGAAGGTCAGGTTGCAATTCACTTCCATTACAAGAATAAAATGGTTAAATTGAGGTTAAAATATGTAAAACCATGAAGTTCTCACAGGTTTAAGTAAGTTTTCACCCATATCAGTTGAATCAGTACGCAATGTGTTTATTTAGTGTTTTAGTTTTATTCTCTTGTGAAGTTTGCTGCATTTCTTCAGAAAAGTTAGCAAAAATAAATAAAAGCGTTACTTACTATTAGTTCTGTTTTGTATTGGGTTAGGGTTAGTGGTTAGTAACTATGATTGGCAGCACCTTCCGATGAGAACTGAGAGGGACTATGGGAACGCTCTTCATCTCATCCAGTCTCTTTGAAAGCAGAGATTCAATCTACTCTGAGCTCAGCTCCTCATGCAGACCATTAGCTACAAAGTAATAAACGTCTGATCCTGGACTGGCTTAGCTTTCTGTTTGTTAATCAGAAGCACCTGGTTCCTTCTTCTGGTTTCATTCATCATACCAACTGTGAACTCTCAGCACTGACCAGCTGTCGCCATCGGGTGGCAGTGTTTCCCACTGAATATGTTATATAAATATATACATGAAAAATCTGTTTAAAATATTTTCTGACTGTTGAAACCTTTTAAATAAAGAAGTTACAACACAGTAATTATTCATCCATACTGCAGCTATAGCTATATTTAAGGAAAGTAGATCTTTTATTATGATTTAGGATAACATTTTATGTCCGAGTGTGTGTTTCTGTTTGTTTGTTTGTTTTTTCTCCTTAGCTTGTTTTTGTAGATTTTTTTTCTCCAAGTTTCTCGGGGGGGGGGGATTTTTTTTATAGATTTAATTAACGCTCTTTGAGGATAATCTTTTTGATAGAAGACCTGGCCAAACAGAGAAAATCATGACTTAAAGCAAGTAATTTTAATCAAAGCAAAGGTGCAGTTCAATTCATGAATCCAAAAATATAATTTCAAAACAAAGTTAAGCCCCAGGGATTTCGTCTTCAGGTCTTTAAAAGTATATTTCAAAGATTTCAAAGAAATTCAACCATTTGATATAAAGAACAACACTTACAGCCCATTTCCTGCTCACTGGATAAACATTTGGAACAGACAAGATATGAAACTAAGGGCACCACAGAGAGTGCCTTCCACCCCTCTCCTTTGACTTGTCATTTATCTGAAAAAAACACAATTTACTCTATAGGTTATATATTATGGGTTTTGGCTTTTTTGAGCAGCTGGGAGATGAGAGGAAGCAGAGAAAAGAAGCCAGCTAGTGATCTGCCTCCACGGTCATTCTGTCATGGGTACACATGGTCAGCTGCAAACAGAGACTTCCTCAGATAATGATCAGGTTGAATAGACTTCACATGTCTGATTTGGTAACAGCCGGCTAGTTCCCAGCTGGACACAATAGATCCTGACTTCTTCTAGACTTCTTCTTTAGACAAACACATCTGTTTTTTCCGACTTGGTTATCTAGTGCAGACCTGTTTAGAAATGTTTTCCGGTGAAGCTGTGTTTCATGTAAATAACTCAATATACTTCTAATCATGACTGCTTATCTTTTGTCAGTTGCATTATTTATCGTACCTTATACACAGACTCTTACTCCTCCCCACAGACATTGTATTAACAAACATTTTCCACATGTGACACATGTAAACTGCACAGACCCCTTTTATTCAACACTGCAAAGTTTCCCTAGATCTTTGGTATCTTTGCACATTTCTCTTCAAAACTTTGCAGCCACTAACATCCTAAAATCTGATTTTTAGTGTCTGTTTCTTCCTTTAGTACTGATGCATTCATTGTTATTTATCAAAGTAAGTCAAAATCCTTTAACGTGAAACTGTTTGAATTTGATTCTGATTCAGTATGCAGCTAGAGATAAAGCTCACTGACACATACATTAAGTTTATATGAACACAGGGCTTTCCACAAACATATGGAGTATTCAGCAAGGAGAAATAGTATGGAGCACAGTTTAATACCTCTACTGTCATACACGTGGTATTTATTATGACACATCTTTGGTGAGTTTGCTAACCACAATATAAACAGTTTGGTGATTATTGCAAAGAAGAATAAGGCCTCTTGTTTGTTTTAGCCCAGACTTTTCCCACCCAGTTTCTATTTTCAAAACAATGCCTATTCTTGACGGATCAGATTTAGACCTTATTAATTCATTTTTTACTGTTTATACAGTTAAATATTACCTTACCAGGCACTGATGGAAAGCCCTGTGAACATGCTTGTAAAGATGAACACTATCATGCAGAACTAATGCAGCACCTTTGAATTGTGTGCACACAAACACAAAGCTGGGCATTTTTAGCAATGATCACACTTGCACTCACACTCTCATTAGACAAATCAGAGATAAAAAAAACTGTCAACATGACCTGAGGTGCTCAAAGGTGTCACATGAGCTGTTACCTAAACGCCATTCTCAACGTGACCTCCAACCACATAAACAACACTAAATACAGAGTGAACAGGAGACACCCTGACGGATCTCCCCTCCTCCCCTTAATATGAATCAACGCAGCATGATGTGAAGGCTCCACAGCCAGAGAATTGTAGCCATTGTTTAGATGAAAACGGCATGCCGCGGAACAACAAATGCCACAGCATCCAGTTTGACTTCTTCTCTGAGTCACTCAAACGAGCCGCTTTTGAAATGGCTCCTTTCAGCAGAGGTGGCACTAAGTCCAATCAATCACAAGTGAATCTCTGTATGAATATCTTCCATTACTTGCAGCCCCACCTATTTGAGATGGATTATAACCATGCTGACCTACTTGTCTATTTGCCTTTTATCCTCCTTTGACATAGGTGTGGTGAAATTGGGTGATCAATGTCGGTATCTTCAGATGGAATTACGGGATATAAAGTCCCTTAAGTTTTTTGATCCAAGCAAATACAGGGCCATGGGAGACTTCAGAACGATTATGATATAGTGTGTACTAGCTTGGCTGCTCCTTGTCATGGTATTCTGACAAACAATAGCTCTGGTTGAGTATCAGATGCAAACCAAAAACAGGATCACCTACACTTTAATGGTATTTTTATATTAATAGAGTTCCTTGCACTAAGGAGGAAAGAGTGATTTTATGAAAGGTGACAGTTGCAAGATCCTGTAGCTTCAAAATACAAGGCATGGATGATATAACGTAGAATGACAGTTCTGATCAGTTTTTTTGTCCCCTTTTGTACTTAATGTAAAACAAATCCATAGATCTAATATATGAGGTGGTGTATTTGTGTCCGTCATGCTAATATGGCAGCATAAAAATCAAACCTCTTTTCCAAGGCACACATCTGTGACCCACTGAAAGCCGCTCAGAGAACCATTTCTAGGTCCTGACCCACCACTAGAAACCACAGGTTCAGAGGGCTTTACTGTTTGAATGGGAGAACTTGAAGAAGAATATCCATTTGATTACAAATACCAAATAGTTCATGTCAGACTTTACTTAAAGTGATCTAAAGAAAATCCCCTAGTACCAGCCTGAACAGAGGACATGTTTGACAGGGCACACTAGAAGTACAAGAATGAGATGGTGCCAATATAAACACGGCAATATTGATTTATTCATTAGAAGTTTTTTTTGTCTTTATTCTTTAGTTGGCTTAGAGTGTAGGCCCACAGCACATGGCAGGATTAGTGAGAAAATGTGCTTTAATTCAATTAGACCTGGTAAGCAGCTGATTTGTTGCACAAAAGCATGTTGATATCTGAAGACACACCAAACTGTCAGTTCACAAAGATAAACAGAAAGATAGACCAATTCAAATGTTGCTCACATCAAGTCAGCAGAAACATGATTTGATTTAGACCCACAATGATAGATACTGTACTGTAAATGTTTTATTTTACAGTATACAAACTACAAACTGAGTTTAGAGCAGAAGTATCTGTATTTTATGTTCTAATATCATCAATCCCACTGAAACGGGTTTCTACACTTTATGTTAAGGAGAAGTATTTTCTAGAAGACCAGTGGAACAAGGTGGATCCAAATATATTGATATCAACATGTCTTGGGGCGGCAGTAGCTCAGTCTGTAGTGACTTGGGTTGGGAATCAGAGGGATGCCGGTTCAAGTCCTGGCACGGATCATACCTGGAAATTGGCCTGTTTTGCTGGAGAGGTGCCAGTCCACTGTATAAAGTGGACTAGAATGTAAATCTGAATTTCCCCTTGCGGGATTAATAAAGGATAAATTATTATTATTATTATTATTGCTATTAAATCTGCACAATCTGCTTTGAATGAGGCGATAACTGGAAGAATTTATGGTGATAATTAATTGAGGACTAAGTGAGGAACAATGTTATAAAATCTCTTGTAAGAAATGTAATCTTTTCCAGAATGGCTGGGGGTGAAAACAAAGATGTGTAGCAACATCAGTTCTTTACAAGGACAAGATGTTTTATGAGAAGTTTGAGAGGAAATGTGTAACTTTAATGTCCAATGAATGCAGATGTTTTAGTTCTGTTCGTGCTGCGACCACTCAGTGCTCATGCTTGGCTTTTCTCTTTACTCTGATGTTTTTATGACTGAGCTTTATTTTTACTTTTATGTGGATAGTTTTTTTTTAGTAAAACTCACTTTCAATAAGACCTCTTTACCCAGAGGCGCTGCTTGTCAACATGCAAGGCAGGCGACTCCTTGGGGCCCCAGGTCAGCAGGGGGCCCCTGACAGCTGACAATCTTTAGTATAGCAGCTCAAATTGTGAAAAATTTGCTATGAAATAGTGAAACCTCCCTAAGGGGGCCTCATGAACAGTACTCAATCTCAGTTACAGTATTCACACTTCATAACAAGTAAAACAATGTTAGCGGGGGAAAAAAAACAAAAAAACATGGTCTCTGTCAATGCCATAGTTCACCGGGTCAGATAACTTATTATGTAATGGTGATGGACAAAATTTAGATGGGCCCCCAGTGTTTTTTTCTTTTTGCCTAAGACCCCAACAGACTCTAGAATGGCCATTGTCTTTCTGTGATGTCGAAACATTTCATGGAGCACCTTCAATGGACTACACTCACTTATATAATTACATGTTTTTAATTGCTTCATGAAGGTATTACACAAACATTTACATACAGAGATTTACACACCTGGCCTCAGGGTCCACAAAGGTTAGCTGTTGAAGATAAGTCTAATACCTTCAGACACCTGTTAACGGATTATACAGATTTGAATCTCTGACCACCGATGGAGTTGAGTAAAAGCTGGTTTAGGGCCATGAAATAAGTTTAGTTTAGTTTGTTTTCTACTTGGCTTTCTTTTTTTGAGTTTGTGAAGAAAAGGGCACGCATGTTTAGTTTGTACATGGAACATTTGCTGTTGGATATTTTCTGTTTGACAGGTACAGTAGTTCAAATTCCGAAAATACTTGCACCCATCGCATTAAGTCAATCAGTGGGAGAAACTGACATCAGATGACAACAGAAAGACACAAACTGTTACCAAGGAGAGAAAAAATCTGCAGAATTATTTTGAGATGATATCAGCACTGTCCAAAAGACTCTATCTTACAAAATGCTCTGTGATAAGAGTGTGTCTTAAGGGTGTGTGGACGTGTTGGGGTTATGAAAACAGTCTTAGATTTCTGATTGGTATCGCCTGTTTGCAATTTCTCTCGGGTATTAACTCTAAAGAAAGGGATTGAACAATAGTGAGCCCAGGTACTCTGAAAGATTTAGAGTTTTGAAAGGGTATTTTCGGTATTTTTGTCCGTGGGCCCTTTTTAATTGTTGTGGGCAAAGACAGCCAATCAAAGTACATCCACTGAAAGTGAAGACGTTTGACGTTTGTTCTGTTTTTTTTTAACTAGAAAAATACATTCCATTGTGCTTTGAGAAGACAACAGACTCCATCAAGAAAACAATCATGTTCCCACAACACAGGAGTGATTTTCTACCAATTTCTTGATAGGTTTGTTTGTTTGTTTGTTTGTTTGTTTGTTTGTTTCAGTCATTGTTTGCTACACACATACATACAGTATTATGTTGGATCGCAGTTTACCATTCAAACCAACAAAATCACGCATCTGCATAATCTTCCAAACGAAAGCAGCAGTGGAGTAGCAACTTCTGTAAAATGACTTGTTTCGTCAATAGATTGGTGGCTTTACTCTTTCAAAAAAGGGTCGACTCCGTAGGGCTCCTTTCTGTGCTTTTGTCAGACTCTAATGATAGAGACCTAAGCCTATCAGTGGCTGCTCACTGAATAAATCATCAGGGCAATTTCAAAATGTCATCTTTGAGAGTTAGAGTCCAAAGAATATTGAAATGTTTATTGCATACACTTTTAAGCTAATAGTAAAAATTCAACTTAAAAAATGATTATGTTTATCCATTTCCATTGCAAATGTACATACAGGAAGTCGTTTTACACTTTAACTTTTTCATAGTATAGAATATGTTTTTCCAACCCCTTAACTTGTTCTGCCCAACTCTATGATGTCTCTACTGCGATAATGCCCTAAAATCATTGGACATGTTTTGGTCCAAAGTGGGCACTCTTGCTCCCTCCAGCTTTGCTATTTGACCGATGCAGGCAGGCGTTCAGTGAAGTAATGATACAGCTTTAGGGTCTTGCCAGAAAAAAAAAAAGGGGGAATGTAACACTTCTGGACGGCCAGTCCTCCACATGTTCCCAGTATAATTATAATCTGGGCAGTTTGTAACACTGATGCAGAATGCTCAGCCTCCAGCAGCTTAATGCCAGTGCTGCTGCATCTAAGGCCTGACCATGTGTAGCAGAACTGATTGGTTTAGAAACTACAGGGAATATTTGTATACATGGGTGTGTATTTCACTGTGGTTTTGTGTGTGTGTGTGTGTGTGTGTGTGTGTGTGGGGGGGGGGGGTGATGTTCCCAGCCTGATGGTTTATTAAGGACCAACACCTGCAGTGGCTTCCTGACAAACATAAACCATACTTGTCATATGTCTGAGCATTCATGCCTCAGAGAATGACTGAACCATGTCTGTTTACTCGTTTGCCCAGTATACTCAAGTCAAATACATCAAAAAAAAAAACAGTTCACTGAACTTGCCCTAGCCCTGAGGAAAGTTTCACATGCTCTTATTTGATAACAACATTAACTAACCTGTAACAAACAATGTCAAAGGAAAGCTTGTGGAAAATCTAGTAAATGATGGCTTCATCAGTCCAGCCACCATTATTCTCATTGTAAATATGTGTGAAGCCAATGTGCCTTTTTTGTTTTGTTGGATCCCCTTTTGTAATTGATAAAAATGGTTTCATGGATTTGCTGACATACCGGCCAAACACAGCAGGCTTTTGTTGGATGGCTGTTCTTGTGAGTGGAAATAAGGACAAAGGCAGCACTTCTTGTCAATTTTGTATTCATATTAGTCTAAGATATTTTTATTATCTAATCTAGGTTACCTTGAAACTGGTACTGATATTCTGTGTTAACCATGATAAACAATAATTTCTGCACCATTTTTAACAACATTTTTTAACATTAACTACTTGAAGTAATTGCTACAGCACCTACTTCTTCTTCTTTTGCAGGATATATTGATAGCAGAGTTTCAAAAATTTGATTGGTTGAAGCAATACCTTTGTGATCATTTATATGTATTAAATTCACTTTCTCAATGTTTCACTTAATCATTTTTTAAAATATATATATAATCCTTTCAACCAAGGACAGAAATAAATACAAAAAGTAATTTTTAGATTGCAATAACAATATTTAACCTCTGCATTTAAATTTCCCGTAAGAGATGGATCACAGCCATTGTGACTTTTAACCGTCATGGACGTACACTAAGGCTATCTTGCTCGCAGATTACCTTCAATTGGTCTAGCATGATCCTTTTTCCTTAACCCTTTATTAACAGTCAAAAAAGGGTATTTCACGATACATTTCAGTCACACCTGGCAAGATCTACACCCATACTCACCTCAGAGAGTCAACCCTATGTCCACTGTGGGATAATAAGAAGCACCTCCAGATGCCTCTCTCAAAGAACTCATGGCTTTTCACTGAGAGTTCCTCTCTAGTGTTTCCCACATGCATTTACTTTCATCATTAATGGAACCCTACATATTTTGTATTGATTCAAGTAGGTTAAAAAGGAACGATGGCTGATAACAGTGAGTTATATGTGCTGCTCTGATTTTTATACAGATGATAAGGTGGGGTTCATCCTTGGAGCTATTGGTTCCCTCTCAGCATTTGTCACAGTGGGAGTAATGATCCGACTGCACAGCAGAAGGCAGGAAAGGTGAGTTAAAACATACTTCAATTAAAATAGCCCATATTCCACTGGTTCTACGAAATCCAATTCTGGAAACAAGTGACATAAACGTTACTAATATTAAATAGGGAGGAGGGCGTAAGGGTCTACAATGCTCTCTTTAGCAGTTCAGTCTACTTTGACACTTAATTACTGCTGCACTCATTGACAATTTTTTAGGTCTCCAAAAATGTGTCTTGTTTTTAAATAAATATTCATAAATGTGATTGAAGTAGAGAAACTGGTCAGTGTCTAAAAATACTTGGGTCAATACATTTTTTTTTGTTCTGACTATTTCTTAAAAAAAACATGATAAAGACTGTGTGGGCGTGGCCAATAACATTAGATTGACACCTCTCATGTTTGAGCAACAACTCCCTCCCTGGCTCCCCAAACAGCAAAGGCAAGAGCACCCAAGTGTAGTTTATCCTTTTGAGCCGACTAATTCCAAGTTAAACAACTTAAGGAAGCAGAGGCCATTATTTCAGTTTGTCACTAATTGATTGTAATTATTTTTTCCAAATGATTCCTGAGTAGATAAATTAGCATATTTGTTCTCATAATTTTTAGTGCAGTGTTATGTATTACAACGTTTCATGGTTTGCTAGTTCCATTTAAATAAAAAACTTAACTCTTCCTGCCAACACTCAACTGATGCTTAACGAACACTACCATAGTGATGCAGGCCTGACTGGTAGTTTGAAAAAATAAACCGTGCCAAATTCATATACAATACCTGAAACCTACACGATTAACTTAACAAGACAATTTTGAATGTGGCTTGAACATAATTTCTATTAGCGCTACAAGTTGGAACAGTGGTTAGCACTGTTGCCTCACAGTAGTGCAGCATGAATGTTATTCTGTCTTTGTATGTCAGCCTTGTGACTGACTTCCAACCAGGTCAAGCAATCAATCAATCAATTTTTATTTGTATAGCGTCAACTCATAACAAGTGAAACACTTTACAAAAAGCAGGTAAAATACCTTACTCTTTGTCTTTTAACATTACAAAAGAGCAGGTAAAAAGACCTTACTTATTGCTATAGACCTTACTTATTGCTATTATTATTGGAGGTGTACCCTCCCTCATGCCCAATGACAGCTATGATCGGCTCCAGCCCACCCACGACCGCAAACGGGAAAAACTGTTTAGATAATGGTTTAGTGGATCATTTCTGTTACTTTGTATTATCCTACCAGTATGTATGTACGTTTCAATCCAAATATATTGACAGAGCTATTGTGGATTCGGTTTTCCTGTAGCTACCAGTTTGATTAAAAATATGTGCTTTAATTGGTAGTTTTTTTATGCTCAGCTAAGTCTATACATATTATTCCACTATAGTACAAATAGTGTTTTACTTCCTCCACGGGCCAATCATTTGCTAATGTATTCCAAATTCCTGGTAAGCTGAGAACCTTGATGAGGTATCTGTCATAGGTATCCAGTAATAGCCATCCGTATATATTTCATTCTGTCTTTCATTGAAAGATGAATTGTAGGAAATACAGTAGAATAGGAGGCATGTATTGCATAGCTAGAGGTTCTTCCCCTCCCATCTCCTCCCAGCAATCAGAACCTTTTTTCATGTCACAACAAAGACAGAAAACACAAAAGCAGCGAAATCCCACCTGCACGTTTGAAATATCACATGTCCAAGCCTTCAAGTTTTACTCATTAATGTTCTTTATGATCAGATCAAAACAAAATAAAACCATATACCCTGTGGGATCATATATGACTTCAGTCCAGAGAAAGGAGAGGCTAGCTCCTAGGTAGCTCCTGGGCGTACACTAGCAAATTAAAGGCTTGTTTTATGGGCTCATAGACTTCATCTGGGCTTTTCCCCACCATAATTCCAGCAAGGGAAGTAAGAAGGTTCATGTCAGGAGTCACGGCTCACCTCCAGCCCCCAGCAGCACTTAGGGCAGGCAGGCGATGAAACTACTATGTTTATAAGTTTCAAGGGCAAGGATCGAGCACACCTGCTCTCTCTTGAAGCCTTGATCATGAGAGGCCAGGTGTAAAAAGAGATGAGTGTCAAGAGGTTTGCAGATCTGAGGGAGGTAATGTCACACACACAACATGCTGGTACACATGCTAACATAGGAGACCTGGGACACACACACACACACAGCCTGGAAATATGCTGTGTGCACAGTAGCGGAAATTAATAGAAAAAAAAAAAAAAATCGTATGCATACCTTTAGTGTGAGCGGTCATGGTGACATGCATAAACACACACAAGTATACACACTCCCCTACCAACAAGTGCAGACACACTGGCTCCTTTCAACATCAGAGACAGAGCAGGATAGATGTAGCAGGGGTTGTACTGTATTTCAGATCATGTTTAGGTTGCATGTCTGGTGGAAAGAAGCGGTTGTAATATACAACTCTGTGTGTGAATGTGTGTGTGTGTGTGTGTGTGTGTGTGCGACAGGTAGATAGTGAAGGTCTCCTGTGCCTCAGTTTCCTGTGTCTGAGAATCAGGACTGCTCGGGTACTTTCCACTTCTCAGTTTACTCAGCAGGTCTCAACAGGTCTTCTGGCAGCTCACCACAGTAGCAAGAAACTCATTACCATTACACTGTAAGATGTGTGTATGTGTGTGTATGTACCATCATCTCTTCTTCACTTCTGTTATTATTATATTACCTGAAATATGGCACATCAAAAGATAAAGGGGGGCTTTGTTAGATAAGAAAGTGAGATAAAACATTTGCAAAGCAATTCAGGTTTCCTATCCCTCTTTAAGATCTGCCAAAAAAAAAAAAAATCTGATATGATCATCACTGTGTCGATTAAGATTTGTGCTGATGATTTCAACCTCTCATTACTTTATTCTGTTATCTCTGAAAAATCTCATTGAAATATTTTCAGTCACATGTCTAGTGCAGAGGCCTGCAGGGATTTTTTGGGGGAAAGTGGTATCCACCAAAATGATGCATGTTTACACTACCAATTGCTGAATAACAGACCCTTATACAGCACCAGGGACACTATTTAAATTGCTTAAAACAGCAAAATCCTTCCATGACTTTACTTTAGTGAATTGTACATTTATCCTTCCCATTATAAAGCCCATAGGGTACAAGCTTAAAAAAAGGTAATGGCAACTTTATGTATTTGTGATGCGGGTGGGTCAACAATGCTGCCATTTGGGAGGCGAAGGGCAGAAAAGTCCTCATCATCAAAGTAAAGTTGAGTGCTAATTAGCCAACATTTGCAAGTCAAGGTAACCTAACATTAGTGTCAGGATCACTGTCAGCTGTCACTTTCAGTCAGTAATCTGAGTTAGTTATCGAATTTCCCTCTGGGATCAATAAAGTATTTCTGATTCTGATTCTGATTAAAAGTGAATACTATTTTGCTTAAGTTAACAGTCAAGTCTGTTGTTTTTGTCCCCTCACCAGAGACAGCGTAGCGCCTAATAGCATTAATCAACAATCTCCTCCTCTCTGGATTTTCTTTGTCAGGCACTTCTGCAAGTGTGTGATGTCATGTGAAAAGAATGAATTGTCAGATGATGATATAGCCTCTGGGAGTGATGGCCACGTTTTTGTATACTTCTGCATGGTGTAGTCAACATTTAGTAATAAATGACTTCTGGCCAAGACTTACTTTTCCAAATGTTTACAATGTTGGATAGAGATGGTGTTGAGACATAGCGCCTACGAGCTGGTTCTTGCATATAGATATCTGTTTTAAAGACATCAACTAAAGCTAAACGCTCAGAAGATGATTGCTGATGGGTGCTGGGGATGCATTACGGCAGATTATATTTTACCATTTTTGCTCTGCAATAAGCCTGTTCTCCTGGGTTCAGGCAATGCTCACTGCAATACTAGTTGATTATACTCAAACCATAAAGTGAAACCAAAACTCTTGGCATCACAAAATCTCATCCCACACCAACATACTTAGCATTTTTCCCCAAGATATTTTTTGGCCTTTTTGCCTTTATTTTGATTGGACAGTGAAGAGAGACGGAAGATGTTGGGATGCGAGAGCAGGTGACAAATTATTATAATCAAATCCCCCTGGACAGGATGGCATGTTTTTTTTGGCATGTTCATCTGTTGATGATTTATTTCTGTTTCATTGTATAAATAGACTGATGTTTCAGTAATAATAACAGAGAACAAAGTTTTATCCTCCATAGAGCTTTCAGCCCTCTGAGATAGTAATGGTTTACTGGTACTTGCAATGCTAGCGGTAATAGGGGGAAATGATCAACAGAAAAAAATCAGTACGCAGTACAAACTATCTTCATGATTCTCCTTTTCAATATGGAGAAGTGAGGAGAATCTTCACAACAAAGAAAGAAGAAGCAGTCTTTACATTTTTGATTGGATTTGTACGTTTCTGTTTTTATTTAATGCTTTAATTCAAACTTCTTTTTGTTTTGTGTTTTCAGGGAGAAAAAAGGGTAACTGGACCGGAAGGTAACCTGAGAGCAATCTTGTAAAACAATCAAAGTCCTCTTTGATTATGGATTATATTATCTTCTCAACTTTGATATTGATAAATTGATATACAATTATATAACTCTCTCACCTAAACCTACAACTGTATAGACTTGTTAGAGCTGAGAATTTGGAAACTACAAACAGTCATGTTGCTTTCCATGCTGATGGTCATCTTTTGACCTCTTGACCCGATCAGGAAAACCTTAGACACTAGCTAAGCTTTCAGCATGTTATTTGGCCGCATGTTATTTTGCTCTCTTGTTTAGTTTGGAAAACTTCCAGGCTGTGGTAAATGGCGCATGAGTTGGGGATTGAGGGTATTGAAGTAGAAGCAGAAATGCCAGGATTGTTTTTGTATTCCCATTTTGCATGACTGAACATTCTGTCTCAGCTGGGGAGCGAATTGTATAAATAATACTACAAGGAGATATCATCATTACAATCAACACTCCATCCTCCGGTTCAGTTTGAAATGAGACCAGATGTGTTCATGTTGAACGTGAAGTGAACCTGATCATTTTTTTGGTTGAAAGACTTCAAACTCATATGCAGCCTCTGTGTGGGCTCACAGCCTTCACTCAAACGAAGGGTTTTTTGCTGAGAGACTGAGGGAGAGAAAAACACAAATGTCACATAAAGGTCAACTCTTTACACAATGTCAACACTTGCCTTCTTTGCACTGCTACATATCTGTACTCAAAGACAGGAGGAATTGATGATGAATATGAATCTTTACATTCCACATCAATAAACGATCAGAAATCAAGGGTCACACCTTCTTCTATTAAGCAGATGTTTGGTGTCTTACACAGCAGCATGCCCTATCCCACAGACCAGCATCTCATGTTACCCACGTGCTCTTCTCCTTTTCTTTGAACCTGACTCTCTTCTCCTTTCCAAAACAAAGTCCAGAGGCGGGGGGGGGACAGAGTGACAGGGTCCTGTGTGGCTGATCCCTGGAGTGATAGGACGAGGTCCAGCTGTGCAAGAAGAAGGGTTCTTCTTGGAGGCTAATTGAAATAACCTGGTCTGCTGGACAGGGAAGGCTTTGAAGTTTGTTTTAGGGGTTTTGTTTGCAGCATGTGAACACTGTTTTCGATCTAGCAGTTGTGCAACACCTGCTGACACTGCCAGTTGTTGCCACTGTGTCATGCCTAAGGGATTCTTTGGTCTCTTTTGTTTTTGTGCATTATAAGTTTCCCTTTTTTTTTTCTTCTTTTTTATTTTTGTGTATCTCCCTGTTTTTTATATGTGACTTTCTTTATCCATCTCTCTCTTTCTGCCTCTCCTTCCACTTTCTCAGCCATCTGATCTAATTGCAGCAGTTGGCAGTTCACCAGTCAGTCTGGTTCCCTTCAAGCTCTATTGCTAAGTTGCTTGCTCTAGTTGGATTAATGTTGGGTCTCTTCAAATAACATAATAAATAGTGTGGTCTAGATTAGGGGTCTCTGACCTTTTTTCACCTGAGAGCACTTACATCACATCGCGTATGTTTAGTCACATGATCAAAACAAATGAACCAGCTGAATTAAGCTACTTCCTCTCGTCCGTCATTGCTTCCTTCACAAACACGCTGCTGATGAATGGCTTTTAAAGTCCTCTGAGATCATTTTACTGTAACTACTGTAGGTGCTTTATAAAAAGATATTGATTGATCGATCGATGGATTGGCATTCAAACACATTAAGATCCTTTAAGAGTACAAAATAAGAACACACGCATCAGGTATTGAAACAGGCCCCCCACACAAAGAAGAAGTAAGCCTCCCTGTGATTGGCCATAGGAGTTCTTTTCACAGTATCAGCTCAGATCTGACTCTGATCTGTCTGTATAATCTCTTAACTGGGTGCAAATTTTCCTGCTTTCATGTGTCAGCCAGGACTTAGAGGAGAGGCAATGGAGCAAGCTGCTGCGTTTGTTTGCAGAGTCAGATGCTGATTAATTGCATCTGGAGGAAAGTCAAGGTTTTTCATCTCTGTGGGGGCCTGATCTAACCCCGAATGCTTATGCATGCTTATCATCCCAACAGCCCGCCGTAATTAGTTCAATCAAATACAAACATGACTAAATGCTAATGTGCTCTGTGGAAGCCTGTTGCTTTCACGTGGGACTTTTCCCGTTTCTCAGATCTACTCTACATCCCTTGATTAGAATGAAAGGCTTCTGAAGTGGCTTTTGGATGAGGCTTTTGTTTCGAGGGTGTGTGTGTGTTTTATTTTTTGTTTCATGTCAACTCCAGCTTTGCAGGTGTGCTTTGTCCATAACCTCTTAATACCTCATGGTGGAGCATCGTCTTCTGATGTTAACTCTAAATTTTAAGGCGTAGGTTGAAACAAAGATGGATGTCAGGATTAAGGGTGTGCCCGAACACAGAGTTTTATGTCACAGTGTGTTACGGGCAATGTGAACAACTCTGGATGCGTATCCTGGAATGTAATTCAAAACCAACACTTAGAAATATTCATTATTGATTGAACTTATTTAACTTTATTTTTAACTCTCTTAGAAACATTGAAGTATGTTTAACTAATTAAAAGTTTTCTCAACTTGTGACATGAAGTCAAAACTCAGTCAAAGATGGTAAAAAAAAATAGAACATAGTATGTATTGCATATAAATAGGCGTTATTACATATGTATGGAAACACTGTACCAGCACAATGCAAATAAAACACAGCTATTAACCTTATATTTTATTAGTGAAAAAAATTAACTTGATTACTTTTAGAAAAATATTTTAATTTTTTATGTCATTTTTATGCCATTTTTATGTGTCATGCATTTACATTTTCCATCACTTGTAGTCTCCACCATATTTGGTGTTGGCATGCTACCTTTCATAAACAGAAGGAAAAAAATCTCCTCATAAGTGCTTAAAGGAATATTACCACTCTTAGATCACCAAGCAAAGAACTCACTCCTAAATCGGCTGTTTGACCTAAAGTGTAGTGGCCCTTCAGACACAAACTACTCTTGACATTAACACTCTGTATAACTCTACCGCTCACAGGCCAGCTACTGGTGTTCCCCTTCCCTAGTCATCAACATCTGAGGCTGAACTTCATCCCCTGAGGCAATGTAATCCACTCAGTAACCAGTGGCCCTTAGGACCCGAGGCTCATTTTTCATTGGAGTCAGTTCTTTTTTTAAAGAAGCACGTCATTCTCTCAGGCCACAGAAAAGGCAGATACCTCACTTTACTACACCACAGATGAGAGTAGCAGAGCAAAACAGACCCAGCATGCCCAATCCACCCCTACAGATGTTCGTCCTAGCCCATGCCCGACACAGGAAGCCATTAAAGAGTAAATCAATCAGCCGGCTCTGTGGAAACGGGACAAACCTCCATGGAAAGCATGTGGAGGGGCACGTTGCCAGAGGACTGAGATGCTATACGCGACTTGTACCAAATATAAATTCATTGCAGACTCTTGGAAACTTGTGTTTTCATAAACACCATGAAATGGTGGAAGCAATTTCCCTGTTTTGGACTGATTCAAATGCAAAGCAGTGGAGGTTACCGACAAAAGAGGAGTGAAAGAAGAAAATAAATAAGGCTTTGTTAGCGTGTGCCTTTTATTTCCCCAGAGGGAAAATATTTTCAAAGATCAATCTCTTCCTGAGAAATCATTTTAGCGGTGATAATCCTCAAACAACATTCCCCTCTCTTATTTCTAAACTGAAAAGAATGCAAACCATTTTCAACTGTCGTCATGAATAAAGATGAGCATCAGGGCACTTCTTTACAGCATGCAAATATGAAGTTGTGCTCTTTCCTGGTTGTTTGTTTCCCTTTGAAGAAGTTAATTCCTTACAGACACAGCTTCACTCCTTATCTATATTTACCCCAGTCGACTGCAACCTGCAGCCACTCTGTTTTGTATCATGTGCTACATCTAAGTTTTATTTCTGTCTGGTTATATTTTACCGAAAGGAATTCAACTTCTCTGGCATATTTAGCACATGTTTTACAAAAGGACACTTACAAAATGTGCATGTTTTCTTTAAGATATTTGATTTATTGACACTTCACTGCCAGACAGGAACAATTATGGCGTCTACCCAAGGGAGACACTTCAATCGCTAGATATAATCTATCAAAGGACAACTTTATCCCCAATATACTTTAAGTCTAAGTATGTAAAGCTGAGTGAGTAATTCCTTGACTCAAGATTTATGATAGCACCTGTCTGTTAGCACAAGTAAACTGTTCCAGCTGGCTTGGGAATTCCCATCAAATCCAGCTCCAGAATCCCCCAGATCTTCAAGAACTTTGTTCTTGTCATCAGAGATAAAGCTTTGCAATCTTCCCCAACCATTATGCTTAATGATCTGCTTAACCAGCCCCGTTACACCAAAGCTAGTTCCAAGGAGAAAGACAACTTCAAAAGAACATTATTCTTCCATGCAAGGGTTGTGTTTTCCCCTATATGTCCTTATCAGGCAATGTGGAACTTGTGTGATACACAGATATGATGCAGAAGTATTTAAATCCCCGCTGTGTACGTGGAGCTTCGTCCAAGGATTTGTTTGTGTATGTCTGTGTGTGGGTGTACATACAGTCTGACGTTCTGTTTGTAGCAGTACACAGACACCAAACGCATGCAGTGTACATGTCTTTCAGATAAAACCATATCAGTTGAAACAAGACTCAGCTTGTCTCGTCTGATCTTTCACAGTTGCTGACATCAATGCTTCAGTTAAGAACAATTGTATTCAGTATTTGCAACAAGATGTGGGTTTTTTTTTATCCATTACTTAATATTAGGCAAATCTGTTGTTAGTTTTTTTGGTTTGCACACTATTTTCAGACCTCAGTTGGTGGCCTGATGGGGAATGCAGCCAATAAAAAACCTACTGTAAATCATGCCCATACAGGCTACAAAAAAAAATTGCATCTAGACAGAGCTATCCTTAGTTAATTGGTCAGAATGTAAGAAGTTAACGTTTTAATTAGTTGGCGTTCAAGCCTTTTAATTTGTTATGAATGTTGGTGTGCACAGAAATATACATATTTTAACATATTTTAAGATTACGTTAAACCCGACTGTTAATGCGGAGCGATTTAGAGAAGTCAGACTGAACCACAAAATACTTGAATGCATTACTAAGGATGAGAAAACACTATTAGATACCTAGCTTTATAGGTCCGATATAGGAAATGTAAAAATGTTTGGCCACTTAGACTCACCTTCTTTCAGATCTGGAAAAACCATGTCCAAGTCACATGTCCGATTACTTTTAAAATAAGTGCATGAGATGACAAATTCAATGGTTTATGTTGGTTTGTTTACGTTTAAGACTTTTTAGTTATGTATCTAATTGGCACACATTCTCAGGTCCCAGAGGCAGCTACAGATTTGCTTGTGGTATCTCTTAATATTCCCTGTGTGTCTGTGCATAGATCTGAATGTGCAATCTGTAACACAGGGGGGCATTGCAGGTCCTTTATTTTTCTCTATCAACCTTATGAATTCTGAACACTTTGTTTCGTTTTGTTGTCTCCTCCACAGCATGTCTGAACCCTCAAGGTCAAAGACCTCATAGGTATTCATATCAGCATCTCCCCTCAGCCCTGCGCTTAATAAGAAGACAGCGCAGCCACAGCATCATCAGGTCTACGTTTTATTGTGTTCATTACAACTGCTGTGAGGAGTTTTGAACTGGTTATAAAGCCTACTCCATTTAGTGCTAATGCCCCTTCATGAAACCAGGCCATCTCTGAGAAAATTGACTCTGTCTTTTTAGTTATTGCTCATGTCTTTTACCGGGTCTGTTCTCGTTTCTCACACTTATTTAGAGTGTTGAAATTAAAAATTGTCAGTCTATCAGCAAGGGTTTTCATGAATTACATGGACTTATTTCAGCTTTTCAACCTTATCTATCCATCTGAGTTAGGTCTATATTGTAACTGATGATTGCTGATGGTTTGTTTCTGGGCAAAATAAACTGTTTGGTTCATTAACTGTTATTTGGCTGTCAGAGCACCATTAAAGCTTGATTTCAAGTCCTTACCTTCTTTCAAACTAGCTCGTAAACTACGCATTAACAGGATAAAATAGCATGCAAAGTATAAGTGCAGAGGATGTTATGGATTTTGTTCAGGTGTTTTGTCTGACAATGATAGTCAGCCATATTTATTCATACTAAAGTATATAGCAGTAGAAACGCAGCAGTGGCCTCAGTGAGGCTGAGGCTACGGCTGCCCTCTTTGCAATGCATTCTGTTGGCAGTGCTGCCACAGCTCTGTGAGCAGGATATCTTAGCTCTCCTGGTCAGTTTAGCACACACAGGAATTTGTCACTTTAGTTGACTGGATATACTATCAACAGTGATTGGACATTAAGAAAAAGCAATCCCTTTCAGTGCACTATGCATTGATTCAAAATGCATCTTGCAGATTCAAGTTTTGAAAAGCTTTTTTTTATTTAACAAACTGATTCAAAATATTTACAATATATAATGATCCATTCAGTTCCTATCTGCAGTGATCTTGTGCTTATTTCCAAACGACGTTAATGACTTGATGAAATCTTCCAACTTGCAGTGTCAGTAGGATTTGCATGCTGGGATTTGTAAGGCTTTCTTGATATACTGTTAGAAGATTGAATGGAGGACGCAGTTTGCCCTGATTTGTTTCTATTCAAAATTGGAACTGAGATGTGCGTGGTTAACATTAGCTCAACATGTGTATTAGAAGCGAGCTTACAGTGCATAGCTCTATTGTAAACAGATACTGTAATCCCGCAAACATACCATAGTTCTTGCAATTCTGTGTCCTGAAACTCGTTTTATCGATCCTGTCCTTGTGACTATTCGACTCTTTAGATCTTTGCTTGTTTTTGTTTTTCATTTGGCCACAAAATGTTTTTTTGCTTAAATTAAATATGACATCAAGCCTCCTTTTATCATCTTCATAAGAAGTAAATATTCTCCATATAAAAGTTTGCGTCCTCAAATGTGTTCTTCATCAGCAGTTTTACACTTTGCATATGCTGGATTGTGGTTCTGTCACTACATTGCCTGAATGGATGAAATGAAAAAGACACCCATCAGAGCATGTTTGCAGTGTTTTCCAGTTTGACATGGAGAAAAAAATGGATGCACAGCATAAAAACAAGTCTGGCCTGAATATACCCCACAGTGATAAAACCCCCCTGGAGTTGTTTGTGCTCAGAGAGAGCATTCGGATGGAAGATAATTTAATGTGGTGACAGCTCTCAATCCTTTGAAGAGCAGATTCAGACAACAAACATCAATACTGCGTTTCTTCATGTAGAGAAAACAATAAGTGAGTTTGATATCTTCTGATTCAGCAGAATACAATTTTTATTCGAGCTTTTTAATCAAACCTAAGTATATATCTGATATCTGCATCAAGTGTCATTCCAGCTAAAAAAAGAAAAAAATGTTGATGATATGCTTCATTTGAGCTCTGGTACCACAGTCTAAATTCTCCCCCCGCAAAGTGGCACAATGGGCAGAGACAAGGACTGCATCGCTTGTCAACAAGCCTCTGGCTCTTTTTCTTATGAGGTGATATGAAGATGCAGTTTCTCTTACTTAAAAGACTGGTGATTGCGATGGTGTTAAGCAATGTATCTTTTTCTTTAATTGAACTTCTTGTTTTGTTCTATTTTCATTAATCATCTGATCGGTGATGCTTCAAAAGTCACAGAAAGGAAAGTTGGGCGTTATACTTATAACTAAGACAGGAACTATTTGTATCCTTTGGTGATTATGAATCTGAGCTTGGAATATGCTCAGATTCATATCATGACTTCTCATCATTCTTACACAGATTACACTTTCCCTTACAGTCACAGATAAGTGTATAGAAGGAATCAATAAGTAGATGTGCCAGAATTTACTACAGCTGAATAAAGGAAATTGTAAAATAGTGTATTCAGCCCAGATCCATGAACTGGTTTCCAGTTCCTCACAGAATCAATTTCAAAATGCTCTTACTTGTTAATAAATCACTAAATGAGTTGGTCCACCTGCCAGACTTCCTGACCCGGCACAAACTTCCCAGACTTCTTAGGTCTGCTGGTTCTGGACAATTGTTTGCTCCCTGAGTAAAAACTGAACATGGCGAAGCAACATTTAGTGTTTATGACTCTCAATTGTGGAACAAATTGCCTGTGAAGCTAATACTTGAAACAGTACTAACATCTTTCTTTTAAATCCAAGCTCAAGACTCACCTGTTTAGGGAAGCTTTAAATGAATATCTTTCAAATGTAATTGTATTTTCTTTCCTAAATGTTACTTTGTTGAATTGTTTTCAACTTGATTGTGTTTATTTTTTCTTACTTTTCTGTGTTTCTTATTGTTTTTAACTGTTCTTTGCTTGTGTCTAATCTGTTTGTGTAAAGCACTTTGGTTTGCCCTTGTGCTTTACAAATAAATTTTATTTAATCTTGTTCAAATTATGAACTACAACCACATTTTAACAACTTACAACTGTCACAAAGTCAGCATATTACCATCTCAAAAATATAGCAAGAACCAAAGATTTGGTGTCAGAAGATGTCACAGAGAGATTTGCTGATGCTTTCGTTTTTAGCAGGCTGGATCATTGTAAAAGTGTTTTCACAGTTCTGACTAAAAACTGTTCTGACCGATGCAGCTCAGCCAGAACGCTGCTGCCAGATTCCTCACCAACACCAAGAAAGTAAAACACGTGACATCAGTGCTCAGATATCTCCACTGGATATAATCTAGAATCTTACTCCTCATTTATAAAGCACCAACTTGTCCTGGGCCAAAATACAAATCAGACCTGGTAGTTTGTTTTGAGGCATCCAGACCCCTAAAATAATTTGGGACAGGTTTACTGATCATTCACAGAATCAGAACGAAGCAGGATGAGGCAACTTTTAGTTTCTTTGCTCCGGGTAACAACCTCAGATGGAACCTGAAGCTTTCCCAGCCCTTTTAAAACAGGTCAGAAAACATTTTTATTTACTGCTGTCTTTCTATATGTTCAATACCTTACTGAGGTATGACTCTGCAGTCCAGGACTGTAGAACACTATCACACTGTAAGACACACTGAGCAGATAATGAATCATTAATTGCCGGATATGAGTATGTTTTCATACATTTTGTGTTTCAATGTTGTATTGTTGCTTAATGTGGTTATGTCTTTATTTATTTTCGATCTTAATGTTATAAATGTTTTATCTTTAAATCCTCTTAATGTTATAAATGTTGTGTTTTTAACTCTGTACAGCCCTTTGATTTTTCTTTATATATGAATGGTTCTCTATGAATAAACTTGCCTTGCCTTGCTGCCACCCTAATTCAAATAAATGTTCCTGCGTCACCTAGTAAATCAGTTCCTTTTATAGGAGTTCCCAAAAATGGAATGATCACTTGTACAGGGACCGGGCTCTGGTTTACAAGGACCCAGGGTCTTTGGGTTTGGGTTTTGGTTTGTTTTTTGAAATGTTTGAGGCCCTCGGTATACTTTCCCATTTAAGCTGATGGACAAAATGGATATGGTTAAAAGTGTGGTCAGTCGTGGGTCAGTGACGCTCCACTCCTCCTCTTCCTCTGAATTCAAACAATTCAGATGTCCGAATCACATTAGTCTGTTGCAGGTTTTTATTTTAATGGATAATTGTAGTTTCAGGATTTTATTATGTTTCTTTATTTCATGATGTGCTTGTATGTGCTGGTATAAAATGCAACACTTGTTTTTAACACAGGCAGAGTCTTATCTTTATATCATCATTCCTGGATCTGTTGTAATTAGTTTGTACTAGAGGTCATGAGAAGATCCTGTGGATCGTAAACAATCAAAAACATAGAAGAATTGAGAAGTGACCCATTTATTTGAAGCCTAAAGGTATGCACCCCTGTTTTTTACTATGCAATACAAGTTTTGCTAACCAAGAAAACTTCCATCAAATGTATGGCTCGCCCTTGTTTGTGAATCACTTGAAAGTTTCTCAGAAAAAGAAAAAGACGTTTATGTTTTTTATCAAATATGATTTGCACTTATTATCACCTTAATTCCTCTTTAGGTGTTTCAGTATTTGCTGCTGTGGACACCAATCGACATTCATGACAAGTCCCTCCTTAGAGTCATGTTTTTAAAGGAAACATGTCACTACACAGTGGAACAGCACACTGCTAGACGTTTCATCACCAAATACAGTGTTCATCTATATAACTATTCTCCTCTTTGCTACCGTAAGTTCTTGTTTGTTTGAAATTGACTTCAATGAAAGGATGTCACAATGTTCACAGATCTCTGCAATCAAATATAACCAATAACTGATATGGACAAAATATGACAATAAGTTTTTACTCACTTTTTATGTTTATTTGGTCCTGATAAATATCTTTCTGAGCAAAGAAATCATGTTCTATACACCTCTAATCTTTCCTCTGCTCCTACGTCTGTTTCATATTCCCCTCTCTCTCTCTCTTTGTCTTTCTTTTAAAGGAGATAAAATGGAGCAATGTTACAATAAACATTCCAGGGGGTGTCACCCACCCACAGCCTAATTAGAGACCCGGTAGGCCTCGCAAGATGGATGACGGCTGTGTGTGTCAGGGGAGAGGCAGAGAAGGAGGGGTTGCGGTGCTTCTGTAGCCACTGGTTACGTGCAGGTGGCTCGATCTTAAACGTTAGCTTTTATCTAAGCTTTGAACACAGGTAAGCTCAGGGGCCTGTGCAGGTGTGTGTGTGTGTGTGTGTGTGTGTGTGTGTGTGTGTGTGTGTGTGTGTGTGTGTGTGTGTGTGTGTGTGTGTGTGTGTGTGTGTGTGTGTGTGTGTGTGTGTGTGTGTGTGTGTGTGTGTGTGTGTGGGGGGGGGGGGGGGGGTAGCAGTTGGGAGTTGTTAGTGGAGCTGATAGAGCCAGAGGCGATCATTTGTCAGCAGGGGATCCCACTTTTGCAGTGCTTAGCTGGGGTCAGAGAGTGACACCGTAATGTGTGTTGTGTTGTGTGTGCAACCACTAATGATGTGGATCATATAGACACTCTTGTGGCCGGGTGGGTGGGGGTGGGGTCAGCCGGGTCGCTCAGACTTCAGACAACATCCAGATGCTCTGGTTGAGTAATCACATTGACTCACTGTGTCCCCCATAGGAGTAGACCAAAGAACTTGTGCGTCAATGTGTGTGCCAGTGTGTTTTGTCTTCAATTAACATGATGAGCCAAGCGATGGCAGAGATCATTTTGGCGCTGAGGACAGCAGACCCGACTGTAAACGGTGACTCAGGGGTGATGTCAAAGAGGGAGTCTAACTCATCACCTTTCCTCTTGTCACATCACTGCCAAAAAACTGAAGAAACACACCAGTAAACCTTTTTTTTGGTTTATCAAGATGCAAAGCATTACAAATAAACATGTCTTTTAAATATGTATCTGTATACACAAGTGTGCTTACGCATGAACAAGCCTAAAGACATTGTACGGTAATATGGCAAACAATTAATGAAAGCACAGACAAGTGTTAACAGCTGAGAAAGTTAGACTGTTTCTTTAAGGAAAAATGATTCAAAGTCTTCAAAATGTGTATATACAAAAAAAAACAAAAAACTGTGCCACCTATAAAGACATCAACAATGCACAACTTCATGTTTTAGAGCCCAAACAGAGTTATTCACATGACTTGTTTTGTACAACGAAAGATCTAAAAGCCTGAAAAATAAAATTAGTATACTGCCATGAAAGGAAAAGCCACTCATCTAAGTCCTCTATTGTGTAACTCAAACATGACATCAATATAAACCATTTTCCAGGATTACTGCTCAGAGTGAGGTCTGTGAATTATCCTAAATCACCAGGATACTTCTTCATGGAAAGACACGTCTCTGGTGAGTTTTTAAATGTCATTTCTACTATTATTGAGAGCACCTCAGTATCATTTCCTCAGTAGCATAAATGTCAGAGACTCAAAAGCTGAAATAATGAATAAGGTTGTGCTGTCTCTCACTCTGTCGCTGAAACTAAATGGCAACGCTAATCAAAAGAAACATGTCTCACGCTACAAAAATGACTCGAGAGCCTGAGGAACAAAGCATGCACAGATCCTCTGCTGAGAACAAAAAGCCAAGACAGAGAAATAGTTTTGACCACAAAGGAGAATAATGTGGTATTAAGATTCAGGGCCAGGCACTCGTGTTTACCCAAGAGGAAACAAGGACATGACATAGTCTTGGCTTCTGAATTTGTGAATTTGAAGCATCTGGGCCAACCTCTAATTCAGCTATGCATAACTTCCCATTGGCAGGCAGGTCAGGGATGCCGGACTACTCTCTAATACATCTCAGTGGATTACTCTTGCTGTGACCTCCAGCTTTCTCCCTGCATATAACTCAGCAGGCAGGACGCACCAGCAGCTCTTTAATGCTAAAAACACACACATACTGTATGATGCTTTGAGGAACTTTGATAACGTGTTGGCTTATGGTCAAAGCAAAGTGAAAAAAAAAAACTGAGATGTCTGAAAACACAAAATGTCAGAGTTATAAAGTTTGTATGATTTATCTGGAGTACTAAAAAGGACAACAGAATTACAGTAACTCCAGCAGATCACAAGGAATGTGGACAGGCAGCGTGTACAGACAGGCCCAACATGTGATCACACACACACACACACACACACACAGTAGAGAAAGAGACACCAAGGAGACAAAGGATGCATTACTAAAACTGTACAGTATCACAGGATAATAGCAAGATGGAAAGGATAGATAGATAGAGAGATAGATAGATAGATAGATAGTGCTGCTCAGACTATTTATCTATCTATGTATCTATCTATCTATCTATCTAAGTACATTCCTATACTAAATAATAATCAAAATGTACGCTGTGTATTCGAGGAAGAAGTAATTATCTAAAGTTGAAGTACTTCGGTATAAAACTGAAATGATGAGCCATTCCACTGTTAAGTCCCCCAAAAAATCAAATTAATTGCAAATTGTTTCGTTTTGATGCATCTTTTAGCAGTTTTTTAAGGAAGAAGTCATTGGTTCCAGCTGTGAAAATGTGAATGTTCTCTGGTATACTTGCGTCTTCTATGACAATACATGGCAGCTTTATAGTGAACATACATTTTTGCCTTGTGTTTGTGTTTTTGTCATGTTTGTCACCATGATGTTTTTACATGACAAACATGACAAAAAGACAAACACAAGGCAAAAATGTATGTTCACTATAAAGATGTCCTGGAGCTCATATAATACATTCAGGCGTATATTCATTCAACAATCTTTTTAATAAGTCTCATAATGTATGATCTGCTTAAAAAAAAAAGAAAAGAAAAGGAAAGATTCATAATAAAAAAAGAATGAAACATTCTCAACAGAATATAAATGACAATATAAAATAAGATTTCAGAATATTCAAAATAGCTGTTTTTCATGTGGGGAAGTTGTGCATTTTTGTAGATTATTGGTCAGAAAGTTGGACAGTTGTTACTATTCTCTTTTCCTATTAAAGTTATTAAGTTGAGGTATAATGTGTCAGAAAAAGAGTAGCCTAATGTACTTCAGTGTACTGAAGTTTAGACCTGACCCTATTGTACTGTACTGTATATCTAATGCACATATTGTAAGAGTTTGTGTAGACTAAAGAAAGAGCTGTCATGTGTTTTCTGAAAGGTTAAAGGTCTCAGTCTTACCCATTGTTAACTTTCAGACGAGTTCAATTATATCACATTTCTTTCTGTCAAACATTCTCAATCTTTCACTGCACTGTAAGTATAGTTTTTTTATTCTCTGGAGGCCACACAGTTTCTCTAAAGGGCACACGTCATGCTAGATTACTTTCCCTGTGCACCTCATCTCGACCCTGTCGGTTTTGGCAAAATAAATGTTGGTCAGTTTTTTTTCTTTTCGAGTGGTGAGCTCATCCTGGATTTTCTATTTTTAAGCGGACTGGCTGCTTCCTGCTTGCACACCGCTTCAGTGTGCCGAGTGGTTCTCGCAGTGAAACACATGAGGGTGCTGTTTTACCCTCATGATGGAGTTACCTCTGTTAATAGGAAAAGAGCTGAGAGGACAGGGACAGTGCACCTGCTTCTTTCCAGTGAGCAAGGTAAGAACAAATCCATGTCACAGAAGAGTCATTTGGATGGAATGGATTTTATTTTGTAATCTGTTGAGTTTCCTTTAAGAACATTTATCACCTCCCTGCGTTCCCTGAAATTGTAAACACTATCTGATCATTTGAATTTGTAACCTAGTTTTAAAAAGTCATCACACTCTATGGATAAGAACAATCTGATGACTAACTGTGGACACAAACAACCTAATCTCACACTAAAAAAAATGATGCCCAGACTTCCAATGTTACTACCAAAGATTTTACTTTAATGATTGAATTCTTACTAAGAGGTAGACAAAAAAAAAATCAACATATGATTCATTTGTCTATGTTCATAAATCCAGCAACAGGAACCAATACATTCTTATTTTTTAAGAAATGACCTAAAATCCTATACACACCTTGTCTATGATTTAACCTATGATGTATTACTAGTTTAGCCCAGAAGTTTCCGAATGCAATGACCCCCCAATTACATTTAGAACCCTTCATATAAACCAAGACAGACTTTGTGCCTGTGTTTAAACTTCCAATCTCCTTTGGTGATGTATTCTTCTTATTTAACTGTATGGACCTAATAGTAAATGCATCGAGATGTTTTAAGTTAGGGTTTACCCTCTGGAGCAGTTTTTCTCTCATATTTCTGCGTGTTTGTACTTTTGCTGTAATTTTAAACTTATTAGTTATTATTGTGGCATTATGCTTAAACTCCATTCTTTCAAGAGTGTAAATCAGCTTTTTCTTTCCTAACCTGCTGTTCATTGCACCACTAAAGTCCACCCTCCAACCCCAGCACCACCACCCTCCCACCCTCACTCCCGCTTCTTCTCCTCCTCTTTTCTCTCTGCTGCCTCCCCAGTGTTGCAGGTTGAATCTGTTGCCCCTATTTCCTGTCACATGGGTTGGAAATTGGATCCCTGCTTTCTACTATCTGTTCCCGTCTGTGTTGATGTCAGTGTAGTAGTGGCTGTGGGACCTGCCTTGAAGTTCAGGGACTTTTAACGCCTGCCAAAGAGCGACTCCTGCACAGACCCGGACAGACAGACAAGGCAGACAGTCACTGAGTCAGTCCAGCAGCCAGCCGCTCTGCGCATCTGTCCGTGAGGCTGCACTTCACCTGGGAGCCAGTCCAGACTCTTTACTCACACGATGGATTCCTGGACAGTCTCAGCTGCACTTTTTCTTGCTGGGGTTATTTCTTCTGCGGCTTTTAGTCATTTCGACACCGGTAAGTGAAACTTTTCTCCTCGCCTTTTCTGTGTATCTATTCCGATAAATCTGCGTTCTAGAAAGCGTCTTCCAAAGTTGCTCTTTCGCGCACCGGACAAGCTGTTGCCCCCTCCAGAAACGGTACAATGAACACCAGGCGGATGGTTATAACCAGTGTTTAAGAGATATGCCTATTACACAGTTTGGGATCGGACATGTCGCAGATTGCAGCAGCTGTAAATTCATTCATAGTTCACCGCTTTGGTTTCAATCTCAGGCTCTGTTTCTCAAACTGCATGACGTCTTTTTCTGGGATGTTTCGGGAAGGCAGCGCCAACCCCCCCCCCCCAAACAACAACGTGAAACTGTTCAGTTATGTTATTTGATTACTTAAAAGAAAGGATTATATGCTCAGGGTAGCGTGGTACAGTGTGGCTAGACTTGTTTCAGTGTCACACTCACCGCACACCTACAGGGTAAACACTTACAGTTCAAACCCATTCCATAAGTGCACTCAGATTTGGAAGTGTCCCCCGTGGCTGCTTGCAAGCCCCCTCAAGATTGGGGGTAGATGTAAATCTATATATAGGCTATATATAAATGAGTGGGCTTAGATATAACCCTTAACCCCTCGTGTGATGTTCATAAAGCAGCTTTTACGCACTCGACTCTCCCAGTGCTGCTTACCTGGTCTGCATCAGCTGCTTTACCTCCACACTGTTGTGATTGAACACGATTTTCAATGGTTATGTAAGAACATCTCTTTAAATGTCTCTCCATCTCGACCATAATAAAACTGTTGGCTGCCGTGCATATTTTGCCGTTGTTGAACTACTAAAACGAACCCAAAACCTTCAGCTCGGTCATCTGATATCATCCATTTAATTTACCATAAAGTTCAGACTTAATGCGCGGGGGTTGAGCTCGCTTCTATCTGCGAAACTTCAAAGTTGCGACCGTATCCACATTCAAAGCCAGGCTATGTATTCAAAAGGAATATTTGGTTTAAATGTGAATATCTAATAATGATGACCACACTAACCAGGCCTCAACTCGCTGTAATTTGCTGTGCGTTTCATGTCGGAGCAGCAAATCCTCGTGCTTTCCTTTTTAATTTTTTTGTCTCTTAATTATACCCTCTGATTTCAAATTAGAGGGTCCAACATCTGGGCTAGTGCGTAAGTACTCCCATGTGTACCTATGTATTAACAAAGTATTTAAAGCAATGGTATTCCCCCTCATAACACTGCAGCTCAGAAAGCCAAAGTTTATGTTTAGTTGAAGTCAGCTGTGCCATATGTACTGTACAGTTAAACAATCATTTCATGTGTCTACAACAAGTCAGGTCCTGGCTGTAAAGGCACTGAAGGACTGTTTGATGCTCTCTTTGCTCTGTTTTGCATCTAATATGTTTGGACTGTGCATGCTGAACAATAGTATAAAACTAACCACCAACTAAAGTAAAAGTCCTCAACAAAACCACCAGTGTTTGCAGCAAAATCTCATCTTGTTTGTTCAGATTTTCCTGTGTTATGTTGCCTATTTTTCCTGCCACTTTGTTTATTTGTTAAACAGCTTATATTTGATTTACATGATTGTTAGGAACTTGTAATTTAAGTGTGTGCTTTTATTTACCACTTGTTTTGGACCACTCTGGACACCGGTACGGCATTCTGTAAATGTGAGCCCTACAAGCACCCTAAATGCCCTAGAAAGACTTTTTACTTGTTCGTTTATTTGGAGAAATTTGTAATCGTTTGTTGTAATCCTTTTCAATGTATTTATTTGTACTACCACAACATCACCATTACAGTTTGACTGGCAGCCTTTATTGCTTTTAACACGCCGCTCCTACCATTTCTGCATCTGCACTGCCATGATGTAAATGGCATCAAAAGATAAATCAAATGTGCATTGCAATGGACATTAACTCTTTTTGATGCAGGCAGAGTCAGTTAGATTAACTCAACTGACTTCTGGGAGCCCCCAAAACCTGCTTAGGCCCTCTAAAGACTTTCGCTTGCCCTGATCAGGGGATAAGTATGAGCCACATTAACAGCTAAAAAATAACTCCTTGATTGAACTGAACTGATTGTATTTTATGATGCTGCTACTTAGATTCTTCCTATAGTACGACTGAGGTTAAGCGTTATACAGATACATTTTATGGACAGTGATGGCATGAAGAGTAAAATGTTCAAATGTGATTTCTTTAAAATTTGATTTTTTCCATTGAAGCTGATTTGGCAGCAGCTTCTTCATGTGCTGACAGACTGCCTTAAACACTATGACTGCTTTCACTGTCCTGGTTCACTGCAGCGTCTCATCCAGCAGAGGTGTGTTAGCAGCAGAAATGTTTTTCATCTTGAGCAGAACGTTTTGTCATGCATCTGGTAGTAAACTAACACAAGTACACATATATAAAAAGACACACAGGTAAAGAGTGAAATGTAGCAACAGGTTAGAGATTGAGCTGCTATAAGTGCCTTTAAACAAGCTTTAGTAAGAGAACATGCAGCCATGCATTCCCATACAGCACTCTTCACACTCCTAGTACAGAGGGTTAGCTAACTCTTATCATTAATGTACAGGATGTCTCTTTCACCTGAACTCAGAGGCTTTATAAAGAAACTCATCCAGACTCCCACATGCTGTTGTGTCTGACTGTGGCCTGCCGTTGCTCTCTTGGCAGAGGCTCAGGCCCTTCACACAAACATACACACAAAGTGGAAGCCGAATGCTGTCAGAGCTGTCAAGATGACGCGTAATTGAGTTGCTCTGTAAGCCGGTAATGACGGAGCTGATGGTGTATAGCGAACAAGCTCGAGTTGGTTAATCAGCGGGGAATTATTTGGTTCTTGATTTTCCTGAGATCCACCACGGCCAGCCTCACTTGACATTGAGGGTGACAGTCGGGTGACAACGGTTGCGAGTGTCCCAAGGTGCCCTTTTGCACTCACATGGTTCTTTTGTTTATGTAAATGATGCATCATCGAATTCAAATGAAAGTTGTTGAGGCAGCCTTTTCATCAAGCCGATGGTGTAGCTGTTGCAGTAAGACAGTTCACCTTTAATGTGATCCTTTATAAACTCAGCAGCGGGGTGAGTAAGATGTTTTCCTGTCAGTACATGCAGGGATAATCTATAATCTGTCTCAGGGGTTTCCCTGCTGGGATGATTAAAGGAGAGGTCTGAAATATTGAGAAATAAGCTTATATGCTTTCCTACTAAGGTTTATATGAGGATACAATAGGATATCAATACACTTCAAATATCTGTACATTAAATATAAAACTCACAGCTTAGCTTAGCTTAGCTTAGCACAAAGACAGGATCAAACAACTAGCCTGGTCCTGTTAAAACGAACACAAACAACCTCTCAGCACCACTAAAACTGGCTTCATCACGTTTCTTTCAATAACTGAAATGTAAACCCTGATCTAGTTGTGTTGCCAGTGATCAAGGCTAACTGTTTACACCTGTCCCCAATGTTTATCCTGAGCTATTCTAAATTGCTGCCATGTTTGATCAACAGTTATGAGAGACTCGTACATCTCTACATCCAACTCACTGACAGGAAGTGAAAAAGCTAAAGAGAGGTGAAGCATTGCTTCGTGAAACTCTACTCTGTAAATCTGTTTTCTTATTCGTCTTGAGTGATTTTCCTTGTGAGCTTGTGAGGAAGGAATATACAAGGGACATTGCTTTCTTATTTAAAGACCAGATAGTATTTATTTAGCCAGAAGGAAAACGTGTTTGTTGCAGCAGAGAGTTTACAAAGAGTGCACATATTGAATAGAAGAAGAAGCTTTTGAGACAAAAAATTCAGTTATTGATCTACTGTATCTGATCTTATTTCACAGTCTGAACAAGGAAGCGATCTCAAACACAAACATGACACAAGTGGAGTCACAGTGTGTGTATCTTTTGGCTTTCTTTTTCTTGCGTTTAAAAGAAAAACTGATTGTTTTGGTTGCACCACTCTGATGCTTGAAAAAATGGACATGTTGTGACTTTTTTAGTAATATGAAATGAAATCTCATTACAATAGTGATCACAGAGCTAACAGAAATGATGCCTGATGAAGAAAAAACATCAGGTTTACATCAGGCTGTGCTTCGACAACCGAATCGTGGACCAGACACGCATGCAATAACTTGTGAGGCTGCACTGGGAGGATTTGCAAAAGGCTGATGTCTGTGCAGTGAATTATCTTATCAGACTAACTTTCCGCAGGTTAACTTAACAGGCTTTATTTTCCTGACCAAACTTGAGATTTTAAGGATTTTTTTTCTCTCATTCAACACTGTGCTGTCATATGTTTGCCTTGGGGCATCCCAGGCACAGAGTACTGTGATTTTGGGATGAATGACAGCATGTGTTGTGATTTCCCTTTGTAGCCTAACATGCATAAAAGCTGCTGCACAAACTGGCAACCCTCTGTTTCATCTGGCAACCCGCTCTCCTTCCTGCTCCCCGTTTGATCGTTGTCCAGAGGGGCATGATGTCGGCCTGGACTTTTTCAGATTCATTGCACCCGGCCACAGACGGAACTGGGTGTAGCTGTGTGGTGCAGGAGGAAAGTCAAGGTGGCTTGAATGTGGTTAAAAACAGTGCACCCAACTCCTGCACAGAAGCTCACAGAGGTCTAGTATGTTGTTTTTGATGCTGGCAGTGGTCTAGCCTTGTGATTGATAGGAGATCATGATGATGGTGTTTTCAGATGTTTTCAAGTCGGAATTCAATTGATTGTGTGTGTGTGTTGCATGTGTATGAATCTCCTGCTCACATTTCCATAAAGGCAAGTCTAAGATTGTCCTGTTTTTTGCTTTGTGCTTTGGGGTGCTGATTGCATTTAGGTTGTGCCCCATGTATGGAGGCCTCCAAGCAGACGGCTGGGATTCAAGTCCGACCTGCAGCTGCATGTCATACTCCACTCTGTCTCTCCCGATTTCTTACTCTATCCACTGAGTAAAGGCAAAAAGCCCCTCAATAAAAAATCTTCAAAAGATAGCAGTT